TATTAGTAGCTTATCTGCTGGACATAATGAGACTGCTAAAGGAGTAAATATATCTCAAGTGACTTGACTAGTTTGTGGCACATTGCAACCGCTGCTTTATTAGCTCATGTGAGCTGGGCTTTTAGTGACTTTACTGAAAGGAGGCATGACCTTGGCCACAGACACCAAAGTAGCAGCAGGTATTTCAACTGTGGACATCCTTTGCTGTCTCCGCCCAATGAGCCACAGCCAGACTCACTGCAAGCAGTAACTGTGGTCCATCGTGAGGTACACTGCTCTTTCACATCAGAGGCCTTCTTCCGGCACTTGTTCCTCAGGCCCACTGAAGTAAAAACTTGATCTATAGAGCATCATTTCTTCAGCACAACACAATCCACACACCAGCAATTTATCTGAACCTGTTTCTTATTCATCAGTTGCTGGTGAAAATGTGTTGAATTAGTTTATAACAACAAAAAGCTGTGAAATAATCTTTCTTCTTTTTTTTCTGACTATTTCCAGCTCTTAGGCCTTCAGGGTTTATGTTTCTAGCACATCACCAATGGATGCAGTCACTGAATAACCATGGTGATAACCTCAACACCTAATTCTTGCATGTGCTTCTTTTCTTGTTGAAGGGGTCAAACTATTCATACCCTCACGATACCCACTGCAATGGCCAACGCAGTGCAGACACAGCAGCGAGGCAGAAGGGAGAAGACTGCACCAGACTGAATGGGGCAAGGGAAAGGAAGCTGAACAGAAACATTTCCAGCAGCTAGAAAACATGGAAAACACATTCCAGAAAATGTCGTAAATGACAACTGTTAATTAAATGTCAAAGCAATGAAAAATAAAACCTTATAAAATAATGCTCCCACTTGAATAACAAAGTACTTTTAAAAAATAACTCATAATTTTGTCTTTTTAAAAAATTGATTACATTGCATTATGTGACACAGTTTTATAGGCACTGGGATTTCCCCCTCCCCCCCTCATGGTGGATTCCTCCACCTTGTTACTGTATTACATTTCAAATTCAGTTGAGATTCTTTCATTGCAAGCATCTACTAAGCATAAAGTCCAGTATCTTGTTGTCCAGATAAATTCAATGGTTTCTTGGGGGAGACCATCTCTGGCCTGAAGGTAGAGCCGACAGAGTATCTCATGTCTATTTTAATTTTAGTATTTAGCAGTTTATACCGTTGAAGCATGATTTTGCAGAACCTGGCTGTTTTTCGGGTAGTCTAACTCTATAACTCTAACAAGACATATGTCAGCAGTTTAGGTGAACAGTTTTAGGAGGGGTGTGCAGAGAAATCTTCAATACCCTAGTGAGGAGTAACTAATCTTTGTGTCCCACCCAGTGAGTTATAAGTGCATCCCCACTGCCCGTTTCCTGTCTGTTTCTAAGCTTTTCTTGCTGTTCTATTATAGTTTTTTTTGTTGTTGTTAGTTTGTTTTGAGGGGTTTCTGGAGCGATCCTGATGGTCATTACGAGAGAGGGTGGGGACCCAAGGTCGGAACCAGGCAAGGACCAGAGAAAGCTCCTCTCCCTAGTTCCGAAGGAAGTCTACTGTTTTGTTTCTGAGGATCGCTCAACAACAAAGTACACATTAAAAAGCAATTTTGATCCTTATGTCATTGGACACTCTCACCCTTGGGCAGGCACCATTTTATAGGTGAGAAAGAGGAGGACCTTGGAGGGGAATGGCTTTAAGCGGCAAAGCTAAAAGCTAAAATTTAACTCAGGTCTTGTCTTTGAATACCACAAATATTCCATGAAAATATGCATGGGGCATCAAAGGTCAACAGGAATAAAAGAATACCAAAATGTAGGCATTGACTATAAAATTCAGTGTAACCAGATTCACTGGAGCAACTCTGGCTTCTTAGCAAAGATAGCAAGGTTTTACAAAAGCAGCTTTCTCAAGGCCCCGAGTGCAACCTGAACAACATTAAGAAGTGATAGAAGAGACGTGTACACATAGACACATCCCACCCCCCGTGGACCAAGTTTTAAGTTATTTTAAGAATCAAACTATTTCAATGTGTTGGACACAAACCACCCTCTTGTTACCTCCAATTACTGGGCGGCAACAAGCACACATTAGCCTTAATACATGTATTTGCTGATCTGGCTATACTTATCTCTATGTACTGTGACAATACAGTCTTATTAAAAATTTCCACAGGTAGGTCACTTCTGGCAAAATCATTGTGGTGATGGCTAAGGCTAATAACCAACTTCTGTAGCAACCGGTCAACCATTTGTAAACTGGATAAGAAAAAAGGAATTCAGGAAGTTGTTTGCCAAAGCCAAATTGCTTCTGTATTATTTTTATGCCAAGCTAAGACTTTCCCAAAAAAGAGGAAGAAATATTAATCATATCATAACAAAGTTTATTGATTACATCAAACAAAAATTTCTGTAATGAAAAAGGCAACTTGCATTCATAAAAGATGGCATTCACATTCATTTTAGAAAGCAAAAACATAGATGTAAAAAATTGCTTAAGTGAAAAATGTAACATTGCAGGTCCATTTTGCAAGCTGAAAAATGATTTTGTCAATATTTGCATAAAATCGGCATTTACATAGTTATTAAAAAATTCCATCACTAAATTATTATGGATTCTGCAAATTTAGGCTTGTATTTATACTGTTGCTGGTGTAGAGGTGTTAGATAAGGAATGAATGTTTTCAGTTTAATAGATAACATCATCAAACAATGGATAACAGTTGTGAAAATTACAGGGACATTTTGATAGGTGAAAATTATTCAAGTTATGGATATATGATTCTATGTTAACATTTTCTGTCACAAAATAGGATGCTTATATTGTAGTGTTAGGAATACTGGACGGCTTGTCTACGGCCATACCACCCTGAACGTGCCCGATCTCGTCTGATCTCGGAAGCTAAGCAGGGTTGGGCCTAGTTAGTACTTGGATGGGAGGAATACTGGACGGCTTATTTCAAGTTATTCCACATAATAATCCAATGCTAACCATTTTTTAGACTCACTATTAAACATATCTTTCCAAAACAAAAGCCAGGTGTCCCTCAGGAATCTAGGCCATAATATTATGCAACATTGCATTATTGAATTTCAGCTGCAGTGCATAGTGTCACATGGATGTGAGACATGACTTGAAATTCTCCTTACTCCTCATCTAACTTTATTCCTGGTGGCAAGGAATTTTATATATAACCAGTTAATATTTTTACTACCCTAGATATCTTGAATATGTCAACTTTCTGCATTAAACAAACTTCTACTGTGGCTTTCTTGTTTGTATTCACAGTCCCTATGGTTCTTATGTAAAACAACAACAATGTGGCAGGAACATCTATAAAAACAAGAACAAGAGTAAGATATCACAAAAGCTTTCCTGGGTTAGACTTTTTAGCTCTTTGGAATAGGCAAAGAATATAAAGACTTTGTTTTCAGTAGATCACCTTAAATACAGGTTACCAGAACACAGCACACTTATGTAAGCTGTGAATGATATCTTAAGAAAATATTAAAAAATAATACTGATGGGTGACAACAAATGAGATAATGAAAAAGGGACAGTGATGATGGAATGGTTTCTTATAAGTGAATTTATATCCTTTCTATAATTTAAGAAAAATTACACCTAGACATTAACACAAAACATATACAGAACAATCAAATGTGCCATATGGACTATATAAATATGTTGGTACAGACTGCATCCAATACTTTTCCAAAATCAAGGTATGGTATAAACATTGGTAACAGTACAGGCGTGCCAGACAGACAAAAAGTTGAAAATTATATGAAAATACTTTTCAAGATTATTTTAATGTAGCAGTCAAATATGGTCATTTATATCTAAAAAAACTAGGTTTACTTTTAACAGATATTTCACATTTATTTTTATATCTTAAGTGAACTTGTTAGAGGCTAAAATTCCCTTCTAGACTATACCATCATGGTTAACAGACCATGACCCTGGACAAGCTAGCTACTAGAGATAACATTCAAGCTCAGAGTCTTAGCCCCTTCGCAGGTTGAATCACTCCAAAGGGATGGATCTCGACCCTCCCAAATAGGCATTTTTTCTTAAAGTGCTTCATCTATGCACAAATGCAACCACTTTAAAATAAACTAACAGTTTAAAATTAGCTACATTCTTTTGTTTTTCACATAAAATTATAAATAATGTTCAGAATGGCCTCAATTTTGGCAGAAGTATGGTTTTGCCCACTTCAGATCCGGGTAAAACTGACCATGGAAAAATCTGTTAGTTTCATATTTTAGGGGATATAAATTGAAATGTTGTATTGATTTATTTTGAAGTCTAGTATCCTTATACCCATAAGTGGGGCTTAATTTAAAAAGATTAAAAACAAATAAACCATTTTTTCTGTTCCCACAACAATATCCAAAGTTAACACTTTCCATTTATGTGTTCATGGTATTTTTTGGCAAGTATGTAATACCAAGACACAATCAGAATGTAGGTTAACAGAAAAGATGAACTAACTATTCTGTCTGATGCATCGATACCATTTAGTTCTATATTTTCAAGTATTCCTTTGTATGTTTGAAAAAACAATAGTTTAAGATAATCATTCAGAAGGAATGAGAAATGTGATACAAATGGCCTGTATTTTCTGCAATGCAAAAAAATGTAATACTGTATTAGCAAAATCTACTCATTCCCATTACATGACTTCTACTTTAGTCTACGGTAATTAAATCCATTCACAAAGTCAATGGGTTAAAGAAGCACCCATTTGGTAGTTATACTATTTTATCTAAAGGCAGAAATCTAAGTGTTCTTGCTTTTGACTTTCATGTAATTCTTAATGTAGAGCTCTGGCTGTAACGGCTGCTTATTATAATGATAAATGCTTAAAAGTCATTTGGCATTTTAATGGACATTTAATCTGAACCCTAGACATAAGAAAGTGGTTTAGTTTGTTGCATATGGAGTATCCTGAGATGATAACTTTTTTTGTAGTTGCTTCTTCACGCTTGCTTTTTCAGCTGTAACCACTGTCAATATGCTTGTAGGACAATAACATAGGCAGCTCAAGATTCGGATTCTGAAAAATTCAAAATATACAGAGTTAAAAGGTTTATTTTAGTAAATATGTGAAACCATCTGTTTAGCATTTTTAAAAATAAATCAAGTAGTAAATTTTGTTATGAGTAAAGCAACTGTCTTAACAAAATGCCAAGTTTTATTCACATGCAAGGGAGAAAAAAAGTGACAATAACCAGATTGGAATCGTTTCATCATTTATCAGCTGAATAGACTCAGGCTTGCTTTCTGCTTTTGGACTACTCCAGGATTCTCCTAATGCTTTTTTCCACCGAGATGATCTACCACAGCAAAGGTTTAGTTCATTATAATCCCTTCCTCTAGGCTGGAAGCTCTTTGACGACAGTGATACTTTATTTATCTTTCTATCTAGAGTACCTATTATGCTGTCTGGATTATCAGCAGATGCACAGGAAATGTTGAATGAATCAATGGGTTACTTTTTCTGGGTTGTGCATTATTTTTGAAAGAGTTTGATGATATATTCAGTTTTGGAAGATTACTATGAAAACATTCTACCTTTACAGAAAGAACTATTTCCCTATACAAGTAATTTTTCTTTTTAATAGGTCAATTTACTCAGTTTTTCCTTTTTTAAAAGACTGATTAATTTTTATTGGAAAGACAGACTGAAAAGGAGAAACAGAGAAAGATCTTTCATCTGTTGGTTCACTTCCCCCAAATGGCTGCAATGGCCGGAGTTGAGCCGATCCAAAGCTAGGAGTCAGGAGGTTACTTTCCCAGGCCATACACAGGGAGTTTGATGGGAAGTGGAGCAGCCAGGACACAAACCGGCACCTCTACAGGATCCCAGCGCTTATAAGTACATACACAGTTACCTTTGGAAAAGGAACTGTATAGAAATTTCTCTGAAAATATTTCTGGATTCCAGTCTGTCTGTTAAACATCATCAAATGTATGAAAGACAAACTAATCACCAAGTGTGATTCAACTATGTTGAGAAATCAAAGTTATATGTCAAGGGATGGAGCCCAACACTGACTTTACACATTAAAACTCAACTGTTAGAACTTGAAAAGGGAAGGCCTTAAAGGCTGCTATTTTCTTCCCACTCACGAATACCTTAGTTGCCATGGTTGGATCATAAGCCAATTAAAATAGCTTGTATTTCTATTTATGTTGCCGAATTCCCCAGAAATCACTATTAGGTCTTTTGATAGCTTTACAGGGTTGTGACAGCTCAAACCAAAATAAGATTGCTAGTCACACACAATGTGTGAAAGTAACATGTGTCCTATATAACAAGGAAGAAATTCAGTTGCTAACTCCTGGAAAAAGTAATTACACTAAAAATAAAGTAATTGAGTTTAAAAATCTTCCTTGATTCTATGTCAGCCACTGTAGGATCTAAGGTCCTGGAGAGGCCAAAAGCATGAGCAGTGTCTGCTGCTAGTACCGACTCCCAAACTACAGACCAAGCTAAAGAAAGCAATCCAGGGGGATACAAAGTTAACAACTGAAATGCATCACATGGTTTAGGACAAGGCAATCTGGGACAAAGGATCAAAGACTTTGAAGGTTACTGTAAAGCAGATTCATTACTAATGAAAAATAGAATGAAGTTGTTCAAAAACAGGTAAAAAGAAGCTGACTGTAACAAAAAAAGATGCTTCAGAAAGTTGGCTTCCAAAATAACTCTGTAGATTCTGGTTTCAGGGACTACAGGAGATAGAGCCAACTGGTCTAATCCATTAGTTAAATTCTTTGTTGGGAGGAGTTGACAGTTGATGATAAAATGGGCCTACGAGGTAGACTCAAATGGTTAGCTTCAAAGTGATGATGATCATTACTTTTCTTGTGTACAAGAAAGACAGCCCTCTGTGAAAGCTACAGAGTGGCTTCTAGCTGACAACCAGTGAGCTTTGTTTAGGGAATACTCTGAACTCCCCAGGACAGATAAAAGGTCTGAACTGGCAAGGGCCACCATAGTGGGGAACATAGAATTCACACAAGAGTCATTCTGAGTCCAAGCATTCATCTGTGGCATATCAATTCAGAACAGATATTTTTGGGGGGCCATATAAAAAAGTAAATTATAAAATAAATTTACCTAATTTTAGAAACATTAAGAAGTTTTTTAAAAAGTCATTAAGCCATGCATCCCCCTGAATGACTAGGAAAGATTTTACCTCTGGAAGTTGAGACATTTAGCTTGAATAAAACTTGACAATAAAAAGTTAGGATTAGAGTAGACTGATTCATTAATATGTATTTGGGGACCACACATTTACAAGGACATTAAATGTATACCTGCAAACACACAGACACAGCACATGAAGATACAGACACATTTGATTATTTTCACAAAATTTCCAGAAAAACATGCAATGCTAAACTGACTTGGTATTATACAGATGCAATTTTGGAATATTTATTTTCAATTTTGCAAAGGATTTTTATAAATCGAAGTTGCACTTCCTGATTAATATCAAGAAGTATTTTCACATGATGGTACTGACGTAACAACTTGCCCCTTAAAGATAAAAATTATCATTCATCTCTGAAAAATGTCTAAACTTTCATTTGGGGACTTAGCAAATTTTAAAGATCTTTTTCTTCATATTCCAAGTAATGCATCTTTATATTTTTGCAAGAATAGTATAAAGTTCACCACACCAACAGCAGAGAAAATTTAGAGTGATATTTTCATTTTTCTTATAATGCTGTTAATCTGTTTCTTTAAAGCCAGCCCACTTGTTTAACACTAGGTACCTGTTACAATATATTAGATTCGTCTGAGAATGTTCGTAAAAGAAGAGGTCTGACTGAAGGTCTGGTGGATAATGAGTCAGATGCCCTTCTACAGCTCAGATTTCTCTGTAACAGTGAGGCAAAGATACTTAAAGCATTTGAAGATTGCTTAACCTACCTGGCAATAAAAAATGTAGAAGGAAAATCATTTCCTATAGACTTCTTTTCTGGCCAAAAGTACAAATGGTTACACTATATAGCAAATGCATAACATTCACACGAATACATTTAAAGGCCTAAGAAAGTCTCCTATTGTTTTCACAGACGTCAATTGGCAGTAATTTGTAGCAAACTTGGGTTTCTGAAATGGCACTGGTAGGTTATATGGCGAGATGAGTCAGTATGGTTTGACAGTGAACCTTACCATCCTTTTGGTGAACACCTCTGAGAATAGTGCTGGTGCTGCGAGTGCACTGGATAAAGGGAAATATGTGTAAAACACTCCTGGCCCTGGTGAACAGACTATGGCATGGCACCTACTGCACAACTTGAGTCAATGACACCACAGACTTACAGTCCCAGTTTTCGAATATTACTTCCTTTCAGTATGACAATTTGGAAGATGAACAAATGATTAAAATAAAATGACAAAAATACTCAAGAATCAATAAAAAGAATAAAAAATGAGTAATGAGAGGTATTTTTTTCATAAGAAAATGCTGCCAGGCAAATGAGAAAGCAAGCAAGTTGGTACATTAAGAAAGGAAATCACCTTATTCACTCCAAGAGAAACTGTGATTGCTGGAAGTTTGAGAAAGCATGAAGATAGTAGATGTTCCTGAGGAAGGGAGGCGTTTCGTTACCTTGTTCACAATTGCACAAAAGGTGGAAAATTGCAGTAGAAGAGAGAGAAATGCAGAAACCAAAAAAAAAAAAGTAAATATTCTCTCAAATGTAAGACATTTAAAAAGAAACCTTGAGAATTTGAAGTAGAAACATGTTAGTTTTGAAGACATCATTTCCTAAAGTAAAAGTAGATTAGAGTTCAGAATAGTCTATCATACGTGCCAACTACTATTTCTCCAAATCAATTTAAAATAATGTTGAAAATGGAAATGTGAATAAAATAACTAGCAATTTTAAAATATGCTTCTTTATTAAAATGATGCTTATCTCTAATCTTTAAATCACTAAGTGACATTTCCTTAAAATGGTTTGGTCAGAGAGCTATGTCTAGATTCCACCAATAATCAACATTTATGTTGAAGCAACTAGACTTACTAACTGCAAAGTACACTATGAACAGACTGGCCACTCTTGGACAGTTCTGGGTAAAAAGTCTAGTCAAAAGCAACAATGAAAAAGCATTTGGAGATACCACAGTCTTATTTGCCTCTGGGTCAATGTTCATCTTCCTTTGTTCTAACATAATTTGATGTGCTTTCCCCTAATCACAAAGACCTCTATAGGAAGGTAGGCAAAATTTTTCTTTTAAAAGCCCCAAAGATTTCAAAATTGGCAAAGTTTAACTAGAATACCTAACAGACGATTTTCTCCCCTTGTTCCAATCCTGAAATTACAGGTAGCTTTAAAATTTGGTTTTGGCATTGCTCAATGAAAACAGAAGGTGAGTGGTCGGCTTTGGTGATAAGCTGAACTCTGCCAATCAAAATTGCTGATATTATCTACTTGCTAATTAAATTAGGGCTAGAAAAAGAAACCAACTAAAAACATATATGTATCCAAAGTAGAGTAATAAAATTTCAAAAAGATAAATATTTCAATTTATTCATGTTTTGATATAACTGTATTTTCTTATTTATATTAGACATTAGCTGAATAAAAATGGTGACATATTGGTAACATGCAAATTACCAGGTTGATAAAGCTAAACAAATGAATAGTTTCTGAGGAAAAAAAAGCCTGGTGTTAACTCCTAGTTTGTGGGCAAAAACCTGGTGACAAGGTTAACATGACAAAAGTCCCCCTCCCTTGGGTTTAATATACAAGTCTATGTAAGACTGCAGCTTGTCAGCAAACTTTGGTATGATCAAAAACTTGTCACTAACCATCAGAGATAAGCATTTACATGAAGCAGAAGCTTTCAGGGTTACTAGAATAGGTGTTAAAGCTATGTTATAAAGAGACAAAAGGGAAAAATGAAACTACAGAAAACAGTAGAAAGCACAAAAAGAGTATAACGCAGTAACACAATTGATAGAACCAGCAATTAGTGGGAGACAGGTGCAGAGTCTTGGAGATAATGATTTACAACAGTATGAAACTTCCATGTCCCTTTATAGTCCTCCAGAGTTTGATACCAGCTCAGCTAGCAGTACATTAAAGAGCTCAATGGATAAAGGCACATCTCAACAGCCACAACGTTAAGATTTGATTTTATTTTTGTTTAATACAGTTCGCTGGGAAATTGCCATGTGAACTCAGTGTTGCACACAATATTATTAAGTTTTGTAATAGTAATCACTACTACCATTATTATACTACTGAATTGTATTCTCCAAAATTTCTAAAATATTTTCCTTGAAAATTTTGTTCAAATGACAGTTCCTTTCCCTGTCTCCCAATCTGAAAGAGTTGCCTATATAACGGACAATTCTTCCTTTTCTGTAATAGTCCATGCTAGGTATATCTCTAAACATTGAAACATTCGAAAATGTTAACCTGTTGTTCCACTGCTCAGTGCTCCAGAACAGTGTCATTACACAGTCAGCAACTGGTCACTATGCAGCTTCATCACTTTATAAACCATAGAAAGGCACTATGGTCCTTAATATAGGTTACTAGATTAAATATGATTGTTGAAAACTCAGCTGAGGGAAATGGAGCTTAAATACAACCTTTTATTAAACAACCGAGAAATCTCGTCTTGAAGACGCAGCAATCTTTATAATAACTATTCCAACACCCATCTGTGGTGGAAGCCACCATATTAGCTTTTTACTGGAGGCTTTGGGATGTAGTGATTCAAATCTTTAAACAGTTTAGTTGTGTATATTGAGCCATATAATTAATTCTACTTTATTTCATACCTGCTTACAGAAATGTTCTGTATGAGTACCCTCTATAACTCAACTAGAGGTGAGAGCTCCTTGTGAGCTGGAGCCAAATCTGATTCTTTCTGAATGACTAACACCTAAAAGAGAAGCAATCCTATAGTAGGCCTTCAGGTCATGCACACTAAACTGAACAGAATTCAGTACAAGGTTGCTCGTCTAATTATTAAATATAAATGGCTTAGTGTCTTCCTCAAATGCCACAGAGACATTTTAATATCCACTGCTAAGCCTTCTTCTCAAAACAGAATGATGTGAGGCTAGCACAGGCAGGCTACCTGCCATAGGCATTTGGCTGTGTACAGTGTTCCAAGATGCCTACTGGCTGAAGTCATTAAAATATTCTATTCTAGATAAGGCCCCATACACTATTGCATTATGCAGTTTGTAAGAGTATGAGACAGACCCAGAAATAAAAAATACTGTTTTTTTTACAGTGAGGACAATACCTTTTCAATACTGAGCAAGGAAGTTATCCAGAGTGTCAGACTGTTAGTCATTAAGTATAAAGACTATATGTTGGGGCCACAGTTATGGGGCAGAGTTAAGCTGCTGCCTGTGATACCAGCATCCTGTAAGTATTGCTTTGAGTACTGGCTGTTCCATTTCTGATCCAGCACTGTAACAAAGCTAGGAAAGCAGTGAAAGCTGGCCCAAGGGCGAGGACCCCTGGCACTCACATGGGAGACTTGGACAGAGTTCTACACTTCTGGTGTTGGCCTCATCTAGCCCCGCCTGTTATGCCTAAATGGGGAGTGAACCAGTGGACGGAAGCTGGCTTTCTCCTCTGCAGCTCTGTTTTTCCAATAAAATAAAACTTTACTAGAAGTTGACCTTTGCCTTCTTGATATATCCAAATGTGGCCTTCTGCAAGAGGATGTAACTTATCAGAGTATCTGTCGCTGCCTTGGTTCAGTTGGTGCTTATGCATTCACATGCACTATGCACAAAAGAGAGGTGGCTCTGTGGAGTGCCCATAATATTTTGCCTCATTGGCAACTCTCAAAATCCCGTAGTCTGAGAAACTATCTTGCCTTTCAGACACCTGATGTAAAGAGATGTTCATCAGTAGGTGGTTCAACAAATGTTTACTGGTTTGATTAGGGTAGGAATGAATGAATGAATGAATGAATGAATGAATGAATGAAAGAAAATGACATGGAAATTTTGTTGGCTCTTCTAGCACATTAGCATGCCAAGGTACAGCACAGACACCAGAATTCCTCCTAACATGGACATAATCCAAGAAAAATTTCACTCCGATTTACTGACAACATTCTCTGTTGCTACACTTGATCTTGGCCAAAAGGCCAAGAAGCGATTCTCTGTTGCTAAGTAAAGATGGTTGCAATCCCTATGCTCCACACTTACTTTGAACAGAAATTTAAAATCTGTTGTTTTTACAGAAATAAAAGGTCCTAAATCATCTTCTCTCCATTCAGTGGTCTATGTAAAAAAATCATTTTCAGCCAATATATAATTTTTAAAGTATAGGAAACCTATGGAAGAAAATGACATGTCCGAAGGTTTTGATTTCTGAAAATTTTGTGTCATTTTTGGAGCATAAAGTTGGGTGTAGGCCATTATTTAATATGATCCTCATTATTAAAATTAAGAAAAACATTTGGGAGCAGCCAAAAGTATACTCCTAAACAAGGAGAATGGAAGAGCAACTAAAAAGACTCTTTCCAAATTCTTTGTTATGAATACAAGATATTTCTGAGTGTAGCATTGCCACTTGAGCTATTCTTGCAGTGAGCAACCTTTTGTATCAATATGTTTTATTGCTGTACAACAGATACTGAGGTATAAATGCTACTTTTTTCCAGACAATTAAAAGTTGATTTTCTAACTGAAAACCAAAAGCCCAGACGGAAGGAGTTAGTCAGAGGCTGGAAAGAATTAAAAAGTTTAAAAAAGAAAAAAAAGGCAGTCTTAGGTTAAAACTATTGTGCCCAGCTCTTAAGGTATTAAGAAGTTTTGGGATCCAGAACAATTCTAACTACCTAAATATACACTGATTGGCCTTATATCAAGAACCAATATAGTTTATGCCACTGTCAGTTTCGTTGCTGTTATGAGTAACTTGTAACATGAAGCTTTTCATTTATACTTCCAATCATTGCAAAGTTTCTTACTTGAACCAGTTCAGACCATCATATCTGTGTAACAACCACTCATCAATTTAAGAGGTAAACCTTTCATCGAGTTACACCTGGTCTGTGGCAAGTTTGAGAAAGTCAGTCAGGTGGTCATAGCTTAGAGTATTTCCTGAAAATGCAGCCATGGAGGCGCTACTAAGATTTGGTTGGTGTTAATATAACAGAAAGAGTTCTGGTTAGTCAAATGAGCTAATGTTGGCAGCAATATGATATATTTAATCAAACCACTGGTCAAAATTATCCATAAGTTTCATTTTCCAGGTTAATCTATTCCTTTCACTTTAAAGGTTTTTCAGAAATATTCTAACCATATCAGATAATGTAACAGAGGGAAACGTCTGCTTTCTATAGGCAATTCATGATTTGGTAGATAAAAATAAAAACACACACATTAAACAGACTTGATTTTTTTTTACAAGTGTGTTCAGAGGGTTAGGATGTAGAAACCACATCCAGAGAATTCTCTTTGGTTTAGATATACTGCTGGACAGACAGGGCTAGAAGCAACACAGAGATTAAGCAGCACTATAATTAAAGAAAGGGGGATGGTTTAAAAAGGCAAATTGAGATTACCAATAAAAAAAAAATCTGCATACAGCCCACTGGAAAATTTCTAAGGTAAAAGGTGAAATGTTGGTGTGGAAATTCCTGATGTAAAAATTCTAAGCTAAATACAAAAATAAACTCTTTTTTTTTTCCTTTTATGAGTCCATATGGAGCACATGTGATACTCCATATGGATTTCTAAAGATCACATAGAACACTTTTGAGGAATTTACTTACCACCTGCATTGGATAACGAAGTTTTTACTATACTTTTTATGCAGAAGAGGAAATTAAGTGATGAACCTGTAAGGAGGGTTTTAACATGCTGTAACTAATGCAATTCTCTAAATACGATTTTTAGTTCATGGCAGACATTGAAGCCTCTTCAAAAAAATCAGATCACAATACAAACTTAGTTCTTACCCTAGCACTTCTTCTTTTTACATTCTTTAATACTATCAGGAGAATCTCAGGGAAAAGGCTGATAAATATTAGAAGAATTATGGCCAACCACGTGGTTACGGAAGACAGCATTTGGGCAAATACGAAATACATTCTTTGTTGTTTGAGAAAAGGCCTGCAGTGGAAACAAAATACATGATGGAAAAACAAATCAGTTTCTGTTGTGTGGAACAGAGATTAATGGGAACTGTCTTTTGTAGCTAAAAATAATCTTCCTTACAGTAATAAAAATAATTTTCTCTAGAGTGTGCCAAAAGTAGTAAACAAATCTAATTTATGAACTGTTTGGAAATAAAAGGAATGATAATCAAAAGGGAAAAAGATAATGGAATGCTTCTGATATGAAAACCATCAGATAATCAACTCTAAAGCTGCCAACTGATGAATATTTAAGACCATGAGAAAATACCAGAGCTTTAAAGGTATTCAAGAGAAAAGGTGGTTAATTTTTATCCTGGTAAGCATTTTATTCCTTCAGCTTATTTTTATTAACACGAGAATGGATTTGTATTCCATATTTACAGTTTTATAAGACACTTTTTTACAGCACTCTCTTCCATAAACTTTATAGAAATATTTTTAAAAGGGGGATTGTAGAGCATTTCTTCCCTCTGAAAAGGAAGGAATCTACCATTTTAACATACTGAGTAACTATGTGTCAAAAAGGTTGATAGGACATTAAGCCTTGGAATCCAGAAGTCTAGGAAAATTCACTCAGTCCATTGCCAGTTGTCCATTATAATTAGAGGCCATTGAGAAGCATACAGCCATTTTCTCTTCCCATTTGAACTAAACCACAGAAAGCCTCACCGATTTACTCTATCTTAAGCTGGCAAAGAGAAAGCGAACACTCCAAGATTTACATTCCACTATTTTAGCATTAAGTCTCTAGACCAATGACTACTTAGTTCCTTTTATTAGATCAGGTAAAATGAAGACCAAGTTGTTTTTATCCCAAAATCAGTGTTTATGTACCCTCAAGCAACATGAGATATTCAAGCCTGTGAAGATGAGATTGTACAATAAAAGAAGGAACATTGAGGTAGAGAAACTCATGGGGACTTTATTAAATAATTTTCTAGGAAAAAATCTGTCACACAGAAAAGGCTTTTGCAGAGCTCAACCCCTTTATATTTCTGAAGAGTACCTTGACTTTCTAGGTAGTTAACTGAACTACTTAGAAGGTATATTACAAGGATCACATTGAAAACCGACAAGTAATCAAAGGGTATTCATTTGTACTGTATCTAAAAATCATGTGCTTAATATTGCCAGATTTTTAAAAATTTTGATGGTATCTTTGAAATTTTGTAGGAAGGCAGTGAAGACCAAAAGCTATTACTCCTTTTTTGACTATGAGTTCAGACATAATCATTCTCACCGCCGATCCCAAAAGAGGGGTGTGTGTCTCAAAGGCTCCAGCATAACATGCACAGAAACACCATTTGAACTAGCATTAAGTTGAAGTTTTTCATGATTTCTAGTTACATTTTGCTGCTTGCTTTATAAGTTTATACTCATGTAGCAGCTCACCTGAGGTAGCTCTACTTAAAGACAGTCCATCAGGCATCAAAGTTAAAAAATATGGGTTTACTATAATACTGTAGTTCTCTCAGTTTGTAGCAACACTCCAAGCTGGTGCCATGAAACTTTATTGTATGCTAAACCCAAAGTAGATTATGCTTTTCTTTTAGACATAGGTTTGATTTATAAACGAGTCACTGTGGAGATTAACAGTAACTGATAATAAAATAGAACAAATATAATGAAGTTTGAAGCATCACTACTTTTGTGCTTTGGGATCATTATTAAGTAAAAGAAGGGTTACCTTAACATAAAACTCTGTGATGCTCTAACACCTGAACTGATAACAGGCACAGCCCCTCAGTGCCTAACAGGCAGGTAGCATAGATAGTATGTATATGCTGGACAAACAGATGAGTCACATCCAGGACAGACTGGAGTGAGCCAAAGAAAACTCAATTTAAAATTTGGTGCTTTTTTTCAATATCTGGAATTTTCCATTTAATATTTTTGGACCATAGTTGACTAGAATTAACTGAAACCATGGAAAGTGGACCAGTGGGTAAGAGGAAACTATTGTTTTGTTTTTCATTTTTAGTAATCACTGTTACGACTAGAAACAGATGTGACAAAGTCTTAATCATTTAAAAAATTGATCTTAATTAACAGAGAATAGACTATGGAAAGAAATTATTTTATTAGAAACATTTTATTTTTGTGGAAATTTGGCATTAATTAAGATGTTGATTACATAGATTCACAGAATTATAGTATTCTGAGTGGAAATATCATTCCATATTATATTTAATTAGTCAACTCTGATTTATTTGTATTGTATTAAAGCACACAGAGATCCCCTTCAGCTTCATTGTTCTTACTTATTACCTATATGTATCAAATATATACTGCAATTATACTTTTGGAGGTGGCATGTCCTTAAAACTACTACAAAAAGGCTTTTCAAAATTGTAAAAAGTTTTTTTTCTAATTGAGTATCCAAGGGAAAATAAACAGGACCTTCATATCTCTGCAGTAAAATGTTCTGTATGTAAGATTTTTCTTAAAGCAGTGAAAATCTGCACTTCTAGAATCTTGCTCCATAGACTACTACACACGATCTTTGATGCTGGCATCACCATCATGGGAAGCCACTGACTAATGAAATTAACTTAGACATTTAGAAACAAAACAAGGAGAGCATATGTAAATCTGAGCTTATGTGTCCCTCACTGGACTAGGCATTTTTTTAAGTAGGGCAAAATATAGTATATATTTCTGGAAATCACACGGTCATACTACAGATTAATGTCAATTAATAGAGAGATATTTCTAAGCCTTCAAATAGAAATATTTAACAGGGACTATTAAAGGTAGGTCTTTTGAGTAACTCTTATAGTCTAAAATTTGCATTTGAAATCTTACCTGAAACTAACAGTGTTACTGGCAATAAGTAACATTTGGTCCATTAACATTAAAAACTCACCATCTCACATAATCAATACTTTAAAATAGTATAAGGAATGTTAACATAAACAATATACAGACACATACATTTGTTACTTACACATTCCTTCACAAAAATATAGCTGCTTACCAAATAATTCCTCCCCAGAAGAATGAGAAAAATACATAAAAGGCTAAAGAACCCCAGATCACAAAGTGATTTATCCATGTCCAGAATCGAGTATCCAAGGCAAGCTGAAAAGATATAACACAACATATTCTGTAAGAGGTAAAACTTGTACCAAGTTACACACTATAGTATCTGATAACTTGTACAAAATACAGCTATGGCAGAAGGTAGCTTGGGCCAAGAATCTGGTAGAACTAAAAGAGAAACAGAATTCAGATTTTCCAAACAGCTAGGGTGAGAAAATAGAGTTCTGCCCTACAGCTTCTAAACTCCAGATCACAGGCAACCCAAGAAGCCAACAGTTAGGGGGTTTGCAGATGCCTCGGTAAGTGAAACATGCATAATGCAAAAAGTAACAGCAGCATCCATAAGCCTGGAGCTCCAAGATCACAGGGAGTGGCACTCAGGAAGATAAGAGCAAAAGGAAAAGGCCTAGAATAGGCAGGCATGCTGAAAAAAAGTAGGATAGGGCGGTGGTAGTTAGCAAGAGTAGATAAACTACACAAAGGGGTCATGAAGGTTCAGAAATGACAGACAGAGTCACAAAATGTAAAGGTAACTAGCTCTCCACATCTAGCATCATACAGCGATGGTAACAGTTCTGACAGTGCATTGTGTCTTTCCAACTGGAGAACTTGTATTTATTCCACTACATTAATAAAACCTTCAGTTGCCATAGATTTTTAGAAAAAATACTTAAAAGGCAGAGTTAGGAAAAAAAAAAAAAAGAGAGATCTTCCATCTGTGGGTTCATTCCTCAAATAGAGAAGCCTGTTGGAGCTGGGCCAGGACAAAGCTGGAGACAGGAACTCCACACTGGAAAGCACGGTCCCAAAACCTGGATTATCTTCAGTTTTCCCAGGTGCATTATCAGGCAGCTGGATCAGAAGTGGAGCAACTGAGACTTGAACAGGTGCTCATGAGACACGGGCATCACAGGGGTGATTTAACCATAATGCCAGCACTTGCTGCCTTAGGCTTTAATCTCTTCGTGTTTCCTTTTGAATTGACCATGTTTTCATATTGTGTCACGGGGAGTTTTCAAAAGTGACCTCAAAACACTATGCTCTGCTCTGTTTCCTTAAAACTACTGAGTCATATGGGATAAAGCTTAGAGCACTTCTTTCTTTTTTCTTTAAAGATTTATTTATTCTTACTAGAAAGTTAGATTTTACAGAGAGAAGAGACAGAGGGAGGGAGTGAACTTGTTTCTACTAGTGACTGAAACAGCCAGAGCTGAATGAATCCGAAGCCAGGAGCAAGGAGCTCCTTCTGGGTCTCCCACATGGGTACAGGGTCCCAAGGCTTTGGGCTGTCCTTGACTTTCCCAGGCCACAAGCAGGGAGCTGGATGGGAAGTAAAGCAGTTGGGACAGGAAACAGTGCCCATATGGGATCCCAGCACATGCAAAGTGAGGACTTTAGTCACTAGGCTATTATGTCGGGCCCCAGAACACTTATTTGTTAAGAGAGCAAGCAGTTGGTGCATCAGTTTTGCTATTTCAAGTGGGATACCATAGTCCTCAGCTCTTTGTTACATTTTCTCATTCATAAACAGGATGCTGATAACACTGTTCATGCAGATTAGTCTTGAATTCTCACCTTCTGGGTGGCTATGCAAAATGTCACACTAAAACTAATTCAAACAGAAGGAAGTACATTTCTGAGATGTTTCAAGGTTAGAGTAAGGCTGACTATAAAGGAGTCATTTGCAAAAAAACCAGGGGTGGGAGACAAGGTGAAGGGAAACAAATGGAGGCTTCCGTTTCTAATCATGAGTTTGTAAAATAACAAATAGCTAACAACTATCATTTATTCTCATGACTACATTCTACGTGCCAGACACCATTCTAAATGGTTTACATGTATTTATTAACTGAGTCATTGCAAAAATTCTAGGTGCTACTTTTACTTCCATTTTTATGGAGAGAGAAACAAGTGAGGCAGAGAAACGAAGGCATCTGGCGAAGAACAGTACTAGTACGTGTCTAAGCTGAGATTAACTGTAACATGTCCCTTTCAATCTTAAACAATTTCTGAAATAGTACATGAATAACAAAAACACAGTGTAAACTCTATTTGGTATGAAAAATTATCTAGGACTAAACATCTAAAGGGAAAATTTTTAGAGAGGTGTCTGACAATAAGTCTGGTTAGCATTACATGTCAGAATGAATTCTTTCGAAGGTACTCATATTTGGACTCCATGTGTAGTGTTTATTATTGAAGTGAAAAAAAAGTTGATTATGATCACAATTGTAAAAGAATCCCAAATTATGGGCCACAAGGGTAACATTTCATAAGGCTTCCTACAATTACTTCATGGCTACATGACAATGATAATGACTTTTGTACATGAATCTGGATCATTGATACCCATTTAGCTGTGGCAAGTACCCAAATTCTTTTGGGGCCTTGAATTTTTATATAGATATGTAATTAAAAAAAAAGATTAAAGTACTTAAAATTGTATATATACATACACACACACACACTCTCTCATTCACTGCCTGTTTATATGCCACTTATATAATGCATTAAAAAAGGTTGGATTTCCAGTGTAAGTACAGTGACTGAATCGCAAAATAAAACAAATTAGAAAGGATAAACAAACACTAAAATAGTGAATAACATGTGAAATCCCTACCATCACACATATTTTCAAGTAAGCATTCAGACAAAGGCTTCAATAACAAAGATTAGGAGGAAAAATTTATACATTAGGATAAGACCAGAAATATTTAAAAATGGTATTAAACATTTGTATAAATGAAAATCTAACCTTCAGGGTTACAGTGAACACTAAGACTGTAAAAACAATGGTTCCAAAAGTCCAGTTTCCATACACCTGAAAAACATTTAACAATTACATGTATCATGAATATATGATTGTTTAGAAAAAAAACACAACTGAGCCAAGTTTAACTGTGCATGTAGTTGCAAAAGATTTTTTTTTAATAAGTTGATTGGGGGATAGTAGTTGATGAATAAAACCATGTCACAATGATAGGCTTTCCTGTGACTCTGAATTTTCATGAACAGGCACACCAGCACTATGGTTCATAGGACTGATTTCCACTACTCTATGGAGTACTGAAGAGGCACTACACTGGTCTGATGAGGGCAGCAGGAGCAGGGGGAAACCTAATCCACTAACAAGGTTCATTAAAACAGATCATGTGAGTTATCTCTAAGAGTTATTGACTTTTAAAAATAATAATATATACCCAAAGTTCTCAGATTAGCAATTATTTTCGAAGACTCACATTTTTTAAAAGTAATTGTAACTTGGTTATAAATACCACAGCTGTTAGCATGTGCACATCAAAGAAAAGCAGATACCATGTATAAATCCAAGAGGATGGCAATGAATGGCACATATGCTTACCAAACGCTGTCAAGATCTGAATGCACAGCATTAAAACAGAAAATGAGATGTAAAAGATTTTGAAAAAATAAAAACAAAAAAATTAAGGTTAATAGAAGCAAAAAAAGATTCAATTAAGTCATACATGGGTGTCATGTCTAGTTGCTGCTAGTAGCTCCCATACTTCATGTGATTTTAGCAAACATTTAGAAGGATGGTGACATATACAGTAAAACCTTATTAATTTGGACTTTATGAACTCAGAACAGACAATGAACTGGACAGAGGTTAGGTCAGTGCCTCTTACATGCCACATGGAAAGTTTGCTGAGCAAATGAATCAAAACAGTAGGACTACAGGAGTGTATCCACCCATACTGGAGCAGAGTCTTTTTAATAAGTACCCACCTATATATCATTTATGTGAGAAATAAAGATAAAATAGTGAAAAATCACAGAATGGGTCATAAAGCTGAAGGGACCAGAGAAATCACGAATTATAATGTTGTTTTACTGATGGAGCTTTCCCAAGAACTTGAAAGCAGAACATTCTTCTTGACAAGTGCTACATGTATCAACTGTAAAGTTTTGAATTACTTTGTAGTTACTAATTTTCATATGTTCATGTTAAATGGATATCTCTTAGTCCAAATTAGAGAGGTTTTGACTGTAGTACCTAAGTCGAAATTATCATTTAAATTCACTGCTCCTATCATTACTTTAATACTTTAGTTGTATAGGTTCCAGATGTAGACAATATACTCAGCAAATTCTTTGTGAACCTTAGCTTTGCTTCATGTTACGATTGTAAAGAATGGATGATCATAAAAGTGGAATCCCAGAAATGGGAAAGCAAAACATAGTGAAAAGCAGCATGCAAGGCTGTGTTCGGTTTTCCATGTGTGACTGCAGCAAAAAAGTCTCACTTATCTTCTAGGAGTAATTCTCTCCTAGGGTACAGCTAGTCCTAGAGCATCCTAATGCAACTGTTGATCGATAGAATGAATGATAGGAAGTCACTGGCAAACCCGACGCAGCTTTTCTGGAGAAGGCTATGCTTACATGTGGAAGGGAAGGAGGAGTGAAAAGAATTCCTCTCTTCATCTATTGGTCAAACATCTCAAAGATAAGGCAGCTATCCTCTTAATTCCAAGCAGGAAAGGCCACTAGTAGAAAGAATTGAGTCGAGGCAGACTTAAAAAAAAAAAAGCCTTTCTCATATCAAAATATATGGGACCAAAATCTGAAATACTAAGATCTCTGTTTAACTAGTAAAAATAACAGCCAAAACTTTCAGGAGGTTTGTATATCAACTATCTAGTTAGCTACTCAGAAAATGATTTCTTATTTCAGCACCTCTAAAGAAGTTGTAAGACTAAATAATAATGCAGCAAGACTATACCCCCTTTTCCCTGGACTTTGATCCTTCATACCCTGATCAACTATGTAAACATTATGAAAAATAAAATTAAAGGAAAAAAAAAAGACTATATGTAAGACAGATCCAATGTTTATGGAAAAAAAGATCACCCATGCTTTTTATAAAACTCAACGATATAATGACATGTTCTTTTTACCTTTCCATTTTCTTCCAGGGACGCAGTTTGAAAAAGAAAGTAAGTTCCAAAGAAGAATACTGTTCCTTCAAAGGCAGCCAGAAATGTCCAATATAAGAAGGGTCCCAATTGTAGCATGGCATTACCAGTAATTTTCCTATTGAGAAATGGTAGAAATAAAAAAAAAAAAAACAGGATAATTAGTCTCTGTAGGATGTTCATTTAAAGAGATAGTGAAATACCAGGGTGGACATGAGATTCGACTTTTTAATCAGGAAGAGGGGTTACTCTGATGGACTGAAACTATTTTTGGTAAAGGACCAGACTTAGTCAAAGCCAAACCAATCTTGGTTTAAGCATTATATTATAAAATGCTTCTACAATTAAATTTTCTCAGGAAATATACATTACTGTGAACTGTGGTCACTGTAATGCAGTAACACTAGGGATGTATTTTTTTCTGTGTTTTGGTGTCCATGATCTGACATCCCTCTAAAGCCTCCTCATAAAGCAACCTCAAGGAGAGGAAAATGCTATGTAACATGATTTGGTGAGTATATATTATAAACATTTATTGAAACATCACAATGTAACTCACAAATATCACAGCTTTTAAGAGTTAATGAAACAGGGCCCAGCGGCATGGCCTAGCGGCTAAAGTCTCCCTTTGAACACACTAAGGTCCCATATGGGCGCCGGTTCTAATCCCAGCAGCTCCACTCCCCATCCAGATCCCTGCTTGTGGCCTGGGAAAGCAGTCGAGGACTGCCCAAAGCCTTGGGACCCTGCAGCCGTGTAGGATACCCGGAAGAAGTTCCTGGCTCCTGGCTTCGGATCGGCATAGCATCAGCCATTGCGCTCACTTGGGTAGTGAATCATCGGACAGAAGATCTTCCTCTCTGTCTCTCCTCCACTCTGTATATCTGACTTTCCAATAAATTAATAAATCTTTAAAAAAAAAAACTGTGCCTTGTTCTCATCCTTCCTCATATTTAATTGACACAAGTGTAACCTGGGCATCATGACATTTTTAAAGCTCTGAAGTGGTTCTAATACGAATGACAATTTGAGAACCACTAGGATTAATAGCTCACTAAAGTTTACTCAGAGACAGAGCTAATATAAAGCCTAAATTGATTTGACTTTAAAGCACATATGCCCAGTGAAGCCTTCCAATTATTAAGACATTTCGTTTAATCAGCTCTTTGGGGGCTCTTTACGTTTCTCATTGAGTCAAATTGCATATTTGAAGTTGTATATTGATACTTTGGAACACGGCATGTAGATAGGTTAAAAGTTTAAATCTGTCAAAAGCAGCACACATGAATCAGAATATTAAAAAGCATATTAAGCAAAAACCAAAACACAATAAATGTCAAGGATTTGGGGAAAAGGGTACCCTAATCCACTATTCATGGGAATGTAAACTAATATAACCATTATGGAGGATAATTCCTCAGAGATCTAAAAATTGATATGACATATGAACCAGACATTCCACTCCTGGTAATAGATCCAAATGAAATGATGTCAGCATGACAAGAGTTATCTGTACACCGCTGTTTATAGCAACTCAATTCATGATAGCTAAGATAAGGAATCAATCCAGCATGTCTATCAACTGACGACCAGAAAAAGAAAATGTTACACATATAGCACTATGGAATGCTACTTGAGCTGCATGGGTATACAAACATGTCTCTCACATGCTGATTTCATTTTTATCTTAGAAAAATGACAGGAGAATGAGGTGGCTGGTTCTCAGAAATAAGCTCTCCCTACTGCCACCAAGTCACAGTTCCTAAAGCAGTAGAACGGAACCTCTCTAAAGATCCTCCAGCTAATGGGGCTTTTGAAAGATCCTGACCTGGGTTGGGGAGAGAAGACAGAAGCAGGATGAGGCTTCTTTCCTTACAGGCCATCTCTGAGAGCTACATTACATTCTGTGAAAATAATGGCAGAGGTAGGGGCATCTTGCTGGTTATAGAAATCGCCTAAATCTGTGCATTTTCATTTTAAATAAACCAGAGAACTCTATTGTATTTGGTATCCTTTATTATGTCTTTTAAAAATAGTTTATTTATTTATCTGAAAGGCAAAATTATATAGAAGAGGAGAGACAGACACAGACAGAAGGTGGGCAATAGAGAGACTGAATTACTCCTCAAATGGCTGCAATGGCTGGGGCACGAGCCAGGCCACAAGCTAGGAGTCTAGAACTCCATCTGGGTGGCAGAGCCCAAGTATTAAGGTTATATCTTGAGATCATCTCCAGTCCCTGGGGCTGGCCCACAGTTCCTCCCTTCTTCCCCCACGCTCTCTTGCCTTCATTTTTTACCTGGCTCTCCACGTCCTCCTCCATCTAGTCCCCTTCCCCTGCCCTGGCAGCCCCCATCCTGCCACCACAGCAGGCGACATTTCCCTTCCAGTTTTCCGTTCCTACCCTGCTGGAATAAAGGACCTACTAAGCATCAAAAAAAAAAAAAAAAGGTTATATCTTCTACTGATTTCCCACACATTAGCAAGGAGCTGGATTGGACATAGAAGATCTTGGCTCTGAACTGGTATTCATATGATATACCACCTGTGGCTTAACCTGTTGCCATCACAATGCCAGCCTCAAATATACCAATATACCTTATTTAGCAGTGCATATGTACTACTGTAAATTAACATATTTATCCTTTGCTTTAGGGTTAGCTTGTAAAAATCTAAGTAAACCACAGGTTAAGCCATTATGGTTACAGCCAATTCTTCCATTCATAGAGGAAAGCCATCCATTTCCCAACGACATAAAATGGATACAGTGGTTCTGGGAACCACTGATGTTTCAAGTACAGGCAAAATAGAGAAGAGACAATCATCCATCAGTTCAACTCACTACAGATAGGAAACAGCATTCTAAACTAGGAAATATCTTGACACATACTTCTTTTTATGGTTAAATATATCTTCTTTTAGAGCACCATAACACCTTAGGTTGAAGTTTTAGAAATTGGTGGCTTAGGTTCAGCATTCTGGTACAATAGGTTGGGCCATGGCCTGCAATGCTTGCATCCCATGTGATCACCAGTTCAAGCCCTGATTGTCCACTCCAACCTAGCTCTCTGCTAGTATGGATGGGAACGAAAAGGAAGATGACTCAAGTGCATGACCCCGTCACCCACAAGGGAGAGTCTGATGAAGCTCCTGGCTTTGGCCTGGCCCATTCTCTACTACCGTGGCAATTTTGGAAGTGATTCAGTTGAAGGACAATCTCTCCCCTACTCACATTCTGCCCTTCACATAAACTAATCAATCTTTAAAAAATCAGTGACCCTGAACTAAATGTTTCACACACATCCAAATGCACGAATCTGCAACTAGGAAATATGTCCATTTTTTGTTGAATGCCCTGGTTTCAGTAGCTAACAAAAAAATCATAGTAGAAGTAAATAATCAAATGAGGTAGGCAGATCTGTAACTTCTCTGCTGGGGTCCATGTGATGGGAGTGGAAGACAGCAAGGTGTGAAGAGAACTGTTCCATTGCAGGCAGGGCTGCAAGGAATTTCCTGCTGTATGGCAGGGAAACCACCTGAACACAGCTCCACCTTCCTTTGCATGGACACTGGACAATGCCCCTTAGAATTCTGTAATCTATTTAGGCACTGTCTGCCTCTGTGGAGCTAATGTTTATTACCAACGTGAGCTTGGAAATTGATGTTGTTGATACCGTTTTAGCCAAAGAGCCTTTTATTATTGCTGTTTCCACCACTGACCATATGCTAATCAAGGGTGTTACCCCAGGTGTAGTGGGAATCTATTCTTTCCCTCTTTCTTTGATCTTTACTTCCTTCCTTCTGTGATGCATTTCCTCCCTTAACTGATTCAAGACTAAGCTGTAGAATGAGGATTGTAGTAGGAATGTGTTACTGATTGACATGTACCATCTACTGAGAACTTCCTGACCATAGGGTCAGGATGGATAGCATCCAGCTTTAAGGTGAAACAAAGGGCAGAATTATCCTCAGAAACACCCACTTGACCATGATGTAAAAAGTATGAGCCAGAGTTTGACTCGTTCTGTATAAATAAAGCAGACAGCTTTTGTGCATTGTCCACGATGATCGTGGAATTGTAGTGGTCCATCTCTCTCTCTCTCTTTCTTTGTGCCTCATCCATGCACCCTTCGCGAGTTTCGAACTCAGCTGTAGCTGGACTCTGGCACTTCTCTAGTCTTGTTAAATGAATCTCCTTTCAATCTCTGAGGGTGTTTTAACCAAATGTTCATCTTACATGTACAACCGGGGGTCTGAGGTCAGAGTATCAATGTTGATGTGTTGTTCCAGTAGACTGTAAGCCAGAATGGGCAGAGAAGTGAAGCAGATATTGTACATTGTAAGGTAAGCAGCATCATACAGGGGCTGAAATGACAAATAGAAAAGAAACAGATGTGTCAAAACATTCATCTGTAAGACGGCATCTCAGAACTATCAAAACCACTTAAATAGTACCCTCGGAACATGCTCCACATTCGGGGTCCTGGGATATCAGGTGGCTGTCCCCCATTTCCAGGTATTGATGTGGTTGGGCTGCTGGGAGCAGCCTTCTCTCCTCTCCCTACTTTCCTCAGATATAGGAAGAAAAAAGTTGATTGGAGGCAACTGTCTCATCCACTCTCCTCCATCCCTTGGCCCTCCCCACCCTAATCAGTGGTACACATGGGCATACATCCCTCTCAACTATGTAAACATTATCAAAAATAAAATGAACTTAAAAAGATGGCACTTATGTATTGAGAAAAATCACTAGGTAATGTAAAAGAGTTTCCTTTTATGCTTTTTGTAATAGTAAATAAAACTTTTTAACTAAAGTCACTCTACCTGGAGTTATAGAAACTACCAAATTGTGATGCTTCATATTAACATGCCCTCACCTTTAACTAGATTTAATTCATATGTTATAGGCTGCATTTCTAACAGATATTTCATAGTTTTTCAAAATATTTTTCTATAGCTAAAACATTCAGCTATTGTGCAGCTTCTTCAGCAAACACTAAATAAAAATAACAAGATAGGAATCCTTAAACTGAATATAGGCATGAGTCACAGCGTTTTTCTTAATATTTACATATTTTGGTTAATATTTTACAGGTTCAAATTTTACGGTAAATCTTTTCTAACACTCTCTTCCTGAGACCCCAGATACTCTTCTTCACTGTCCTGAGCAATAAATCTAATTTGAATAAAATTTGAATAACTGCAAGTGTGTTCCTGGTGGTCTATTGCTGGGGGCTTTGATAATATCAAACCTCTAAAGCAGAAATGGGTATATAGAAATCATTCAAAAATATTGTAAGAATTATGAAGGAATATGAATTGGAACCTACAGCACATATATAAAGGGCTGCTCTGATAATATAAATACATTATATTAAAAAAATTTAAGGCATTCAGTGAACCTCACTCTAATGAGCCACAGTTATCTACACAGCAAACAAAGCAACAGATTCTTTTCAAAATAAAAATAAGTAATCCAAAGGTTTAGTTACAAATCATAGCTTCCTGGCCAACTCAAAAATCAACATTTTTATACAAAGCCAATATAAAAAAAATGAAAAGGTATGAGGTTTGTGATAAACCATTAACCTATAACATTATAGCATTATTACGATGCAAATTACATAATAATAAAAAAGCAAAAAGTCTTGGCCAGCATTGCAGTACAGTGGGTTAGGTAGCAGCTTTTAATGCTGGCATTCCATATTAGAGTGCTGGTTCAATTCCCAGCTATTCTGCTTCAGCTCTGATCTGGCCTCCTGCTAATGACTCTGAGAATGCAACAGAGGAAAATCCAAGTAATTGGGCCCTGCCATCATGGGGGGACGCAGACAGAGTTCTTGACTCCTGATTTCCTTTGGACTGAACCCTGACCATTTGGGAAATGAACCAGTAGATGGAAGATGTCTCTCTCTCTCTCTCTTCCATCATTCTGACTTTCAAATACATAAATACATCTTTAAAAGGAAATAAAAATAATTTTAAGTTCAGGTGCACTAGAATGCACCAGAAACCTTACAAAAAAATAAGAAAATGTGAACATGTAAATGTAGAAATATTTTTTTGGTCAAAAAAACAGGTCAAGAAAATAAACAGTTTCAAGAAAAAAAGAAATCCTTTTAACTCTGGACACACCTTACATGACCTTACATGTCAACACATTAGCAAGAAATGTAAATTACACTATAACAAAGAACTCATACACCAACCTGTTGTGAGAATCCACAGAAGAACTGGTATAAAAATTGTGGCAAGATGAAACAAAGGTTCTGGAAAAAATTAACATAAGGGTTAACAGTCTCACTCGATAAAGCTTCATAAACTAAAAGAGCAAACTATACTCCAAGTAGTCTATAGTCATTCCTGAATTCTTTCTAATATGAAAATACAATAAATCTATAATTATAGAAAGGCAAAGCTAAATAACAAATTCACATCAAGACTAACTTTTGCCCTACTAATAAAGAGCATTTCACTTACTTTAGGATATCTCTGTATATTTTTCAAGGAAAGATATGAGCTAATCCAGTGTGAACACATAATGATACTAAAACTTAAATAGCAAATTCCAAAATTATAAAGTAGACTGACATTATGCTATAAGTGAATATTTTGAAGTCAATGCCAATAGGTAGTCATGAAAATTATTAAAGCTTATGTTGATATTAACAGCATCAATTAATGCTATATTATCTTTATTACTGCCCCATCAAACAACCAACATATTAACGAGCACATACAACATGTAAAGATGATAACAAAAAAGCCAGTCCTCTAAGATATTTAGCATTTATTTGGGGAATATTAAAAAAAAAAGCAGAGAAAAATATCAGCCAGGATCCATCAGGGAGTTAAGAGTCACTAAATGTGATTATATAATACATTATATACAAGGAAGACCTTGTAAGATAAGTACAATTTACAAGAGCAACAAACAGATTTAATACCTAAATTTGTCCAAGAATGTAAAAGACCTGTACAACAAAATTTATAAAACACTAAGGAAAAAAATAGCACACACACAGAGGGGGGAAAAAAAACTTGTATGTTCATGGATTGGATGAATTAATAGCACAAAAATGTCAACAGCACACAAAACAATTTACAGATTCAATGTGATCCAGGGATGGTGTTGTGGTAGGGTAGCGGCAGCATCCTATGTGGGTGCCAGTTTGAGTCCCAGCTACTCCACTTCCAATGTGGGAGACCCAGTAGATAAGATTCCTATGGTTACTGTAGCCATTTAGGAAGTGAACCAGCAGACGGAAGACCTCTCTCTGTCTCTCCTTATCTTTCCTTTGTAATCCTGCCTTTGAAATACATAAATAAATCTTAAAAAAAAAACACAATCATAATCAAAATACCCAGGACATTTTTCTCAGATCTACAGAATATTCATATGAAAACACGAGATCCCAATGGCTAAAACAATCTAAAAGTACAAAAAAGAAAGCCACAGGCATAACAGTAGCAGATTTCAAGACACACAATAGGGTTCTTATAATCAAACAACCTGGTACTGGCACAAAAATAGATATATAGATTAATGGAACAGAATAGAAACCCCAGAAATTAATCTATATTGCAACAACCAACTAGTCATTGTTAAATAAACTAAAACCAATCCCTATAAAAAGGACAGTCTCCTCAACAAGTGGCATTAGGAAAATTTGATCTTTATGTGCAGAAGTATGAAACAAGATTCCTAATTTACAGCTCAGACAAAAAACAACCCACAGTGGATAAAAGATCTAAATCTATGACCTGAAACCATCAAATCACTAGAGGAAAACAATGATAAACACTGAAAGACATGGGCACAGGCAAAGACTTCTTGGATAATAATGCAGAAACTCAAAGCAAGTGAAATGGGTTAGACACAAAAGAGCATAATTGATTACATTCATATTAAATTTTAACAGAGGCAAAATTAAGGTTATATTTACACATATTACAACTATATATTGCATATAGATTACATACAACTATATATTGTGTTTTATATGTATGTATACATACATATAAACTATGTATTATATGGCAATATAAACAGATTCTCAATATTGTCTGGGGTAGAGGTGAGACTGAGAATGTATGAAAACCATGTAGAGTGATTCAAGTATTTCAGCTGGAGTGATGGTTACACAGATACATAAATTTGTTGTCACCCATGAAAATATGTAGTTCTAATAGACACAATTTACTGCACTGTATTTATATTCCAAAATGTACTCTTTTAAAAATTCACCCTGCGTATGACAATGTGGCACAATGGGTTAAGGGTAAAACTTAGAAAACAGGTATCCCATACTGCAGCACCAGTTCAAGTCCCAGTTGTTCTGCTTCTGATCTAGCTTCCTGTTAAATGTGCCTGGAGGTCAATGGGTTATCATCCAAAAATTAAAAAAAAAAATTCTGGTGAGGATGTAAAAAAAAAAAGGCACTCTAGTGGGAACAGAATCTAGTATAACCATTATGGATGACAGTAACGAGATTCCTCAGATATCTAAAGATGAAAAATCTGAAAATAAGACCCAGTTATTCTACTCCTGGGAATTTATTCAAATAAAATGAAATCAAATGACAGAGTTATCTGCACCCCCATGTTTATGGTACCTCAATTGACAATAGTTAAGATATGGACTCAACCCAGATAGCTATCAATGCATTACTAGATCAATATGGTATTTATACATGATGGAATATTAGAAAGAGATCCTGTTTTTTGCAACAAAATGGATACAACTGGAAACCCTTATGATTAGCGAAATAAGCCAATCCCAGTAAGATAAACATGTTTCCCCTGATCTTTGCAACTAAGACACAGAGTATAAAAACTGTAATCTATATAAACAAGAGGGGCGTCTTAAAATTTGATTATTGTTTGCAGCCTGTGTCTATACTCTTGACAAACAGTAGGTTTTATTTTTCTAATTGTTATATCTTGAATTGTTACCCTATTAAGCCCGTGATTGCAAAATGAAATGAAAATACACCATCAAAAATGTTAAAAAAAAAAAAAACAGAAAGAGACAAAGACAAAAGGAAGGAAGAGGGTGGATGGGAAATATCACTATGTTCCTAAGTCCGTATTGCTCACTTCATATAAATAAAAAGAAGTAGAAAAAAATTAATGTGCCTGGAAAAGCAGTGGAAGATGGTCCAAGTATTTGGGCTCCTGCCACCCATGTGGAGGATCACAACACAGTTCTTGGTTTCTGGGCTTTGGTCTGGCCTTAACCAGGCTGTCAAGCTACTTGTTTTTATTTTATTAAAGACTTAATTTATTTTTATTGGAAACACAGATTTATAGAGGAGAGGCAGAGAGAAAGATCATCCATCCACTGGTTCACTCCCAGTGGACACAATGGCCATAGCTGAGCTGATCTGAAGGCAGGAGCTTCTTGCGGGTCTCCCACATGAGTAGTTTGGAAGTGGAGGGGCTGCAACATGAACCAATGCCCATATGGAATGCTGTCATCACAGAGAGATGATTAGGGTTCCATGTCACTGTAATGTCCTGAAAAGATGATTTTTTTTTTTAAAAAAAATTTATTTATTTATTTTCCTAAATAAAGAAATATAGGTAGATTGTAGAAAGGCAAGGAAGATCTTTTGTCTGCTGGTTCATTGCACACACAGCTTAACAGCTGGGTCTTGGGCAATGGTTCAGTGGCTAAATCCTCATCTTGTATGCTCTGGGATCCTCATATGGTGCCAATTCTTGTCCTGGCTGCTCCAGTGCCCATCCAGCTCCCTGCTTGTGGCCTGGGAATTCAGTGAAGGATGATCCAAAACCTTGGGACCCTACACCCATGTGGGAGACCTGAAAAAAGATCCTGACTTTGGACCAGCCCAGCTCTGCCCATTTCAGCCATTTGGAGAGTGAAGCAACAGAGGAAGATCTCTTTCAATGAGTTACCCCTTTCTAGGTAACTCATTCGAGTAAAACAATCAATCAAATATTTGGAAAAAAAAAAACCAACCATGTCAAGCTCTCTTTCATGTTGACTGTATCAAGACTGTGAAATAAACATGAAAAAAGGAGAAAAAAATCATAACAAAGCTAATCCAATGCTGGAATAAAAAGTTACAAGTTGGTTTGTGTAGAAGACAGGTCTAGAGGTAGAACTGACTGAGCAACTGCAACCACCAGTGTGTGCATAAGCTGATTGGGGCAACAGACTAGCAGACCCTGTATTGCCAGGTACACATAAGAATCAGGTCTGAGATCACTTCAGATGAAGTTTCTATGGGGATTCGCCCCAACTGAGTCACTGGACTCAGAACCCCAACCATGGAGAGAATTGCAAGTTCCATGGTCTGATCGTGGAGTGCATGTGACAGAGCTGGGCCTCCTCAGTGGCTCAGATGGAGCAGTGGACAGCATATCCAGGTGCACATGGAGGACATGGCAGTACATGGGAGTCTACAGAGAACACCTGGTACCACAACAGAGGTTGGAGGACAGAACAAATTGATCAACTACCCCAGCCAATGTTGGCAGTGAATATTTGGGCAAATGAAAACTCTAAGGTGCACTGTGTCAACCAATGGATTCTAGAGAAATTTCATTGCGCTTGGAGAGGCAAGAATGGCAGTAAATCAGAACTATTTAACTACTGAGACCTCTTGAGCAGGACCCTCAGAGCATGCTCCACATCAGGGACTCTGGCGTGGTGTTGGGTGGCTGGACCCAGAGTGCAGAGGTGTTTGAGGGGCTGGGTGTGGCTTCTCTATCTTCCCCCTTCCCCCAGACAGAGGAAGGAAAAAGAGACTGTAAAAATGGTGATCTCACCCATTTTTTTTGTAGTGCTTTTCATCCTAATCAATTATGTAAAAGTCATCAACACTATTGCATACACATTGGAAACAACAGAAAAGTTTTTTTTAAAGAGTTACAAGTTAACTTCAAATATTTATCACATACCTTATAGAAGAAATACTGTACAAGGTGTGCTATTCTCACATAATACAAATGCCCATGAGCCAACAGCAGTTTCTTTAAATGTTTAAACTTTGGAACAGAATAATCACTATTTCTGGCTGCTTGGCGACCTTCTTTACCTTTAATACCTAAAAAGAGTAAGCAACTCACATATTATTTTCATATTTTCTACTTGTTGAAATGTTACAATTTATTTCTAAAGCTCAGCATTATGTTTTTCAAACAAAAAAGACTTTAAGACAGTAATACTGAGACTTAACAAATCAAACCGAAAAGTTAAGTTTAATTACTGATTTATAATATAACTATATGGAGCAACCATTTCAATCACAAAAAATATCTGGAGGGAAAAATTTTGTGTGAAAAATGGTTTCAAGGTACTCAATAAGTGCTTAGTTGCACTTGATACTACATGAGGTGCTATAATAAGCTAAGACCTGGGTTTTGTGGTCTGGGAGTTCAATGAGAAGATGGTCAACTGCATGAGCTCAAGCAGCTAGAGGGTTTCCACACAGGATAACCGATGCATAAATCTTAGAGTTCCACACTATTTAAAATTTCTTACAAATCAAATGTAGCATTTGGGACCTACTCTATAATATTTTACACACACACACACACACACACACACACACACGTATCAATATCCCACCAACAACAACAACAACAAGAAAACAAAAAAATGAAAAATCAACTTGTTGATCTATTTAACACTTCAAATCAGCCTGATGAGAAAAACTGACATATTTGGTAGCAAAGCTGGTGCTGCATGTCAACACATCACACATTTAACACTATATCCCTATACATCTGTAATACTTTCTTGTGGGAGACCATCCAACCAATTATCATCACTTAGACTCCAACAGGCCAGGCAGGAATGAGAACGGGTAACATTTCATGCATGTTTGTCAAAGTGCAATGTAAATAATCAATGGTGTCGTAGTAGGTTTAGGAAATTACTAGGATAATGTAAAACTACCCTCTAGTTTTGCATTGCTACATTTTGACCAGGAATAGGACCATGAGATGAACATGTTCCATCATCATAGGAGACTTTATTTCGTTAAGAGCACGCTCAAATTAAAAATTAAGATTAGCAACCAAAGCTATCTAGAATACAAGATCCCACTTGTGATATCTTACAGCTGCCATTTCATTAGATGTTTCTTACCTATTCCCACATGGGACTCCAAGATCATACTAACATCATTGGCACCATCACCTATTGACAGAGTTATGGGGCTGCCTTTTAAATTCTTCACCATTCTGACAATCTAAACATTAAATACAAAAAAAGGTATAAAAAGTCAAAGCAGAATATGATATTGGGCTACATTAGAGATTTATGCCTCATTTATACTTTTAAAGGGCAGCCTACCAAAGAGAAAGCTACTTTGTCCACGTACGTACAAAAATTTTGAATTCTCAGACACAGAACATGGCTATTCAAAATGTAACATCAACATTCACTTGTTTCTGGTTCCGTAGATTTATAAGCTATAAACTATGCCTCCCATACATAGTAAAGATCAGCATTTCCTTCTTTCGTCATTGCTTGATGTGTCTTTTCAGATTATACGTTCAATCCATCAGTAGAGGCTAGAAAAAGCTGATTTGGGGTAACATTAATGGGTATACTACAACAAAAAGAGGAAAGCCAGAGGACAATGTTTTTGATTCCCTTTACTGGTGACAATGCTATCTTCCCTTAGGACCATTCACACAGCCTATATTCCTAGAAATTTATCCAACATTAAATTCTTACACCTATGTGTCTGCCATCTAAATCTTACTAAATTTCTCACTGCTTAATATGGTTTGGAATCTCTTATAGAGATCTACATTTTGTTATTTTTTGAATTGTATTTTTTATGATGATTCCATAGGCAGAGAGGTTCCCCCTTTCATCTCTCCTTCACTCTCCCCAGATACCTACATTTTAAAAGAAGCATATTACAGGAGAGTGAGTTTCAGATATCTGCCCAAGACAAGTAAGCAAAACCTGAAACTATTCCAAGTGCTCAAGCGTCCTTGCTTCAGGGAAATACAAATGAAAATCACATTGAGGTTCCACCTAACTCCAGTGACAGTGGCCTACATTCAGACTCTACTAACTATACCTGCTCGCATGGATGTGGAGCGAAAGGTAACTTTCTTTACTGTTGCTGGCAGTGTAGGCTAGTGCAATCACTATGGAAGTCAGAAGGGAGAGTGCTAAGAGAACTGAAAATTGAGCTGGCATATGACCCAGCTATACCACTTCTGGGAATATAGCCAAAGAAAATGAAATTTGCATATGTGAAAGGGATATGTAATCCTGTATTTATAGCAGCATAATCTATAATAGCAAAGACATGGAAACAACCCAGATATCCCTCGAGGAGTAGATAAATTGTGCTACATCTACTCCATAGAATACTACCCAGCTATTAAAAAGAATGAAATTCTACCATTTGAAATCAAATGGTCCTAACTAGAGAGCATTAGGCTCAGTGAAGTAAGTCTATCCCCAAAGGACAAACATCATATTTTCTCTCATATAAGCAACATTCATGCGTAACACAAGATTGACATATATCAGGTGCACAAGTATATACACAGAGTCATCTAGAGGAACTGTATAATAGAGACTATTATATCGAAATGTGAAGATACAATGCAATATGCATGTCTACTTTCAAATCAAAGATGGATTCCCAATGAAACTGTTAAGTGTATCTTGACAACAGTACACTAGACTCTGCTATTGTCCATGCCTACAATGTCAGGATAGACTTAAACAGAACAATGGACTTATGACTGTTTTCGGAAGGACCATATGATTGTAATAAAATAGGGGAAATTATGGGGGAAGGGAGGGTAGGGGAGGTCCCAGAGACTTTGGAATTGTACCACAAAATAAATAAATTTTAAAAAACCTGTCACTATTTACTATTCCAAGTATATCTTCAACACATGTAAATGACACTGTGAAGCTCAGTGTCTACAGTTCATGGCGGTACTTTATAAAATGTTCATTGTCAGAGTTAAAGACACTTCCGCTTTTCCATCTCCGGAAATTGTATTGGGTAAGCAGCTATATTCCCACCCTGTTTTAGATAATCACATCTTTATGCGCAAACTTCAAACCCTTTGAATTCTAGAAGCCTTGAAAAAGCTTAAATAATTCAGTATGTAAACATTTTTTCACAAATTCTGTCCTCACAGTTGCTCAGAGCAATCAGCATAAATAAAATCCATTTCAACATAACTGAAGTAACTAAAAATAATTTACACGAAGTTAAGGCGCGCTGCAGTCTTCTTTCAAACAAAACTCAGGCAGGTTTTAGTTGTATCAAGTGGTACGGAAAAAAGTCCACATCTGATTTCATTTAACACAAAAATTATATGACTAGAAAATGCCAGTCTTGCTCTAGTATCCTCAGTTCAGCTCTTGTTAAAAAAAAAAAGTGTAGGGCCCGGCGTGGTGGCGCAAGTGGTTAAGGTCATCACCTTGCACGCCCGGGATCCCATATGGGCGCCGGTTCTAATCCCGGCAGCCCCGCTTCCCTTCCAGCTCCCTGCCTGTGGCCCGGGAAAGCAGTCAAGGACAGCCCAAAGCTTTGGGACCCTGCACCCGCGTGGGAGACCCGGAAGAGGCTCCTGGCTTTGGATCGGCATAGTATCAGCCGTTGCGCTCACTTGGGGAGTGAATCATCGGATAGAAGATCTTCCTCTCTGTCTCTCCTCTCTGTATATCCGCCTTTCCAATGAAAAAATAATAAAAATAAATCTTAAAAAAAAAAGTGTACAAGAAACAGACATAACCTGTAAGGGAAAGAGTAATAGAAAATGGAAACAGAAATAAGGAACTGAAATTAAACATATTTGGTGGACAACACTACTGGTTAACTACTTGCACTTGCTTGCTGCATACAATAGTGATTTAAACTTCCAGGGCAAAAGAACTGCAGCCAGAGAAGTCTATGAAGAGAAAATGATCAAGCATGACAGCTTCCACAGGAAAATGCAGATTTAAAAGATTTATTATCCAACACTGTAAAAAGATAAAACGCCACAGGTTGATCATGCTACAAAACCATGAAAGAGTTAGATAAACATCCAATTATTAGGATATTTTTCATGAAAATGGAAAGATTTTGGCAAAAAAGTATTCAATCATCAACTACAACTACATGCAACATGTTGTATAAAACAATGTGCTAAGATCCAAAGAAACCCTAAGGTTCACACACCTCAAGAAGCATATAATGAAGCAGCAGAGACAAATCATCAATAAATGAATATTAGACAACTAGACTATTGAAAGATAACAAAATGTATTATTAGGCCGGAGTGTAGAACACTGTCATTTAAATCATTCACACAAAGTCTATGACGTCAGGAGATCTCCCTACCCTCTACCCGCCAGACTGAAGAGGAATGATTTTTCAGAAGAGGGATTTTTTTTTTTAAAGATTTATTTTTATTATTTTTTATTGGAAAGGCGGATATACAGAGAGGAGATACAGAGAGGAAGATCTTCCGTCCGATGATTCACTCCCCAAGTGAGCGCAACGGCCGATACTATGCCGATCCGAAGCCAGGAGCCTCTTCCAGGTCTCCCACGCGGGTGCAGGGTCCCAAAGCTTTGGGCCGTCCTCTGCTGCTTTCCCAGGCCACAGGCAGGGAGCTGGAAGGGAAGCGGGGCTGCCGGGATAGAACCGGCGCCCATATGGGATCTTGGACATGCAAGGCGAGGACCTTAACCACTTGCGCCACCGCGCCGGGCCCCAGAAGAGGGATTTAAAGGATGAAAATATCAGTAAGATCTCCATGAATAGAGTGAAAATGAATTATGACTGAGAAAGGGAATGCCACATTAAAAGGCATATAGCCAGAAAAGTTGTGTCTTCTCAGAAAGTAGATCTGGTTTGAGCAATCAATGAGTTTTCACTTCTGAGAGTATTTTAAAAAGTTTGTGTAGAGCCCAGCTCAGTAGCTTAGTGGCTAAAGTCCTCGCCTTGAAGGTGCCAGGATCTCATATGGGTGCCAGTGTAGGTCCCGGCAGCCCTGCTTCCAATCCAGCTCCCTGAATAAGGCCCAGGGAAGCAGAAGACTGTCCAAATCCTTGGGACCCTGCAACCACATGGGAGACCCCGAAGAAGCTTCTGGCTCCTGGCTTCAAAAAAGCTCAGCTCTGACCGTTGTAGCCACTAGGGGAGTGAATCATCAGATGGAAGACCTTCCTCTCTGTCTCTCCTCTTCTCTGTATATTTGACTTTCCAATAAAATAAATCTTTTAAAATTTTTGTGTAAAAATTAACAGATAAGTTTATTCTGGTGTGATTTTTAAAAATATTGCTGTAGATTTTTCAAAACATGAATTTTCTTGAACTTTTGAAGATCCCTTATATGCATGAAATTCAATTTATTTGCATTGAAACAAACTCCTTTGGAACCAACAAGGACTGATATGATGAAAACAGCACAGTATAGGAGGAACTGGGAAATGGTAGCACTCTGGGAAGAGAGAGGTTAGGTTGCTAATTACAGGTAAAAGTCAATGAGTTATGAAAGTCCCAGCTCTGAAGGATTTGAAAAATAAGGAATAGATGAAAAAGACCATGTTGTAGAAATCAAAGTTTTGTGACTGATACTATATGGAAGAATAAAAGTGTGAGGGAAACCAAAACAGAGTTCAAGGTTTTGTTTTTATCTTTTCCTAAAGATTCACTTTGATTGGAAAGACAGATTTACAGACAGTAGAGAGATATTCCATCTGCTGACCCACTCCCCAAATGGCCACAATGGCTGGACCCCAGTAGATCCAGAGCCAGGAGCTTCTTCCAGGTCTCCAACATGGGTGAAGCATTCCAGGGCTTTGGGCCACCCTCTATTGCCTTCCCAGGCCACAAGTAGAGCTGGATGGGAAATGGGTCAGCAGGGAAGCAAACTGGCATCCATACAGGATCCTGGGCAGACACAAGGCAAGGAACTAGCCACTAAGCCACTGTGCTGGGCCTAGATTCCAAGGTTTTTAATCTAGCAATCTGGAAATATAGTGAGCTCAGTCACAGAAACCGAAAGAAAACTATGGTTGGACTGTAGATAAGACAAAATTGGGGTAACTATGTCATAGCCAAGAAAATGGACTTGGTGAAAAAAAAAAATCAGGCAGTAAAACAGGATCCTAAAACTTTAGCAGAAAAGAAGTAGGAAAGTATGCCGAAAACCTAAATTTCCCTCAGTGAGTTAAAAGCAGCAAAGAAAGTAAATGGACCTGGACTGAGGAAAAGAAAAAATAGAGCTAGTGTTTGAGTTAAATTTTATTATGAGTAAAATTTGTGTGAGGACATTTCAGATAGGGAAGCAAAACGAGAAAAAAATCTGACAGTTGTTTTGAGGGTAGTATATAGAAGGAACACAATGAAGATTTAACTGGAGAATTTATGCTGGATAAGAGAGTGATAAAGATACATGAAGGGAAAACTGAAGGAGCACCAGATGCCACTTGGCCTTTATTGTAAGCAACTATGAAACCACTAAAGGTGTTTGAGATGGAATACAGACGATGGGAAGGACGGTGTTTTAACAAGATCAATTTGGGAGTATAGGAAGATAGACTGAAGGGGACAGAGTTGACAGCAAGGAGACCGGTGAGTGGACTAGATCCAACAGTCCGTGCATGCTGTGTATGTCACAAGGTTTTGGACTAGGCTGGCAGTAAAAGGTTTCAAAAGATGATACTAAAACAACAGCTATGACAATGATATTTAATATCAACAAGACATGCAGGGAAAGGAAAAAAAATTTAAGGCAGATTTGAGAGTTACAAAACAAGAAAACTGGCAGCAGTAATTGGAATAATATAAGACAGGGATAAACTTGTTAGGAAAGAAAATAACATTTTAGGTAGTAGAATTTAATATGGAATCCATAGAGATGTCTGACAGCTAGAAACAGGAAATATAACAATAAGAAGAATTCAGAGACAGATATGTATCAATGGGAATCAGAGAAATTGATGTGTATATCTAGAGAAAAAGTACAAAAAGTTCAAAACGAGAGGGAAGACTTGACTCTAGAGAAAACTGGTAATTAAGAAGACAGAAGATAAAGCCAAATGAAAACATTAAGTTGTCAAAGAAGGAAAAGTATCAGGACCATGAAATATCACAGAAACTAAGGAAGGACAGTTTTAATGAGACCTACTTGATAGAGTCAAGTTCAGAGAGAATTCAGGAGGGAAGTGGAAATAACATAAAGGCTTGTCTGAAGGAAAGACAGTAGGCTGAACAGAAAGACCATCTAGGGCTAATGTCATAGGGGAGCAAGGAGCAGTGGAATGGAAGCAATAGGCTTTAACCACTCCTTAGAGGAGTCTGGAAGGTGAGTACCTGGACAACCAATCTGAAGGGACAAGGTATAGCACAGGCTTACTTAAAACTGGGGAAAGACTACTGAGTGCTAAGTCAGGGCAAAAAAAAAGAGAGAGAGAGAAAAGATAGCAATAACTGCTCTTTGACAAAGAAGCTAATTAAAAGTAAATCAAACATATGCACAGGACTCATAGCAGACCATGGCCTCATATTCAGTTACCTGGGCTTTTTGTAATGGTGCCATCCGGCAACAGAGTACTGCAGTACATTTCATACAAATTTGTAGAAAAATGCTTTTGTAATTGTTTGAACCAGAATCTTGACTGGAGTTTAGGATGAGTGACAATGTGGAACCATCGATAATTAATCCATATTCCTGATGTTCTGTCCATGCTCTGGAAAAGAAAAATAATGCTGTGTCTGAATGTATTACACATTTCTATTTAGGATGCTCAATTCTGAAACATAAAGGGAGTGTTCCAGAAAAAAATAAATCATCAATCTGATTTATTGATTTGTTTGTTTTACATAATCAACTATTCCTCATAACGGTCCAACAACAACTTTCAAAAACATCTTTGAGATTTAAGTGCGCATAGGTGACACAAGTTCTAAAACAACTAAAAAAAATGAAGTTGAGCTTCCTGATTTTGTAGAAGGAATGAAATGCAAATTTTGAAAATTATAGACCCATCAAACTATGATATCAAGAAAAGTCAGCAGTTATCTGAAACTCCTTTAACAACAAAGAAAAGACAAAAGGCCTAGTATCTAAGGAAAATAGAGAAAATGTACATGTGAGAAAATTCTACCAAAATTGACTTTTTAAAGATTTATTTATTTTTATTGGAAAGTCAGATATACAGATAGGAGGAGAGACAGAGAGGAAGATCTTCCATTCATTGATTCACACCCCAAGTGGCCACAACAGCTGGAGATGAACTGATCCAAAGCCAGGAGCCAGGAGCTTCTTTTGGGTCTCCCATGTAGGTGCAGGGTCCCAAGGCTTTGGGCTGTCCTCAACTGCTTTCCCAGGCCACAAGCAGGGAGCTGGATGGGAAGTGATGCCACCGGGACATGAACTGGCACCCATATGGGATCCTGGCACGTCCAAGGCGAGGACATTAGCTCCTACACTACAGTGCCAGGTAACATTTGATTTTTTGCCATGATTAAAATATCAGTAAATATTCAATTTTTGTAAAGGGAATCCATGAATGCATCAGTCACAGCAACATTCTACAGTTATAGACAGAATTGTCTAACTTAATGCTATTCAAGGTTTAACGTGCAAAGGAATCACTTGGGGATACTACTAAATGCTGACCCAAATACTGATTCAGACTCAGTATCTCTGGGGTAGGAGAAGAAAGTCTGCATTTCTCACAAGCGGACTGGTTACAATGGAGCTGTTGTTTCATGACCAAATGTAGACTAAGGAGGGCCCAACACACATCTTCATTCCTTTACTCTCCACTTCATAATTTTATAATTGGATCATGTCTTAGGGTTCTCCCCTACTCATAAAGCTAACATAATAGAAAATAGCAGGTCAATAATCCGTCAAGCCTAATTTGCAAATACTAATTCTAAGTAGTCTATACAGAAAACAAAGATTTTTATTTGGCTAATCCTTCTTGCGGTTACACAAGCATGTATGATGGTATGTACTGAACTAAACCACCTAATACATGACTAACAATCAGTTATTGGATTGATCATTGACACACAAAACAGCTGGCTCACAGTGGGATTTGAAATGGAAGAATGTGATATACTGGCAAGTTGAAACTGTCAATTGAGGACTCAGCACTGTGGGACAACAGGTTAAGATGCTATCTGTAAGGCTGGCATCCCATATGAGTAATGATTTGAGTTCTGGCTGCTCCATTTCTCATCTCTCTCCTCCTTTCTAATAGACATGGGAAAGCAATGGAGGACAGCCCAAGTGCTTGGGCTCCAATGACCACATAGGAGATCTTGATGGCAGTCCACAATCCTGGCTTTAGCATGGCCCAGTTCTGGCAGTTATGGCCATTTGGGGAGTGGATCAGTGGATGGAAGATCTGTCTATCTCTTGCTTTTTAAATAAATAAATATATCTTTTAAAAATAAAAGAAAATGTTACCAGCAGCCTTTTGTAAGACCCGAGTCTACCAGTAATGGAGAATTAGTAAAGGTCGCCAAGTCGGGTTGTAATGTGGACGTGAACACACCCCATGTCGTGTATTTCACACATGCGTAGGTTCAAGAACATAATGGTACTTCCCACCTTCCTTACATCGCTCACTCCTCCGTATTTTTCTTTTCATTTTTGCTGTGACATACTTTCAATTTACACTGTAATCACAAGCTTACCCCTGCACTAAAGAAAAATTCAGTGATACTAAGTAACAGACAGACAGTTCCTCGGGAGCATAGACAAGTGCTATAAACTATAACCAAATCTGAAATGGTCAATTTCAGTCATTTACTTTTTTATACTCTCTGTATACATAGCAGTTAGTCAAAGAAGCAAGCATAGATAAAGCTGGGAGTCTGACTAGAAGGAACAAAGAAACAGAAGCTGGCAATGGTGGTTCTGGATCTGAAACCTGTATGACTGGGGAAAAGCTTATGCTTGACTCCAGATAGCTAGGAGGTAACAATGACAGATGGACATACTGCATGTCTCATGGCTGCCGAACAGCACCACACATTGTATCTTCATAAAAGTGTTATGTTAAAAGCCTATCCACTATACAGCAGTATTTGGAAATAGGGCTAAATGAGTTCAAAAGGGTGGGGGGCCCATATAATAGAAATACTACTTTTAAAGAATAAGAGATTCTAGAGCTCTGTCACAAAGGGAGAAGCCAGCCAGCTGCAAAACCAGCAAGAGGGCCAACATACAGATGGTCAATCATCTATATTCTGTGATGGGTGACCAAACCCAGACCAAGGAAAATGGACAAGTAAAATATATTTACTTTTGACATCTTTGTAAGTACTATTTGAATAAAAATGAAGACATTTTTCAAAGCAACTAATAAAAATCTGTTTAATTCAACTAATAACCAAGTAGGAGAAGAACAATAACTTTTAGAACTGGTCACAGCCTCACAGAAGGAGGCCATTGCATTTTAAATCTTGTTCAAATACCAGAGATAAGGATGCAGATAGAGATGTTAAAAGCATGAGATCTGCTATTGGAGAGACTTGATCAACATAGCTACATGATCTGGAGCAAGTTATTCCATCTCTTTGAGTCTCAGTTTCCCTGTCCGTAAAATGAAGACAGATTGCCTGAATTCTTAATGATGATTAAATGACAATAATCACAGAAAGCACTTAAAACTGTTCCTGGAACATAGAGTGTGCTTAAGAAATGGAAAATGACTTGGGTTAGGGGTTATAGGAGTTAGTGCTATGGCCTTTCAGAACAGAAAATGGATTTGTTTATTGCCAAGATAAACCCAAGTAATTGGTTTACATTATGCTGTGCCCTGGCATTCTTTCAGACCCCTATTTTCCACAAACCCTTTCTAAATAGCTAACTGAAAGTATCCAAGTGGCCGCATTAGCTAGTCAGAGCTCCCCTTTGGAGTTGAGGGGCATGAGAACCCAGAGAAAGGGTTTTGGGACTTCAAAATCATAACAGCTGTTAAAATATTCATTTTATTGTGTTCAATTTTAATGTGGGTTAGGCCACAATATCAATATTGAATATCCAAACCAGTTTCTAAGCATTTGGAAATTGAGTCATTTTTCTAAATCTAAAGAAATGTAAAATTTCCTTTATGTTAAAAGAGAGGAAGAAAGTGCTAAATAATTTCAAATGTACCACTAGCCAAGTTCTCAGAGAAGGGTTTAATTTAAAAAGATAAAATACTTGCAAATAAAGTATAAATTACAGAAAATGGTGCCTTCTGCTCACAATGCCATTATTTACATCTAAACCCATGTCTAAATATAAGAAACAATGTACTTTCTTACTTTTTAAGGCTCCTAGTATTCTTAGGAAATTCATGTAGCAACTTCTTACGATATTCTATCAATAATTCATGTAATCGATCTTCCTTCCTTTCACTTTCTTCAATGGTTTTTGTAGTCAGTTCCAAGAGCTCAGTACTGGTTTGAAAAAGACGACAGGCATAGCATGTGGATTTGGCTGTTTCCATCTTGTCTCCAGTGAGCACCCAGACTTTTAGGCCTGCTGCATGCAGAGCTTCAATAGTCTCGGCAGCTTGATCTTGTAGCCTGGGAATACAAAGGACACTTTGTTGTTCCTGAACACTTAGTGGAGATTCTGCAAGAAACCACGTTAAAGAGAATTTTTCCATAATTCCCACACATTAATTTTCCCACGTATCTTCTACTCCTTCTTTTCTTAGAATGCTGTTTTTCTTAGAAGTTTGATTTATTAAAAGGAATTTCAGGAAATTTTCAGAGAAATTCAAGGTATTTTTAAAGAAAACCAGTATCTAAGAGCAGAATGGAGAATCACTGCTCTAAGTTGAGGTGTCCAAAAACTCAACAAACTGTAACACTTTATCTCTTCAGTGTATTTCCTCCTTTGTTGTATCTCACCATAAAAATACCAACATGGACTAAAACAGATGTGGTTAAAAATACTCTAATTAGTTATATTAAATCAAAATACCACCTTCACTAAGAAATTTTAAGAATAAAAAGATTGTCAACAGATATAAACAAGCAATTTTAAAAGAAAAGATACATTTATTTTTACTGGAAAGGCAGATCTACAGAGAGGAGAAAAAGAGATAAAGATCCTTCATCCATTGGTTTACTCTCTAAATGGTGGCAATGGTCAGAAGGCAGGAGCTTTTTTCTGGTTTCCCGCATGGGTGCAGGGTCCCAAGGTTTTGGGTCATCCTCTACTATTTCCCTAAGTCATAAGCAAGAATCTGGATGGAAAGTGGAGCAACTGGGATATGAAGCAGCATCCATATGGGATGCCAGCACTTGTAGGCAGAAGATCACTAACCGAAGTCATTGCATTGGCTCTGAATAGGCAACTTCTGAAAGATGAAATAGAAATGGCCAATAGATATGGGAAAAAATGCTTAGGATTACTAGTTATGAGGGAACTGCAAATAAGAATCACAATGAGTTTCCACCTCAATATAATTAGAATGGCTATCATACAGAAACCACAGAACAATAAATCCAGACAAAGCTATAGGGGGAAAGCTATTCTGATCCATTGCTAGATGGGAATGTAAACTTGTATAAACATTATAGTAAACAGTAATGAGATTTCTTACAGGTCTGAAAACCAGAACTGCTGTATAACCCAGCTATCCCAACTCTGGGAATTTACCTAAATGAAATTAAATCAGCATTCAAGATTTCTATGTACTGCCATGCTTTTAGTAGCTCAACTGACAACAACAAAGATATGGATGACCTGAAAGTATATCACTGTAAAAGGAAGGAGGAGGGTGGGTGATGACATGGGTGAGAGTGAGGGTAGACTACTAAAATGTCCTGCGAAATACGTGAAGTTTGTTCACTTGTTTTACAAAAGCAAAAACAAAACAAAAAGTTAGGCTGGGGGCATATTAAGCTACTGCTTACTACACCAGCACCCCAAATCAGAATGTTGATTCAAGTGGCTCCTTTACTTTTGATTCAACCTCCTACTAATGCATTCGGAAAGGCGGTGCATTTTGGCCCAAGTGTTTAGGACCCTGACATCCACTTAGATGCAGATGCAGTTCTGGCTCCTGATTCTGTTCTGGTCCAGCTCTGGCTATCACGGCCATTTGGAGAATGAATCAGTGGATAAAATGTCTTTCTCTTTCTAACACTCTTTCAAACAAATAAAGCATGCACCAAACAATGGAAAGGCTATTCATCTTAGATGAGAATTTAAGTATAATCCTAACAGATAATAAAATAGTAACACTTTCTTTGGGGCTTCTTTCACTTGGAGAATAACAATGAAATTAAGACTAAATGAATTTCATTAGATTTACAATCCTGTGTGGCTGTTTTTAACTGTGTTTGGTTATAAAAACATTAAGGGGCCCGGCGCGGTGGCGCAAGTGGTTAAAGGTCCTCTCCTTGCACGCCTGGGATCCCATATGGGCGCTGGTTCTAATCCCGGCAGCCCCGCTTCCCTTCCAGCTCCCTGCCTGTGGCCCGGGAAAGCAGTCAAGGACAGCCCAAAGCTTTGGGACCCTGCACCCGCGTGGGAGACCTGGAAGAGGCTCTTGGCTTCGGATCGGCATAGTATTGGCCGTTGCGCTCACTTGGGGAGTGAATCATCGGACAGAAGATCTTCCTCTCTGTCTCTCCTCTCTGTATATCCGCCTTTCCAATAAAAAAAATAATAAAAATAAATCTTTAAAAAAAAAAAAACATTAAGAATCCAAAAAAGCAGATCAATAAAACAGTGTTACAATCATGCTTGGAAGTGACCAGTCTACACTTTCCAGGCATACAACTTTTTTAAAAAAGATTTTTTTTTAAAATTGAAGTCAGATATATAGGGAGGAGAAGAGGCAAAGCTCTTCTATCTGAAGCCAGGAACCAGAAGCTTCTTCGGGGTCTCCCAAGCCTGTGGGCTGTCCTCTGCTGCTTTCCCAGGCTACAAGCAGGGAACTGGTTAGCAAGTAGAGCAGCTGGGACACAAACCAGCACCCATATGGGATCCTGGCAGATGCAAGGTGAGGATTTAGTCACTAGGTCATCATGCTGGGCCTGTATATGTATGTTTAAAATCTTTCATTTGCTGGTTCATTCTCAAAACGCCTGCAATAACTAGGACTGGCTATGGCTAAAGCCAGGAGTTAAAGACTTGATCGAGGTTTGCCACTGGGTGGCAGGGTCTCAATTCCTTGCGTCATCACTGCTGCCTCCCAGAGTACACATTAGCAGGAAATGGAATCAGGAACAGAGCTGGTATTCAAATCCAGATACTTTACTATAGGATCAGGGCAGCTTAATTTGCATTTTAACCACTAAGCTACACATCTGCCTCAACCCAATGAATTTTCTAAGCTACCTACATTAAAAATATTTATTTTTCTTTGAAAGGCAGAGTTATAGAGAGGAGGGAAGGAAGGAGGGAAAGACAAAGAGGAAGAGAGAAAGAGAGAGAGAGAGAGAAAGAGAGAGACGGTGAGCTTTCTCAGAGCATAAACAGAGAGCTGAATTGGAAGTGGAACAGCTGGGACACGGATTCCATATGAGAGGCTGGTGGCAAAAAGATGGGTATTAGCCTGTGGAGACACCACACTGGCCCAAGCTTACACACAATCCAATTCAGAAAACAAAAATAAATCAACAATTTGAAAATGTGAGAATATATCGCTTCTCGGCCTTTTGGCAAAGATCGTGTGAAAATGTGAGGATAAATTATTAATTTGGAACAGATTCTACCCCAAACGACTGATTAAAATTATTTTCTAATTACTTGTCTTCCACTGCAGTAGCTCCAATTAAATTCATGTTTGTCTCAATATCATCAAAAACTTTTTCCATTTTTTCTTCTCTGTCTTGCAAGGCCATTTTTGCCTCTAGAAGCTGTCTGTTAATTCTTTCATAATCATCTGGAGCAATTTCTTTGAAGGCTACACAGAGTGTCCGATATCCATCCTAGAGGCAAAAAACAACAACAAAAAAAGGAGATCCATCATAATAGTTGGGAAAACAGTATATTCTCTTTAAATGTACAAGAGAAATATTGACACATATTTAGTTAAAAATGAAAATAACTAAAAGGTAACATTCAATTACATTTGGAGCAACAAAAATAATAGCCAACTTAAAAAAAGGTTATTCAAAAATCTTTCAAGGTGGTAAATTCTAATCAGAAAATTACTCCAGCAAAATATATTACAGTTACTAAGAAACATAACAGTTTCTAAGCTCCAAATGCTAAAAACAAACAAACAAAAAACCCTGAGGATATCAATCAGCTAAGACTCATTTATATTCATTCAAATGGTCATCTCATATACATGAACATCTTGGATATTTCTTCATTTATTCTTTTAAGGGGAGGGGCAGAGTCTCACCATTGCATTACGTTCGACATGAGCTTTAGTTAACTCAATTTCATGATTTTGTACCCTGGGAAAAACTGCTGAATCTGCTCCTTTACAAAAAAGAAGTATGTCTCCTAAAAAAACAAACAAAAAAACCAAAGTAGTTCACTTAGAATTGTAAGGCTATCACTGAAATGTTGGTAACATGTAATCATCAAGACGTCCCCCACCCCTGACAGTTGCCATGTACCCCAAACCTTCCTTAGTATGTTCACCAAAATGGATTGAAATATTCTGATTTTTAGACAATGAAGAGAATATTCACCACCTCTTCAGACCATTAATGGATACAACCAGGATGCTAGTTTAAAACCTGTATCTGTGTGAAAGCATACTTCTTCCCAGTTAATCATGGAGGACTGATATTGTGTTGAGTTTCACCTGAATTCTCTTTTAAAATTTCAGAATTGGCTTAGAGTGCACAAAGAATCTACAGATGTTAAGAAACAAACTCAAATTCAACTTGAACTTGCTAAAAGTTTTCTAAATAAACTACACAAATTAGCTTTCTAAAGATTTACTTGAAAGGCAGAGTGACAAAGACAGGTTGTGGGGTGGAGGTTAGGAGAGAGATCGAATGATAGAAGAGAATATCATCCAGACACTAGTTCAGTCTCCAGCTGCCTGCAATAACCAAGGCTGGGTCAGTGCAAATCAGGAGAATCACAGGCATCCCAAGTAAGAGCCATCCTGCTGCTTCTATCCTCAAGTTGGCTGTTAAAATACCGGCTTCATGGTTTTTAATAGAAACTTGGTAAAAGCTTTGTAGAATGCTACTATAACGGCAGTTTTAGATCAGTTCAAGAAATATTCATGGCTGAGCACTCAAGAGACCTTTTTCTTACATGGTAAAGACTGAATTCAACAGCTAAAAAGTGTGGCTCTTATTTTGCCTCTGTCTCTCCTTCTCTATAAATTTGCCTTTCCAATAAAAATAAAGCATTAAAAATTTTAAAAATAGAATGTAGCTCTGAAGTCAATGACTTCTGTACATCACTTCATCAGATACCTCTTCATTTACAGAACATAATACAGGCTGTGCATACCTAACAAGACCAAGTATTTCAAGTGATAGTTAAAATGATTCAAAATATCTTCCAAACATCCAAGGTATTTAAAAGTCATGAGGGGCACGACCTTGGACCTGGGGGCTGAAACTTCTGCAAGACTGCTGGCTGCTGGTGGGTCCCAGGCTGGGGTGTCTCCATGCTTGGATCCCTGGCTCCAGCCACTGTGTGCACTGTGATGAGCTGCTCCTTGGGGCTGGGTACACCAAGGGGGCAGGTCTTGGGGGTCCGGACAGGCTCGGGGCCTGCCACCACCACTGAGCGGGGGATGGGATTGGGGAGGGGTACGACCTTGGACCTGGGGGCTGAATCTTCCGGCAGCCTGCTGGCTGCTGGTGGGTCCCAGGCTTGTCTAGCAGGATCATATCGTGTTACCTGAAATGATGGTGGATATGGAGACGGGTCACATTAGGCAGGGCCACGACATTACCCAGCATGCCAGAGAACCATATCCAGGGGTAGATTCTGTGCAGGGAGTGTGGGCCAAACCCTGTGGAAATTCTAGCCCCACAGGTTAGTTCAAGAGATGGGGTGGTGATGGACTAAGTTAGGTGTGACCAAGGAGCCTGCCATCAATCACAGGTAAAGGAACGCACAACAGTTTGGACTGGTCAAGGCAGCAGCACCCGAATGTGCATCCTGAATAGGGTGTAGGGTGGGCCGGGCTGCTACATTCACCAGCTCATGCAAGGCCAAATGGAAGGCCAGCCTATGCCGGGCACTGGCCTACACTCAATGGCATGTACGAGAACTGGGTCTGGGAGTGGATTAAGTGGAGGAACTTGGGAAACTCTCCTGGCGAGTCATAGCTCCCACAGGTGAAAAATGTGGTCCAGACCTGGGGGTCGGACAAGCTGGGCAAAGTAGCTCCAATGGCTGGCTAATGTGTCAATTGCTAATGGAACAGGGTAGATCAGGCAGGACTGAGCAAACCTTAGCCCACAAGTAAAACTAGACACCAGGATGGATCACAGGTCATGCTGAGCTAGGCTCTTACACCTACTGGTCTGTGTGAGCCAGGGACACTAAGCCACAGTGTCAAAGGCAGAGGTTGGGAAAGGTGAGGGGCTGTGCCAAGCTGAGTCAGAGCAGCCACTCGCATGCACATGATCTATGGCTGGGAACAGACCCGGTTGGGGAGCTAAGGGGACACCCTAGCTGGGTCGAGGTTCCCCTCAAGGGGTGTGTGACCTGGAATTGGAGCTGCATTCTGATCAGGAAACGGTTGTAGTCTCCCTTGGCACAAGTGTGGACTGGGACTGGATGCACCAAGCCGGGCCAGACTCCAACACCTTCTGGTGTTCTGGAGGACCAGGGTAGATGTGGGACGGACTAGGCTAGGTCTCAACCCCTACTGAGCCATGTGTGATCTGTATGTGGGTATGGGCAAGCCATGGCTGGGCTGAAACATCCAACAGCAAGGACCAGTTTGGGTTGAAGGCCACTCAGGAAAAGCCACTGTTCCTGCTAGGACAGGAGGTGAACTGAGTAGGGCTGGCTCATGGACCCACTGGTATGCACAAAACCTGGCAGAGGTTTTGGGAGAGGTTTGGATGGAGGAACCTGGGCAACTCCTCTGGCAGGACACAGACCCGGCAGGTAAGCGCCAGAAGCATGATAGGAAACAGCCCAGAACAGGCCATGGAAAGTTATCCACTGGCATACACTTGGCATGGATCAGGGGCAGACCAGGCTGAATCTGTCCACGTCATCCACTGGCAAATCCAAGCACCAGAACAGTGTGGGTCAAGTCAGGTTCGGGCGCAACAAAGACTAGTGCACAATACAGAATGCCAAGTTGAGTTTGCCAGTCCTGGAAGTGACCACAGCGCCCAACCAGCACACGTGAGAATCAGGAAGGGAGGGGGCGGAGCCAGCAGGGGAATAAGGGGTGGTTTCCCTGCTTGGACAGCTACTCCCTCTGGAGATCATGGGCTGGGATGGGGGCACACCAGACCAAGCAGGGCTACAACACCTGTGGGCCTCATGTGGACTAGATCAGGGAAAAGCCAGGCTGGGATGATGGTTCCTACTGGTACAAACTACAAATTAGAGTGGGTGAGGGTTATTTGGGCTTAGCTGCAGCATCAGCTGGCAGAAGCTGGCACTAGGGGCTAATTCTGTCAAGTTAACCACAGACCCACCTGGAGAGTGCATAATACGGGAATGGGAGTGGCCTGGGAGGGAAATAGTGGGCTCCTCTCTCTTGGGTTACCACTCCCACTGAAGGGCACAAAAACTAGGACAGGGGCTGGGGTGGCTAAAAAGAGAGGCACTCAACAATATCCGTGAGGGCTGGATAGTGGAGCTGATTAGATGGAACTAAGCTTCAATACCTATCGACATGTACGAGAGTCAAATTGGACGTGGGACAGACTGGACTAGTCTGCTACACAGACTACGGTAGGGGGCTTGCCTGGTGGTTCCAGCGGAAGACAGGGATGGAGGCAGATTCAACCCAGCAATTGCAACCACCAGCTGATTGGGGCGATGGACTGTACCAGGCCCTGTACTTGCTAGTAAATACAAGAATCTGGTCTGAGAACACCTCAGACAAAGTTTCTTTGGGGATCTCCCCAGTCGAACTGCTGGACTCAGAGCCCTAATCATGAAAAGAGAGAAGACAGAACAGGTCAATCAATCACCTCAGCTATATGTTGGCAGTGAAAAACTGGGAAAATGGAGACTCTATGATGTCAATCAATGGATTCTTCAATGACCTCATCTTGCTTGGAGTGGTGAGACTGGCAGCAATTCGTTCAACACTATCAAAACCACTTGAGCAAGACCCTTGGAGCATGCCCCAAATCGGGGACATTGGAGGGGGGGGTGGGAAACTGGGTGGGGCTTCTCCCTTAAAATCCCCCTTTACCTCAGATATATGAAGGAAACAATGTGGAAATAATGGTCTTACCCATTTTCATGTAGCCCTTGAACCTTTTTACCCTATTTAACTATGTAAAGATTGTCAAAAAATATAATAAAAAATGAAAAAAAAGTCATGAAACAAATTCCATGGCAACATACTAAAATCATATTTTGTAAGTTTGTATTCATATAATGAAGTATGAATAAAGTGGGGTATGTTCTACAAGGTTCTGTCTGAATCTTCTTTCTCACATTAAGGAATCTGAAAAAGGTTAAGTACTAAAAAGTAAACTGCTGAGACATATATCAAAGATATTTTGAAAACAAATTTCCAAGGTACACACATGCGTTTCAGAGTCTGTAAATGAAGCAGAAGTGGAAATCTCCTCATGGAGTTGCAGAATCTGAGCAAAAGGAAAAAACAAAACAAAACAACCTACCACGGTTCTTCAAAAGCATAGGTAGATCATGGTAACGGTGTTGGTTCCCTTGCAATGGGCAAGTGCTATGTTGAAAAAAGAACCCAAAGCTTTGTAGGGAAATTGTAATGCCCAGAAGCGCAGAAGCCTGGCAGACTCTTTTTCTACCTCATCTGCTTCTAGGAAGTGTAAAGCTACAGGGGTATACATGACAATATGCCCATGGTCCTATCATGTTATGATGACTCATGAATCCGCATTTTCTGATATTAATACTCATATTTTCAAGGAAAAACAGTACTTATATGTATGTATATAACATCTACATATGGAATAGATATGGTAAAATCTTAAAAATTGTTAAATCACAAACTCGTAAAATTAAATTTATAAAAAGTAGACAAATTAGCAAAGCTGAGGAGGGATAATCAGCGAGTCCAAACTTATGCCTACTGTCAGATTATTCAACTATATTGAGTTAATTTGTGAAACGTTATTGGTAGATACCAACAATGGCGCAGTTCCTGCACTAGGGAAATATTTAAACATTGAGATGTCAAGACCTCCGAACAAATTCACAATTGAGTACCCCATGTCATATAAAAGTCATCCTTTTGGTATCTGTTTAGCCATCCACACCAGAGAAATAGAATTCTATTTTCAATAAAATGTATAAACCACTGTACCAGGAGCTCTGCTGCTGACAATTTGACAAATTCAACATAGGAGCATAAATAAATACGTTAAATCATATATACACGTTACTGCTTTGCACGACTTTAGTTAATTCTACAACACTAAATCAAACATTTTTATTCCTTGACATAGCAAATTAACATCTAATCCTACAAATGAAAAAAAATCATATTTTGAAAATGCATACCTCTTTGAGTCTTCACAATTACACTCATTCGTCTGCGAACAGCATCAAAATTTAAGGTGTGGAGAAGTTCATACCTTTAAGAGAAGTGAGAAAAGTAAAATACCTAGATTTAACTGAGAGAAAACATAACAAGTCTTAAGGCATTTTAACATCTTAAATGAACAGATAGCTCTCCTCCTTGGGGGATGGAACTGCGTACATGATTGTTAAGCAGTGTACTTCATATTATGGGAGACTAATAATGAGATAACTCTACTTCTAGTCTTGCAAACACTTTTTAAAAGGCACTCACAATGGACAGGTGAGCACAAAGACGGAAGACAAATAAAGGCTTCCTGCAAGTTGTTTTTGTGTTTGGTTCCATATATGAGCGATAGGACAAAAAAGGTGTTTATGGTATTCTGAGTAAAAGGATGAGCACTACTTGTAAATGGAAAACAGCATGACAGCACTTGGCCCATTGGGCACTTTAAGTAGTTTACTAATGGTAAAAAAACTCATTGACAGGGCAACAGAGACAAAGCAAAAAAGATAAGCAGGGGCTGGAAACCAAGACTTTCAAGTGTCATTTCAGAAATTTGAGGTTTTATACTAAAATAAATATGAAGTCAAAGAAAGATTTAAGGGCCCTGCGTGGCAGCCTAGTGGCTAAAGTCCTAGCCTTGCACATGCCAGGATCCCATATGGGTACTATCCTAACCCCGGTGGCTCCACTTCCATCCAGCTCCCTGTTTGGGGCCTAGGAAAGCAGTTAAGGAGGATTCAAATGCTTGAGACCCTGCACCTACATGGGAGACCCAGAAGCAGCTCGGAGTTCCTGGCTTCAGACTGGCTCATTTCTGGCCATTGTGGCCATTTGGGGAGTTAATCAGCAGACGAAAGATCTTTCTCTCTGTATTAGCTGCCTTTCTAATAAAAAATAAAATAAATCTTTAAAAAAAGGATTTAAATAGTGGAATGACAACATAAAATTATCAGATGAAAAGATGCAGAAGACTTAGAAGTTGTTTTAAAAGTATGATCAAAATGAATATTTTATTGAAAATGAACAATCTGAATACATGCACTGAACTTAAAATATGTGCTCCTTTGTGGTAGGAGCAGTTCACTGATTTGGCACATAATGCATACATAAGGCATTTACATGTGGTATCTTGTTTTATGCTGGCCACATCAAACTGATCATCTGGGGCTAGAATCTGGGCTCTAACAATGACTCACACATAAGAATCTTCCTCTGAGTTTTTGAGCATCTCTCCCAAAGGAGAGTACGCACAGCATAGGCTTCTGGGAAGGGGTGCTTAATATCCTAGGCCTAGGGACTACATCGGGCACCAGAAAAGATAATTACATTTCATGCTCAGATGAAGGAATTAAAATTAATCACAAAGCCTATTTTAAACTTGCCATTAAAATGAGTGTCTTTGTTTCTTGGATCTTGTAACTCACAACTGAGTATCTAAAAGAAGACAAACGTTGTGGTTTACACAAAAGCAATACTTAATGAGATTCTTTAGTAATTGCTTGGGATCTGGAAAGCAGAGGGTGTCATCTGTGCTCCCTTAATAATTTTTTTTCTTTTAAAGATTTATTTGTTTTTAATTGGAAAGGCAGACTTACAGAGAGAGAGAGAGAGAGAGAGAGATATCGAGATATCGAGATCTTCCATCTGCTGGTTCGTCCCCCAAGTGGCCACAATGGCTGAAGCTGAACCGATCTGAAATCAGGAACCAGGAGCTTCTCCAGGTCTCCCACGTGGGTGCAGGGTCCCAAGGCTTTGGGCCATCCTCTACTGCTTTCCCAGGCCACAGGCAGGGAGCTGGGTGGGAAGTGGAGCAGCTGGGATACAAAGCAGTACTCATATGGAATCATGGCGCATGCAAGGTGAGCATTTAGTCACTGAGCCATTGTGGCGGGCCACCTTAATATTCTTGAAGCATGTGTCAAAACCTGAAACGGTATCTGAATTTCAGAAATTGTACATAAAAACTCTTACTGGTTATTGGACCCATATGTCAAATTGGAAGTTTTCCATAAATCCATTTTTAAAAGATTTATTTTTTATTGGAAAATCACATATACAAAGAGGAGGAGAGACAGAAAGGAAGATCGTCTGTCCACTGATTTACTCTCCAAGTGGCCACAACAGCAAAAAATGAGCCAGTACGAAACCAGGAGCCCGGAGCTTCTTCCAGGTCTCCCACGTGGGAGCAGGGTATCAAGCCTTTGGGCCGTCCTCAATTGTTTTTACAGGCCACAAGAAAGGAACTGGATGGAAGTGGGGCTGCTGGGACACAAACCAGGGCCCATAAGGGATCCTCGCATATGCAAGGCGAGGATTTTTAGCCACTAGTCTACTGTGCCAGGTACATAAGCCCATGTTTTTGACATTCAACTGAAAATAGCTTCCTGGGCCCGTAGCGACAGTATAACGGTTAAGGTCCTCGCCTTGTATGCACTGAGATCCCACATGGCACCAGTTCTAATCCCGGCAGCTCCACTTCCCATCCAGCTCCCTGCTTGCAGCCTGGGAAAGCAGTTGAGGACGGCCCAAAGCCTTGGGACCCTACACCTGCGTGGGAGACCGGGAAAGAAGTTCTTGGCTTTGGATCGGTACAGCACCAGCCGTTGTGGTCACTTTGGGAGTGAATAATCGGATGGAAGATCTTCCTCTCTGTCTCTCCTCCTCTCTGTATATCTGTCTTTCCAATAAAAAAAAAATAAATCTTAAAAAAAGAAAAAAAGCTTCCTATTTGTTTTCTAACTCCATGTACTTTAGTATAAAACTCTGAATGGGAGAGTCAAGTCCTGTACCTGCAAGTACCTTGCTTACCATTGTTCTTCTTTTTGGAATCCATTTAAAGTTGAGTAAGAAATGGGAAAGTGACAAACATTCACAGTGTTACTTACTCTTCTATTTCTTTTCTTTGGTTCTCTATTCTCATATGTCCATTCCGATTTCCTAAAAATGTGAACCCGTATCTGTCAAAAGCAATAAAATACTTTGATGTATCTGTAAAGAATGATTAATTTTACCTCATGTTGTGGCTAGTCATGTTTATTCTTCTCTTTCATGTATAATATCAACATATAATTGCACTTACCTGTCATAGATGAGCTGATTACAGAGAATAATCAATGTTCAGTCACAATTACTGTAACCAAGGGAGAAGCAATCTGTAATCATTCTGCAGCTAAGACATGGGTAACCTTTTCGCCACTTCATCATTGTGGGCCTGCAGGATGTAACTGGACTCTCACTCCAAGTCTCAACTGTTAGGAGTACTTAAAAATAATTTGTATTTTTCAAAAATTGGCTACTGTAATGTAATTTGCAAAATATAATATGAATATTTGGACTTGCGGCTGGCGTAAAAAAGTAGACAAGGTATATCTGCACATTGCTATTTTCTATTTGGTCTTTAATATTTTGAGATTTTTTGCGTAGATTTTCAGATAAAGCCTTTTTTATTAGACATGCACACAATAAGGTTGCTGAAGGACAGAAAGAATGAGGGAAATAACTCCTGTTCCTTTGTGATTTTACTTTGGCAGGCAAAGAACAAGAAAGGCTTACTTTTTAGCTCCTTTCACTAATGCTATTTCATCTGGAGAAGAGGAGATATAGGTTAATTCTGCTGATTCTGTAGCTCCATCTACAGCATCACTGGCTTTAATTTCTACAGTATGACATAAACACAAGGCACGCAAAAATAGCTCTTCTCGACTCTGTGGAACAACAGAAAAGTATATTATTGTTACTGTGATGACTGAGTAATTAGGGACTGAAACAAAGTATATATTAATGTGAAAGATGTTACAATTTACACAAAACTAACAGCAATTTATACATTCCTAATATTCAAATGAGACATATCCTCCTAGTACCTAACAGAATTCGTGATGCCCAGCAAGCACACACTAGGAGATGTATTACCAGTGGATGTATTGTCTCCTGAAGCAAAGCAGTGATTTTCTCATGGTCTGAAAAAAGTTCATTTAGTATCTAATTCATAATCCAGCAACAGCTTAAGCATAGGCAGATTGGTTCATTTAATACCGACTTTAATAACTTGTACATAGGCATAATTGTTAGAGGAATTAATATTTAAAAAAAAATCAAAGTGTAAGAAATGATGATCATACAAAGTGAAAGATTTACCCCAAGTCCATCTCCTACCATTTCACTTGTTTACAAAGTCCAGAAATGTCGACAATGTGAAGCCAAAAGAAAAGTCTTTGTCTTTGTCATGCACCTACTGGGAAGTTATTTATTTCTATAATGCATGCAGACTGATTTGTCTGGAAAATAATAATGCAGAAAATGTTAATTACCTTATCTGCTTTGTCAAAATATGTTAAAGGTCCATCAGTTTGAGACAATCCATCAACTTCCTGAGTTCCACCTCTATATTTGTGTCCATCTATGCAGCACTCAATGAATTCCATGGTGTTTTCAGTGAGTGTTCCAGTTTTATCTGTAAATATATAATCTACCTAAAAACAGTAACAGAAGCATACATCTTTAATTACTTCAGTAAGAATAATTTTCAGTAGCTGTGACATGACGCTATTTTCATATTTTAAAAAATCAACTCATTTAAGACTTATCAAATTTCAAGGAATTATAATTTTTTGAACAAATGAGAAATGAATGAGCTCTCTTAACATAGCACCACATCGGAGCAGGAGGACAAGAGGACAGGAGGAGGCTTGTATCCCAACTCTGGAGACTCCCAGATCCTCACCAAGGACTATCAGTATGGGTACCACGGGCTATATCCCAACAGCCAAGGAGACTATGGGTATTGGAGTGCCCTCATACACCAGGAACTCTGAGGTCGTCCAGTCCCTATTGGATCTCCCACATGGGATGGAAGAAGCCCAGATCCTTCCTCACAGGATCTAACATCATCAGAACAACAGCCAGGAGCCCTGAGCAGTCCTCAGAAACAGAAGAACAGTAAACTTCTTTTGGGACTCGGGAAAGGAGCTTTCTCTGGTCCTTACTTAGTTCCAACTTTGGTTCCCCGTCCTCCCTTGCAATGAAAATCATAGTCGCTATGAAGCTACGCCCCCCCCCCCCAAAATTAGATCAGATTGACAGAGACCAATAAGGAGAGCTTAGAACAGACAGGAAACAGTCAGCTTGGACTCCCATATACCTTACTAGGTAGGACACAAAGATTACTTACTCCTCACCAAGACTTCTCTGCACACCCCTCAAACCTAAAACTGTTCTGCTCCTCAATTGTTAATATATGGCATGTTTGAGTTATAAGCCTGTTTGGACTAGCCTAAAATTTGTGAAGTTCAGCAGAAATCACACTCAAATACTATAAGCTGCTAAATATAAAAATGAAAATAGACACGAGACAGCTGAATAGTGCCCTATAGCCATTTTAAGGTATATAGCTGCAGGGGTTGTGTATAAACTAAAATTGAGATGTCAATGAAGCAGTCATAGGATGTGGTTGAGAAATTGCATTTTCTAACGTATTGGTCACTCAATACCATGTCATTTAACTTCATGATGTTGTAAATTGTTGTTGAAGTTGTGTTGTGGCTTTTCATTGGAGGGGATGATATTCTGCCAGCTCTACTTTCAGACCAGGGATGGTTTCCCAACTGTTGAATTTATCTGGATAGTAAGATGCTGGACTTCCTGCCCCCAATGAAGGAATCAGGACTGGATATGAACTGTACTACTGCAACAATATGGAGTAATTCAGTATGGGGGTGGGCTTTTTGGAGGGATTGGGGGAATCCCAGAGTCTATGAAACTATTATAAAAAGAAATAAAATAATAAATAAAGAAAACATCAGCTTAAGAAAATAGCACCACATGTTTAAGTAGACCTACTCAAATGTAGAAGATCAATAGGATGGGGAAAATAAGACTATATGGACAAGCTAGGGGACCTAATTAACACTTTAAGTAGAATAATCCATTCTGTTTTTGTTTTAGATATTTGAACTGCTGAGTGAGAGAGAGAAAGAGAGAGAGAAAAGGAAAAAGGAGAATGGGAAGAGAGATTTTCCACCTGCTGATTTACTTTGCAAATGGTTGCAACAGCCAGGGACTAGCCATCACAAGGCCAGGAGCCTGGAACTCCATTCTGATCTTTCAGTGAGTATAGTGGTTATTTTCCACTGCTTTCCCTAGAACATTAACAGGGAACTGAATTGGAAGTACAACATCCAGGAACTGAACCTGTGCCCAAATGGGACGCCAGTGATACAGGCAGTTGACTAATTCACTGTTTCACAATGCTGGTCCCACATGAAGTTCTGTTAATGTAGACAAGCTGCATACGTAAATTTTCAAATGGGAAATAAGAATACAGCGATTACTTCTTTCTCTCACACACATACACTACTAGTCATTAAAAAAATAAAAGGCAATAGGAATCTAAATTAACTGAAACTCTAACAAAAGCATCAGGGCAACTAATTAGAGATTCGTTCCCCCTGAAAAGTAAATTTTTTGAAAATTTATTTTTACTTGAAAAGCAGGATTTACAGAGACAGAAGAAGAGACAGAGAGAGAGAGAGAGAGATCCTTAATCAACTAACTGGCTCACTCTCCAAATGGCCACAAACCACAGCTGGAGCTGAGCCAGTCCGAAGCCAGGAGCCCAGACCTTCCTCTGGATCTCCCACACTGGTGTAGCTGCCCAAGGACTTGGGCCATCTTTTGCTGTTCTCCCAGGCACATCAGCAGGGAGCTGGATCAGAAGTAGAGCAGCTGGCAGTTGAACATGGGACACCAGCACAACAGGCAGAGGCTCAGTCTACTACGCCCCAGCACTGATCCCGCAAAGTAAATTTTTAATACTGAAGTAAAAGCCATTACATCATAGAATGTATAACAATTACAGAATATAAGTGGACAAAAGAATTTAAAATGGGGCTGATATTGTGGCATAATGAACTAAGCTGCTGCAGGTAATGCTGGGATACCATATGGACCCCAATTTTAATCCTGGCTGCTCCATTTCCCATCCAGCTCCCTGTTAATGTGCCTGGGATGCAGCGGTGAAAGATGGTCCAAATCCAACAAATAAGGATTTTTTCAGGTAATCTTCAAAATAGTGTTTTTCAATTAAAAAAAAATACACAATGATAGGTTAAGGCAGAATATGATCATGAGTATTTTCACAAATTATGGACAAATAAGTTATGAAATAAAGATGTGAACATTTTATCTCAGTTTTTACCTCTTCTATTTATAAAATCTGGCTTTTGGAAACCCATAATTTTATCCTCCTTTTTGGCAATTTAAGCTTAAATAGTTGAAATTATGGGCTGACAGGAAAAAAAGCAAAAGATTAAAGCTTTTATTATGTAAGGAGAAAGGGATGAACTCTAGCAGCAGTTGCCTTCTAATTATTTTTTCGAAGCATTTCTCGTTAGCAGCACTGGCACAAATATAGCATTCCAATGTTCCTTTTATTCCTGTTAGTCAGCCAAGTTTGGGTCTCTTTCCTTGAATTAATCCAAGTGGTATTAGTTGTGCATTGCTTAAACATTTCCAGCTAAGGTGAAATTTTTTATTTATTAAAAACCTCTATTTTTGCTAAAGGTTGTGCTGCCTTGTTCTATATCCTGCACCTCGATGAACATTATCCCATTTAGAATCTCTTTCATTAATGTCAAAGCTGGTACCTACAGAAGTTAAAGTTCAATTTATTTGCCTGTATATAGTAAGTTGGGCAGTATGAATCTGCATACACTGAATCTAACAGGTATAGGCAAATAAGCTAAACTGGAGCACAGTAATTTTCAAATTGTAATGTGTATTGCATGTATTTTAAACATTTATTGATTCTGAAATGCTTGTATTCCAATCTTCAATGTTCTGATTCAGTAGATCTGTATAGGGCTGGATAATTTATATTTTTGAAAAGATTCGTTTTTATTGGAAAAGGCAGATATACAGAGAAGAGACAGAGAGGAAGGTCTTCCATCTGCTGTTTCACTCCCCAGCTGACTGCAATGGCTGGAGCTGAGCTGATCCAAAGCAAGGAGCCCAGAGCCTCTTCAGTCCAACTTTGATTGCTTTCCCAGGCCAAAAGCAGGGAGCTGGATGGGAAGTGAGGATGCCAGGATTAGAACTGGCGCCCATGTGGGATCCCAGCACGTACAAGATGAGGACTTTAGCTGATAGGCTACCACGGTGGGCCCAATAATTTATACTTTTAAGTTCTCATGTGATCCTGAATGCTGTTAATCCAAGAAACATAGTCACAAAAGCTATTGTCTAATATAAATCATATGCTCAGGAAAATGAGAGAGGGGATCAGCTGTCACCATATAAAGACAGTGAGGGATACAAGATGTTACTACTTGACTCTAATTCTCTGATTCTTCTTTAGTTACAGAATTCAGCTTGCCTGAAAAAGAATCTGAGGTGTTTAGTGGTTGGGGCCCCTAGATAGCTTTGGATAGGGGCTAGTGACTAGAAGATCAAACGTGGCTGTAAGATTGGGACAGGAGTGTGTATTTGGCCTAGTAACTGAGACAATGCTATGGAGTCCTGTACCCAATACCAAAGTGCTTGGGTTCAAATTTAAGTTGTGCTTCCAATTTCCCCTTTTGTTAACTTACATCCCACTAGGCAGCAGATGATGGCTCAAATAACTGGGTCCCTGCCATACAAGTTGGAGTAAAAAGATTATGGTTTAGAAGCTAACATATGCTATATAAATATTGACTGTTAGGTTCAGTGAGATAGCCTAGTGGCTAAATCAGTGAGATAGCCTAGTGGCAATTATTTTTTTTAATGGATTAAGATCATTTTATTGTCTAAAAGATTATTATTAGATCATAAATGGCCCCATTACTTTCCAACTGAGCTAAGAAGGTTGCTTCTTATTGGTTCTAATCAAACAGTGTTCTAAAATAAGTAAAAACTGGGTCACTTATAAAGAAGTTAAGTACCCTGATCAAACTGAGTTAACAATCAAAAAGAAAAGTTAAAAAAAAAAAGAAGCTAAGCAAAGGTTTACATTGGTATTGGTGAGAATGAAGCAGAACTTTCTCTAGTAAACATCAAAAGCCCTATGCATCTTAAATTATGACTCATCAAAGAAGAAACTGACTATATATGATCTTTTTTTTTAAAGATTTATTTTTATTATTCTTTTTATTGGAAAGGCGGATATACAGAGATATATGTACAGAACCACTGGAAAATGATCAAATAACTATTTGCAAGATTTACATTTTCATCCAGGTAGTTTATATACATACAAGTTGCTGATGATGACAAGTTTTTTATGTGCTATATTAAAAAAAAGTGGTAGTATGGCTATCATATTAGCATAGATAGGTAAAACACGAACTCTATTGAGGTACAGATCTGAAAGAGATAACTGCCTAATATGGTGTCTTGCTTGAGCATCCTTCCTATCTCAGAGCAGCCCTAAGTGCCACATACAGAATGATGCCTATTCTATCCTGCAGTAGCATTTGAGGCTAATTCCAGACTAGCACGCATATACTTGAGCTGGTGTTAATCCACACAGCTAGGCACTGAATCGAGAAGAAGCAAATTCACTCAGCCCCCAGAGTGAGTCACAAAATCAGCTCTTGGGGAAACATTCACCAGCCATGGCTCACATGATCCATTTTTCCTCATGTAAAAATTGCAGAACTATGCCTTTTACAGGTCCAAAAATAATTCTCTTAAGACAGCTCTGTCCTTAATCAAAACTTCTGGTTTAAGATGGATAGCATAGCAGCTCAAGTCAATCTTCCATAAACAATATCTAAGGAAAGGTTCATTTATTTCCTGTCTTATTCTTAGTGCCTTATCTATGTGGGGTGTAAACTCTTGTGGGGTGTAAACTTCCTGGTCTAGGACACTGGTTAAGTCAGGTATAAACAAAGTGGTATCTAAGCAGTGCTTTTACCCTTTCAATTGCAGTTTTCAAGAGGATATTTTGGTTTATACAAAGGCTTTGTCAAGAGCAGAACCATAGATAAAGGGTGGTGGGAAAGTCGAAAGTCAGGAAGACAGAGTTTTTAGGTACACATGCAAATAAGCATCATTTGAAGTAAGTGCAAGGCACTGTTCCAGCCACAATGTCCCATTAACTGAATTTCCATCTTCTACAAACACAAATGACATTTCAACAGCATTAAAATTCTAAATATCATGAAAATTAAATGTAAGTCAAAAACATTTCTCAGCTTGTGAAGAGCACTACATGACACATAGCAAATTCAGACGAGGGGAAAGATTTTCACAGTAATGACAAGAAAAGCACCTAAGAAGTCATCATTTGGAAGATTACAGCATGATGGCATTGCTTTGGAAAATAAATGCAACTGGATTAGAAACAAGGTCACAGTCCTGGTTATACGGGTATATGAAGCAAAAAGAATTTCGAGAAGCACATGCCCTCGCATTTTGCCTTCATTTCAATTCTTGTACTGGAATAATCAGCAGTTTACTAGGTCTGTATTCCATGTGATTAAGAAGTACACAAAGGAAAATGTCAGTATGACAACTTTGGAAAATTTTAGCTTTGGAACAAAGTCATAAATAAAATGGCTGTATTTCCTATTCTGTAATCTGTCTATAAATGGTTAGGGAGGGTGAAAAACACTACATGTTTCCTATTCCAAAGTGATAACTCATAATCTAGTAACATAATCTGCTGAATTTCAAAGAGAATTTTTGTAGCATTCAAATCTAACACATAAACCACACTCTTTTCAAAAATGCCATCAAGGGAATTGTTGCTGTAACTGTGTAAATACTGGTTACCTTCCTTATTAACATGTCTACAAACAATTTCTTTCAATTACATTTCCATAAAGAGATAACATAACTGGTAATCTATACCACAAAAAGATATTTTCTAATGTCTTAAGTAAATATATGTACCAACCTGACCAAGTTCTTCATTAAGGTCTGATGTGTTAACCAGGGCTCCCTCATTAATTTCTTCATCATAAAAGTCCTTATCCCATGAGATGAAGAAGGAGCCCAAGAATTTCTGCATTTCTACTGTGACATACATAGAGACAGGAATGATAAAGTTGAATAGAACCATAAATGACAGGAAATCGGTGAACATTTTCAAAACCTAAAATAAAACAAAGTTCATGCTAATTAGATGAACAGTTCCACAGGATGAGTATAATACAGAAATAGTTAACATTTTATGTCATTGCTGATAGCACTGTTCATGATTCCCATCATTATAGCCAAAATTATCACAGTATAATTTAAGAGCAACTTTACTTTGATCATTCTTCAGTGAATGTATTATCTTACACATCTTAGATTGTTTTATCCACTCCTAACATGAATGTGTGACCAAAAGTTATATGTAGGCATTCATTATGTCCTCATCTTGACTATCTCACAAACTCGTATTTTAATAACATGCCAAAATTTCTTGCCAAATGCCTTCAAGCTCTAAATTAAAAAGCTAAACACAAGCATAGACGCCTGAAACAAAATAAAGAAAAAGAGCTCCAAAACTTCTAAAATATTTAGTGACTTATGGCCACCATACAACCAAAAGAAAACTCAGAAGCTTAGAAAATGTTATCATTTTTCCAAGTTGTATCTCAATAAAGGACTGCCTAATTACCAAGTTTCAGAGGTACAATTTTCAGTCAAAAAGAAATTACCTTGAAAGTCTCTCTCTCTTTCTGAGTCTTTTGGTTATACCATGGTTCATCATTGTATGGAGTACTTTGCCAAACATACTTTAGAGTAGTACATACCGCAGCTTTGGTTAGTAAGATAAATAAATACACAATCAGGAAGGCATTAATCGATCTGAAAAAGAAGAAGGTATGCATTTTAAAACTACCTTTGTACTTCAGACATCAACCAGATACAAATGAAAAGGTTGAGCTCTCTAAAGCTTTTCCTGTATGTGACATGCAACACAACACAGGCTGTTATGTACAATCCTAAGTGATCACAGTTGCAGCATAATTCTCAAGAGGGGAACGGGAAGGTGAATTTCGAACTATTTATTGATCACCAATGTTCCTCAAAGTTCAATGGCTGAGTAGCTTAACATACCTTTAGTAAGGTTCAGGTGAAGTAACAAGACACACAGGCAATTACGTATTCAAAGCTTATAGCTTGCCTCCATTTCCCTGAATCCTACATGTAGAGGGCAGGGCAGTCAATGTGTAATTCCCTAGCTTCCCACAGACTCTTTCTCAGTGTAGTTTAAAAGTGGAGTTATGGAGATGTACTGCATAACTAAGAGAATGGAGGACAGAAGTTCATGTTGATACCAGGCAACATTTTTTTTCCACATATGTTTATTCCTATTCTGTTTTACAATTTTACAGGCATAGAACTTCTTCCCTCTCTCCCCTCCCAGCCTCTTCTCCCCCAGTGCCCCACGGTCCTCTGGGATTTGCAGTGAAATAGTCTATCAGGTATAATCTTAACTCCAACTTTCTGTTCTTCACGTGGGTTATGAAACTGTTGATATAGGCAAAGGTAGAAAATTTAATATTCTGTTGTCTAGGTGTAATCTGAAGTTTCATTGGGAGCTTATTTGCATCAGTAGTAGAGAAGCATTCTGCTAATTTTCTTTGATTCTTGGTACTCTGGTCTCCATTACATCCTTTGCAGGATTGCAAGCGTGTGTTTACCTTTATGTTTTGTTTTGTATTTTCAATGGAGGTTGTTTTATATTACCGTGAACATATGATATTTGTCCTTTTGGGACTGGCTCATTTCACTGATAGTAATGACCTCTAATTGGGACCAATTGGTTGCAAATGGTAAAAACTCATTCAAAATTAAAAAAAAAATTATTTATTTTATGATACATTTCCATAGGCTCTGGAATTTCCTTTTCCTCCTCCTCAAATTCACTCACCCTCAATGATTTCCCCTATATCATTACAATACTATAATCCTTCATAAAGCTTATAAGTCCATCATTCTGTTATTTAACTGTAACCTGACATTGGAGGTATTGACAATGGCAGAGTCCAGCATCCTAATGTCAAGATATATTGAGGAGAATCAAGATGGTGGGATAGGGTAAGGACACATTTAAACAGATGGAGAAACATCAGCCAGTGAAGCAGAGGGGGACATTCCAGGAAATAGGAGAGGACAGAACGACAGTAGAAGGACACCTGGAGACTGACAGTTACAGGAAAGCAGTGAAAACAATGGTGTGGTGGTGCACTGATCAATACTCCAGCGGCATTCAGCAAGCGCTGATCTGATTTGCACCAGCAGCCAGAACTGTACCAGCAACAAGATGGGAAAGGGAGTTCACTGGGACTCATGAGGTGAACCCAGAAAAAGAACTGCTTATCCTGATGGTCTGTTTGGCTTGATTAGGACTAGAGACAGAACAGAAGATCCCAGGCAGGCAGTGAGGGAACAGAGTAGATTTCACAGCACAGTCTGCCCCCTAGAGCTGTATCCGGACCCATTTTGTATCCAAAAGCAAAGGTATGGACAGAACTGCGCATGCACTGAGCTGAGAGTGGACTCATTTCTGGCTCAGTCAACTGCAACAACGTGGCATCCTACTGGTTCCACCCAAGATAGGTCCAAGCAGCCCTCAGATCTCACGGCCAGCAGTTTAATAATTCTAGTAGTGGCACATCAGGTGCCATTTTGTATGGTGTGGAAAAACTTCTAGGACTACAGAGACAACAGTGAGTTTTGCATGCTGCTGAGCTGGGAGCAAATGTACTGAGATCAGGGCATTACACTGTTCCCACAGGGAAAATACAAAATTTGGCATCCTATGGGTCAAAATAGGTCCCTATGGCCCTGAGTCCTAACTGCCAACAGATCCTGCCAAGATCAGCACCACCAACAATCTAGCTACATAGGATACCTGGTGTTTCCCTAATCTTGGCAACTGCTCTAACAAGAAGTGGGGGAAAGGTTGTACAGACAATGGTGCAGCCTTAGAACGGAATTGCAGAAGGTGAAGAGTGGTAAGCCAGGAGCTGGGGCTACTGGGACCATTGGTGGAAGCCTAATATAAGAATGCAGACCTGAAAGTTGCTGGAGGGAGTGACACAAGTGACTGCAAACAATGAGCCGTGTGCTAATCATAATAAGTAAAATCAAATTGTAGACCTGTGAAAGACACTGTTTAGAAACCTGCCCCAAGGAGAAGAATCTGATAACCAGAAGTACAATGACCAAGAGCAAATAAGAAGAGGCACAGTGAATAACATGGAAGACCCCCCTGAACAAGCGCAAAAGCCTCTGCCAACTTCAGAGTTAACTAAGGAAGACAGAGAAAGTGGGGATAAAGAATTCAAAACACTTGTTATAAAGCTTCTTATCAAGAATGAAAAGCATGTAATACAGGATTTCAAGAAATTTAAGAAACATGTCATACAGGAAATGAACCAAATGAAAGCTGATATATCAGAAATTAATACAGGCCCAGTGTGACAGCCTAGCGGCTAAAGTCCTGCTCTAGAACATGCTGAGTCCCATATGGATGCCAGTTCTAATCCTGGCATCCCTGTTTCCCATCCAGCTCTTTGCCTGCAGACTGTGAAAGCAGTCAAGGATGGCCTAAAGCCTTGGGACGCTTCATCTGCATGGGAGACCGGGAAGAAGCTCCTGGCTCCTGCCTTCGGATTGGCTCAGATGCAGGTGTTGCAGCTGCTTGGGGAGTAAATCACTGGACAGAAGACCTTCCTCGCTGTCTCTACTCCTCTCTGTATTTCCAATAAATAAATCTTGGGGAAAAAAAGAAATTAAGGATACAATGGAGCAAATTTATACTTCAGACATTCCAAAATAGAACGAAGGAGGCAAAATAAACAATCTCAGAATTGGAAGAACATATTTCCTGTCACCAGGGAGAAACAAACAGAAAGCTGGAAGCAGAACTAGATCAAGCCAAAAAAAAAGTATTCAAAAATTGAAAGACACTACTATAACGCCAAGTATAAGAGTTATGGGAGTCTCAGAAGGTGTAGAAAGAGAAGCTGGGATTAAAGGTGTATTCAATGAAATAGTAAGGGAAAATATCCCTGATCTAGAGAAAGAATTGAGAAACAACATCCAGGAGGGGCACAGAACTCCCAACAGGGTGGCAATCTTCACCATGCCACAGGATCATCAAGCTCTCTTCGATCAGACATAAGGAAAAGGTCCTCAAATGTGCATGTGAAAAAAATCAACTGACATATAAATGAATGCCAATTAAATTCACAGGAGACCTCTCACAGTAAATTCTACAGGCCAGAAAAGACTAAAATGACATATTCCAGATTCTAAAAGCAAAAAATTGTTGGTCCAGGATAATGTACCCAGCAAAGCTTTCCTTTATCCTTGAAAATGAAATAAAATTCCTCCACAGTAAAGCAAAGTTAAAAGAATATGACTCTTCCAAACCTACCATACAAATAAAAATGTATGTATTAAAGATGTTCTCTTGGGGCCCAGAGCGCCTTGAACGTGCCTGAATCCCATATGGGCACTGGTTCTAATCCCGGCACCTCCACTTCCCATCCAGCTCCCTGTTTGTGGCCTGGGAATAGCAATTGAGGACGGTTCAAAGCCTTGGAACCCTGCACCCGCGTGGGAGACCCGGAAAGAAGTTCCTGGCTCCTGGCTTTGGATTGGTGCAGCTCTGGCATTGTGGTCACTTGGGGAGTGAATAATCGGATGGAAGATTTTCCTCTCTGTCTCTTCTCTCTGCCTTTCCAATAAAATAAATAAATCTTTAAAAAATAAAAAAAGATATTCTCTTGACTTCAAAGAGGAATAGTACCCACCAAAACCAAAGGCAAATGTGAAGACGATCCCAGTAAAATAACAGAAGACTAAATCAATGAACAACCCATTGCTAAAATCACAGGACCAAATTACCACCCTTTCCTATTAACCCTGAAAGTAAATCACTTAGACTCATCAACCAAACTTCACACATTAGCAGACTGGATTAAAAAACAAAACCCATCTATTTGTTGCCTACAGAAGACATATTTCATCATCAAAGATCAGTGGAAACTGTACCTCACAGATTTTGCTTTTTTGAAATTTAGTTTCACCTCTTCAAAACACTTCCTTCCTCTTTAAATTCCTCAATGATTTATAGATCATACAGTAGCATCATTTTCTTCAAGAAGGTTCTTCATTTTCTTTCATTTCTTCAGTGACACATTAGTCATTCAGTAGCATGTTATTCAACTTCATGGTGTTTTTAGTTTCTTCTTTTCTTCCTGTTGTTGATTATGTTTTGTGGCTTCTCATTTAAGAGGATGTATAGTAACTGTGTAATGGAGACTGTCATATCTAGTAGCATGTTATTTAGCTTCGTGGTGTTGTAAATTTCTATTTTTCTGCCTGTTGCTGATTTTGTATTATGGCTCTTCATTTATGGGATGTATAATAACTGTAATGTAGAATGTCATATCCAGATGAGACGATACAATGCAGTATGCATCTCTACTTCCAAATTAAATATGGACTCCCAATGAAACTGTTAACTATACTTGACAATAGGATGTTGGACTCTGCCATTGTCCATGCCCACAATGATGGACATATGACTGTGTATGAAGAACTATACTATAGCAATAATATAGAAGAACTCAGTGGGAAGGGAAGTAGACTTGGGGAGGGGGTAAGGGAAATCCCAGGGCCTATGGAACTGTATCATAAAATAATAATAATAATAATAATTATAAGAAGAAGAATAAATAAATAAGGTATTTGCCTTGCATACACACATTCCATATGGGCACTGGTTTTAATCCCAGCAGCCCTGTATGGAACTGTATTATAAAATGAAAATATAAAAGAAAAAAATATCATTATCAAAATAATTTATAGGGTTTACACTGTTTAGACTACTTGGCCTACCTTGGCTTACTTCTATTATCAGTTCTCCAGGGATTTGGAGGCAATAAAACTAGTATTAAACACTCTTTCAGCTATTTCCTACACATAATCACATGGGAGGATTGCGGAGCATACAGATGAGAGGCCAAATGAGACCCGCAAAATTATTTGATGCGGTTCAAAACCTAGTCAGCTTGACTATTCAATTAAAAAAAAGGAAGATCATATTCTATTACTTCATCTCAAAATACATTTTGATAAGGTGAGATACGAATAAAGAAAAAATAAATTCCACTGTTCTGCATAAAAGTTAGAGAGGGATGTGTATTGCTGATTAGGTGACAATAACGTAGCATTAGCATCAGAGCTCTGCAGTCAGAATGGCATTATACCTTGAGGGACTTCCTTAGTTTACATAAGAAGTTGTAGCCCAAGTTCTCCCTCTATCAGCACCATTGTTACAGTATCACTATTTTAAGAATTTTTTCTGTTATGGTAGTTTTATCCCACAAAATTGCTTGCTATTGCTGTTTGGGAAAATTTCTACTCTCAAGTAATGAAACAGAGAAAGAGAATCACTAAAATTTGGAATTTAAGTCAATGTAATCAGTAATAAGTTTCTTTCTAAAATGAAAAAGAAAGATAGAGTTAACAGTTTCATTCGAAGTTCAACTTTTATTTGGAAATACAGATGCATACTGCATTGCATCTTCACATCTGGATATGTCAGTCTCTATTACACTGTTACTATACATCCCCTTAAATGAAAAGCTAAAAAACAAAATCAACAATAGGTAGAGGAATAAAAATTCACCGCACTATGAAGTTAAATAACATGGTACTTAATGAGCAATGTGTCACAGAAGAAATTAAAATGAAAATTAAAAACCTTCTTGAAGCAAATATTGCTAATGTATGGTCAACTAGAGACCTTTATACTCAGTGAAATAAGTCAATCCTAAAATGACAAATATCATGTTTTCTCTAATAAAGGGCAGCATTCATTCAAAATACAAGATCAATAGTCCTTTCAATAGTGGTTTTGCTATATCTCATAATTTTGATATTTTTGCTTTTGTATTTCTAAAGTTTTTATCCTTATTAATTTCTTTACTGCCTCATAGGTCATACAGGTATTACTTTAATATTTGCCAAGAGGCAACTGCCTGGGTTCAAGTACCATACACAATTATCAAGAGGATCAGAAACTATTAACTCCAGTAATAAAAGGGAGTGAATTTGTAGTTCATGTCAATTCTGCCTTTTAACAGTTACGTAAGGTTAGGTGAATTGCTTGCCATGTAGGAGTTCATTCTGTTATTTGTAGAGTGGAGAAGCTAATACAAATTACAACACAGAAGTTGATCAGAGGATCAAGCAGTACCATATAACTCATGGAGGATAGTTTTTTAAACATAAACAAACGCTCAAAATGGTAGCTGCTGTTTGTAACTGATATTATTGTTGTTACGGTTGTTTGGAATTACTCAGGAAGTAACTATTTTAAACAATAACAAATAGAGAAATTGTGGTACACACTAACTTTTCAACAGCAGACCGTTTTTGAGATTTCCCTTGGTAGTTCAAAGCCATTTTGGTTTCCATCCCAGTGTAAACAGCAACTCCTATGGAATATCAAAATAAAATGAAAAACTAGATTAAAATTGACCTTGTCAACCAAATTCCCAGTGGTTCTATGATTTTATGATTTTAAGTCTGTGAAAGTGAGAATTCAAATCCCTCTTCTACTAAAGCAATTGACATACCAGTTTCAATATATTTAAATTCTATACAGTATTTCTTATATTTCATATAAACTCTAAACAATTAGATAAGTTAATTGGCAGTATCAACCATGTTTGTTTTTTTACATGCAATGTTTATTTACAGGCTTTGCAAACCATGTTTCTAACAAGTATATCTTAGAGGTATTCAATTCACCATATATCTTCTTGGTATTTTTTAGTGTGGCTCCTTTCAGCAACAGATTTTCAGGACCCAAAGACCTAAATGAAAGATGAAAATAACTTATCCAAAAAAGTCAACAGTATCTGCTCTGGGATGACACACATACATTTGCAAGGGTTACAGAACTTATTTTTCTGTTTTTGCCATATGCTATCTCAAGGGCAAGCTGAAAGAAGCCCCTTTCTGAAGGGACTTGAGGGCATTACACAGATGAAAGCATAGCACAGGGGTAGTCAGCAACACATGGAGGTAAATAAATACAGAGGGATCAAAGGGTTATGTGTCATCAAAGGACAAGAACAGCACAGAGCAACACACAGCAAGAAACAGAAGCAGAGGGTTGTAAATAGATTAGTAATGTAAAAATTGGGAAAACACACTGACATTTTTAAACACAATAAACCTGACTTTTGAGAAACTCGATTTCCGATATTTCTTTATTTTCAACTACTTCAGAGAGAAAGTGAGATTGATTAATTTTTCCAACTGTTGATTCACGCTTCAAATTTGTGCAATAGTCACAGCTATTCAAGGCCGAAGCCAAGAGCACCAAACTCCATCTGGCTTCACATGGGTGGCAGAGACCCACACACCTGAACCCTCATTTGCTGCCTCAAAGGACACATTAGCAGGAAGCTGGATGGGAAATAGAGGGATCAGGGCTTGAATCAGCTCAACAATATGAGATGCGGGCACCCCAAAAGATGTCTTAACTTTCTATGACAACAATATCCATCATAACCCTACAATTCTCTGACTTATTTTTGAGTGTGGCTATAAAGCCCAAATGAATAAGTTGAGCTAATTAATCAGATGACAGAATATGAACAAATGCAGCTTTTCTGCACTGATTTCCTTATAACAAACAAATTAGCTTTCATTTTGTTTAATTCCAACTAATTTCAGTATTATATCCAATGCCTAGTCTCCCAGTGACTCTACCCTATATCAGTGTTCTCCAAATACATTTTCAATATTGTTAACCACTGTGCGATCAAGGAAAATGAGAAACCATATCTTGGAATATAAAAAACTATCTGTAGTTCAGCTATTTTGAAATTCTAAGCATTATTTTCCAATGTTCCCACAACATGAAGAGATGCTACCAATCACAAGATTAATTAGTTATTCACCTTTATATTCCTTTCTATATGAAAGGTATTTTGCTATATTAGTGGGTTTAAAAGAGAAATACATTCCTTTCGAAAGGACAGATTGAAGAAATAACAAACTAACCTGGCAACAGCCTCAGCACTATCACTATAGATATTGATTCGTCCAACAAACCTGTAAAAAACAACAAAAGAGCAAATCCATTTTTAAGTCATGGAAAAACTCATTTACTACAAATATTAGAGTGAATTAAGATACAAATAATACAAATTAGACACTGAAGCAACTACAGAATTCTATCATATTTTTGGAAAAAAGTTATATTGAACCATTTAAGGCATACAATATTTTGTATACTTCAAAAAAGAGTATCATAGATGATTAGAATATAATCAAGATGATAAATATCATCAATAGATCTAGCCTGAGCTTCTGAGTCGGGTTCCCCCAGTGACACTGACGATGTTACTGGTTCTGGGACTACTTCCCGAACCATGGTGTTAGCCTTAACCAGTGCATACTGATCGCCATCTTTGAAATGTTGAGCCTCTGTCTTGGAGCTGATGTCAAAACTAAGCTTGACCAAGTTATTTAATATTTACATAATTGCCTGACTGATGGAAAGGAGGGAAGGAATTATTCCTGATGTGATATGAATATTTCATTTTGCTACTACTAGGCGCTGTATAAACCACATCCAACCACTTGATTCCCCACTGTAACCAAAAGCATGCATTAGCAAGATGGCTGACATAGGTAATAAATGGCATATGTAAGAGTGTAATAGAATGCAATTAGCTCACAGGAGGATAAAGCTATTATTCTACTCTCATTGGCATTATGCTCTAACCAACCGAGCTAACCAATCTCAAAATGCAATGTCATATTTTTGACAATCCACAATGACTGCTGACTAACCAATGTATTCCAGAGTCTAAGCTTGGTAAACAACAACATAAATTTCATTATTTTAATGCTACCTCCATTTATGTAACTGCTATTTAACTGTTTACTTAAGTTTAACTGAAGTTAAACCTGTTTACTGTAGAAAAGTAACAGCCAATTTGTCATTCTCAGTTCATGACCACTGTAAGAAAAGATACTGGGCATAATAACTGCATACTCACCCTTCCATTCTCTCTTTAATGCTGTATGGCTCATAAAAGGGATTATTTTGTTCTAAGTAAATTTCATTACTGTATCAGATGGCTAAGCTTACAAGCAAAAACAAAAAAATCAGAGTATGCCTGGTATCACAATGATAGCGAGTAAGGCTGACTGGATTAATTTCCTTTCAGAAAAAAAGAAACAGTTAATAAAACGTACATAAGAATAGACTGGTATCTGGCAGCAGCTTTTCTGTAACACTGGTTGCAAAAACAAAAACAAAAAAGAAGCATAGTCGACAGAGAGGAGTAAAGTAAAATCATGTGATTCTTACTTGTAGAGGTCAGGTTGAGGCTGTTCACATTCAATTGCTGCTCGGAGAGTATCAATGGATTCAGCTGTACACAGTGCAATGGTATCCCGTACTGCATAATGTGTCTAGGCGAAAGCAGAAGAAAAAGGAAAAACAAAATGTCTAGTAATCATATGTCCTGCTGGTTCTAATTATGTAGTACATTTCAGCAAGAGGCTTTGGCAGAATTATAGAAATACTCAATGCACATTCCAAAGTTTTATGGTATTCTTCAAGTAAACTACTAATTAGAAAGAAAAACTGTTTTCAGTGGACTTCAAAAATAATAAAAAACGAAAAGCTCTTCTTGATTCTGACAGCCAAGGGGATTCCATTTGCAGCAGATGCAGTTAACTAAAACCCCATGAAAATTTAACATTTTCTCCTCTTATAGTTGTGAGACAATATGTTGTTTACCTTAGTATATGGCAGTATAGAGGACATATACATCAAATATAATCCTTCTGATTATAAGCATAAAATTTTAACAATGGCAAAAATTCATCAATAGTTTTATTACAAAATGTATCAATTATCTTAAAAATGTTCAACAGGGAGATATTTTGTTTGACTGGCAGGGATATGATACACCTTGCATTAGAGTATTCCACTCACATATATTATACACTTGACTCACCCAGAACTCAAAGGTTCCAGTGAACCCATTTATAAATCAGCACAGAAGGGCTAATACAGATTGAGAGTTCACCACATATGCAGGAGGGAAAATTGTTGCCACAGTTTCTGGGGAATATATAGAACTTCCTGAACTGTATTTAATAGTCTCCTGACTTATTAAAATCTCTGTACTTTGATTTGATTATATTCATGTAATGGGAAAAAAAGATGCTATTAGAGTCTTCCTCTAAACAAATTTGTAACTATTAGGGAATCTTTAGGTGGATTTATTTTGATATATCCTAAAATATCACTTCATCTGTGATCAGTTTAAATGCTATTATGAGATCCTTATCATGCTACCATGATATCCCTAAGACAGAGAAATTAGTTATCTAATGGTAGATGGTATTTTTCAAATAAATTACCAATTAGAAATTACATATTTCCATATACTATCTCCTACTTTTAAAGTTCAGATGGAATAAACAAGCAGAGAATCCTACAAGGATCAACTAAGAGTTCAGAACAATCTTTAAAAGCAGCACAGAGAGTATACACCTTCATCTTTTGGATAAGAGCCAAGAACTAATTATGCTAGAAAGTATCAGGGAAGTACATTTTCCCATTTTGATCAAATTTACCTTAACATACTTACTATGCTTCCAAAGAATAATGCAGCAAACATGTACACTTGCCATACTACACCTCTGGGATTTATTTTTTGTTTTTGTTTTTTTTTAAAGGACAATCAAATTGTTCCTGGCTAGATTTCTTACAGCTAAAGAAAAGTTTTTTTTTTTTAAATATACATAACTTTTATCCTAAAAATGGATCAAATGTTTAAAAGGTTAGAGTATATGAAGTTATTTCCAGAGTCACATCACGAGTCACATCACATTTCCAGAGTTTCAATCACGATTACTCACATTTAGAAAACAAAAAAATTACTTGTTCATTGAAAGGCAGAATTAGAGAGACAGAGATAGTGACTGACTGATCAAGTGACTGACTTATCTTCCATCTTCTGGTTAATTCCCCACATAGTGCAATCGCCAGGGCTGGGGCGGAGGCCAGAATGTCATCAAGGTCCCACACATGGTAGCAGGGGCTGCTTGGGGTGTGTTATCACACAGCTGGACAGGAAGTAGAGCAGCCAGGTTTTGAACTCACAGACATGGGAAGAAAGTATCCCAAGAGGCAACTTAAAAAAGTCTCTGAGCCACAATGGTGATTCCAATTATTCCCATTTTTTAAAATACAAAATAGGCAATGTTAATGTAAAATTCAAGCAGTGTTAGAAAAACTGTGTTAGCTTTTATTTGGTAAAGGTTTTTCTCCATCCTATACCACCCATCTAACCAAAGATGAATATCTATTTAGAGGATGACAATTATGCAACAGAAGCCCTACATGAATAGGAAAAGCAATAAAGATTACAGGGTGTTATAAAGCAGTAGTTTTTACAATCATCTTGATCGCAAAATTTTTGTCTCTATTACCTTGCAATTGGATTCTCCATCAAGACTGGCTGTTGTGACATAACAGGTTCCATCAGTGGTGCAGGATGATAAAAGAATAAGATCACAGGGAAAAGTTTCATCTGCCTGTACTTCTACTACATCACCAACCTAGAATATAGATAAAAGTGAATATAAAGATCTTAACTCTAAACGATTTGATTTTGATGCCTCACATCAATGTTGAAATATTACCAAGAGGCACCTATATCTTTGGGACTTGGAGAGTGTCTCAGAATCCTATTCCATGAGAAAAGTGATGAAAGAATATTACTCAACATTCAAAATCCTTTTTACGTTAGGACCTTAGATGGTTTTGGATTATCTCAGCACTTAGCACTTACTTGACTTTTGCCTCTAATAAGCAACTCTACCATCTATTGCTCTCTGGAAATTTTGGTTCTATTTGAAGATATGGGAGGCCAGGAAGAAGCTGCTGGCTGTAGGCTTCAGACCAGGCCAACTCCAACCACTAAGGCCATTTGGGGCATGAACCATGATGTAAGATGTCTCTATTTGTGTCTCTTTTCTAAGTCTGCTCCTCCAGTAAATATATATATATATATTTTAAAAATCTACTCTTCGGGCCCGGCGCGGTGGCGCAAGTGGTTAAAGGTCCTCGCCTAGCACGCCCGGGATCCCATATGGGCGCCGGTTCTAATCCCGGCAGCCCCGCTTCCCTTCCAGCTCCCTGCCTGTGGCCTGGGAAGGCAGTCGAGGACGGCCCAAAAGCTTTGGGAACCTGCACCCGCGTGGGAGACCCAGAAGAGGCTCCTGGCTTCGGATCGGCATAGTATCGGCCCGTTGCGCTCACTTGGGGAGTGAATCATCGGACGGAAGATCTTCCTCTCTGTCTCTCCTCTCTCTGTATATCCGCCTTTCCAATGAAAAAATAATAAAAATAAATCTTTAAAAAAAAAAAAAATCTACTCTTCATGAAGAATACAATCTCAGTATGTCAATTTCACTCATATAGATTGCACTTACTGTACTCTATATACTAGTTACCACAAATCAGGGAAAACACACTATATGTCTTATCGGGACTGGCTTATTTGGCTAAGCACAATGGTTTCCAGTTCCATTCACGTTGTTGTAAAAGGATTTCATTCTATATTATGGCTGAGTAGTATTCCACAGTGTCTATATCATTTTTTTCTGTATTCAGTCATGTGTTAATGGACATCTGCATTGCTCAGCATATTATCTTGGTACATTTCAGGTGGTTCACTCATGTACTAGCACAAATGCTTTATTTCTACTTGGCACTACATCAAAACATCCAAGCAGTCTTCAAAAAGTTCATGAAACATAATTATCACAAAAAACTACAGAGAATTCAAAGTTCTTTGCAGCAAAACATACTTTTTAGAAATATTTGTCTTTATTGGAGACACACAGTCTCCAATAACTCACAGTCTGGCTTTAAGACACTCCAAATGTTCCCTGTTAATTGAGGCTGCAGACCAAGTCACTCTCCTGCCCAAAGACAGTTCCACCACACCCTCTCCCACTAGGCTTTAAACACTAACGTGAAGGATTAGTGGCTGAAAAGCATGTCTTCCCACATGTATACTTCAGAGAGTGCTAAATAAAATAACACTTCATACAACAATGTCATCTCATTTAATCAAGATTACACCTGGCAAAGAAGGTTGGTGGACAGAAGGTAATTATACAGGCCCCATTATAAAGGATGATGGTGTGGAAAATAACAAACCAGAAAGGGGTAATGATAGGAGGAGATGTGGGATACCATTGTTTGCATTTCAAAATCTTACCTTGTATCTTAAGAGCAACAGATTTAATATTACAAATCATTTAGGCAGCTTCAGATTCTTACAATGAGCAGTAATGCTGTGTTTCCACACTTGCTTAGAAAGCTTCCAATCTTTTTCTTTATAAATTTTATTTTTTATAATGATTACATGATGGATCAGGGTGGGAGGGATCATGGCTTAGGGAAAACTTGGTGTAACGACTGCTTCCAAATTTGCTATTTCATCTTGTTTTTTTCTGGGGGTTAGCACTCATGACTTCCAAACATCCCAGTACCCAGGGATGAGGAACCGCCACCTGAAGCTTCCAATCCTAACCTACCCTAGTTCCATGATAGGGTCTGTCCCACAAGTTGTAAAAAGCAAAGAAATGAAGAACATGATATTTCAAATTCAGTTGATCCTCCTGCTCTGTAGCCTTCTTTCCATCATTATCATAAGAAGCTGCATAAGAACTGATAAAAACTCAGTAACAAAACAATTTAATTTAATAATGGAAAAAATACCATATAATTAATTCAGCGAAACATACACTGGTGAAGCTGTGGATCAACAGGAAGAATCATCCACTGCCAGTGGGAATGTAAAATGACATACCACTTTTCGAAGATAGTTTGGCAGTTTCTTACAAAACTAAAGATATTCTTAGCATATATTCCAGCAACCTTGCATCCCGGTATTATAGGAACTGAAAATGTCTATCTATACAAAAATTCTACAATGTTTATACAGCTTGATTCATAAGTGTCAAAACTTGGAAGGAACTAATATGTCAGCTGGTGAACATACACTGTGATGCAATAAGAAAGTAGAATGTTACTCATTAATAGAAAGAAATGAATTATCAAGCCAGGAAGACACAGAGGAAAGTTAAATACACATTAAGTGAAAAAATATAATGCTTGACTCCAACTATATGACATTCTGAAAAAGGCAAAACTGTTAAAATAATACAAACATTAGCGGTTTCTGGAATAAGGAATAAATAAGGTGGAGAACAGAGGCTTTTAGGAAAGAAAAATTATCCTATATGATAGCACAATGGGGAATACATGTTGTGCATTTGTCAAAGCCCATTGAATGTACAACAGTAAAAGTGAACCTTAATGAAAACTATAAATTATGGGTGACAACCATGTGCCAAACCACGCTTCATGGATTATAACGATTGTCGCCACCGTACAACAATCTCCTGCAATGTTGACAGCAGGAGAGAGTACTGAGTGTATATAATTATGGGAACTCTTATTTTTGGCTCAATTTTGATATGAATATAAAACTGCTCTAAAAATACAGCTTATTAATTTAAAACATCTGGGTACCAAAGAAGTTGTAATATAGAAAAGCCTAAAATTTGATTTGACAGGGGCCTAATATCAATGATTAGTTTGAAATAAAATGAAATTGCTTGAAATCTTGGAAAAAAAAAAAAACAGGACCTCAGAGTCCTGACATATTGTTGGGTGGAAACGTAAAATGGTATACCACTGTGGAAAACAGGTTTGTAACTTCATTTAAACACAGAGGCTGGCACTTTGGGGCAGTGAATTAAGCTGTTGAATCCAGGCTCCAGGCTCCTTAACACACCTGGGAGGTGTTGATGGGATGGAGTGTCTGACTTTTAGTTTCAGCCTGGCTGTGCTGGCCACTGCAGCCATTTGTGGAGTGAACCAGTAGATAGAAGAACTCTCTCTTTTTCACTCTTCCACTCAAATAAGCAAAGCTTTCTTAAAAAGTTAAACATAGTAATACCACATGACTCAATGATTCCTCAGGGACCTAACCCAAATAATTCAAAACAGATGTTGAAACAAAAATTGGCACTTGAATACAGCAAATCTCACAATATTGAAAAGTGGAAATGATTCAAACATTCACAAACTAATGAACAGATATGCAAAATGTGGTACAGCCACACAATGCATTATCCAGCCTGCAATAGAAATAATGATGATAGATGCTACCATAGAGATGAAGTCCCAAAGCATTCTGAGAGAAACCACCCACAGAAGTTAACAAGAGCATACAATACATTTTATATGAAAATTTCAAAATAAGTAAATATAAAGACACTGAAAGGGTTTTTAACATTGCCAGAGACTGTGAATAGGAACAAATATGGAATGACTGCTTAATGGTTCTGGGGTTTCCTTTATGAGTGATGAAAAATATTCTGGAACCAGACAGTATCAATAGATGGATATGTACCAAAGACACCGAATGACCACAATGAAAACTAAGCAAAAAAAGTACCTTAATTTTTTCACTTTCTTTTCTCACTCGCTTTGCATTTTCAATAATGTAAACAGTGCTTTTGTTGACTTCATTATCAGCTCTGTGTCTCAACCAATCTTCATATCCCTAAAAGGATAAAAACAACTATATAACCAAGCTCAAATAAATTAAGCTGTTAATTTCTATACCAATCCTCTATGAATGAAGAGCAGATATTTATACCTGCCGTTTTAGTTTCCAGTCAGAATTCTAAAGAGACAATGTTGAAAACTTTAATAGTAAATAAAGACACAGATTTTCAAAACACTCCAAGTAAACAGCTTTGGTACCCTAACAGGCGCCTCCATTCTACCAATAAATATCAATGCAATCTTATGTAATAAGAGCCTTTATACTCTTCATCTGTGAAGGACTATGATTTATTCTTATAATTCTACTCATGTTCAAGGTAATGGTAATTCTTTCAATTTTCTTTTCTTTTTTTTTTTAAAGATTTATTTTATTTTTATTGGAAAGGCGGATATACAGAGAGGAGAGACAGAGAGGAAGATCTTCCGTCCCATGATTCACTCCCCAAGTGAGCACAACGGCCAATACTATGCCGATCCGAAGCAAGGAGCCTCTTCCGGGTCTCCCACGCGGGTGCAGGGTCCCAAAGCTTTGGGCCATCCTCGACTGCTTTCCCAGGCCACAAGCGGGGAGCCGGATGGGAAGTGGGGCTGCCGGGATTAGAACCGGCGCCCATATGGGATCCTGGGCGTGCAAGGCGAGGACCTTAACCACTGTGCCACCACGCCGGGCCCCCCACAATTTTATTTTCTTAAGACTTAACTGCTAATACTGTATACTGTGTGTGTGTGTGTGTGTGTTATGAGTATACTGTTGTAGTGATCAGTTCCAAGGAAATACAATTCTCTAACACTTGCAGGTAAGAGTAAAAGCATACTAGGATTGTTTTGCAAGTTGTAAAGATCAAAAGCTGAACTTTTTCACTGACTTGAAGATAAAAGAAAATATAAATCAGCGTTTACTTTTTTGTTAAAAGTAATCATGGAAAGATATAATAGGTCACTTTTTTGGGGTTAATTCGGAAGGATGATGTTTATATGAATATAAGTGTGATTTTTTATAGCCTTTTGCTTATTTTGTTGTAATAATGTCTATGGCTTTTTAAATACAGCTATTTGAAAAATCTCTTGAACACCTGCATCCCTTTTTTTCCACCTTGGGTATTGCATACATCCCTCTCTCTTGATAACAATGCCATGCTATCATTTCACAGAATACATTCTGGGATGCTTGTGAGGAAAAGCCTTAATATGAACTAGCATTAGAAGGAAAATGAATCCATAAAAGCCTTTGAAAGCCACATGTGCTATTCTTGGAATCCAAAATTTTATTTAAAAAAAAAATCCTAACAGACTAGAGGGAAGAACATTCCAGAAGTCTTTATTTAGCAACCAAACACTTGATAAACATCTTACAGTTCCTGGTGGGCAAGACAGAAGACCAGATAACCCCAAAAGGAAAGGTATTTTGTTCTCAACACCTGTAAACAGGCCTTCATTTTGCAAGTTCCCTTGGGATGTTTTTAAAAGCCCTTTGGTTAAGTACTCTCTACAATATGGATTAACTCTATACATGACAAATATCATTGCCAATTCCTTCACCTCTAGTTTTCTTGTTTCCATTTTCAGGGATTTTCCAAAGATACTAGTATACAGACAATGCTCAAAACACTGAGGACATTTATATGACAATCTGTGTCAGTGTGTGAGCTTTAAAATAGGCATAAATGTCCCTCTATCCACCACCCTCTTTGGAAGCAAACAAAGTACGCTTTGGTGTTCAATGCCATAGGCAACAAGAAAACATCCACTGAAATGAAAAATTTTCCACTCATTTCACTAAAACAATGAATGCATATTAAAACCACATCTCTCATTTTCCAACTGAGCTACAGTTTCTTCCTATTCTTTAGTTTTTACTTACCTCCTTCCTCACACACAAATATTGAGAACACAGCAAGTAAATCAAGAATATGCCTTAATATTATTTTAACTCTTTCTCAATGAAAGCTAATTCGAAACCTAATCTACTAAAGATACTGCCCATTGTATATAAATATGAAACAAAGCATTTGGCAATGAAATTTGAACTAATCTGTATTGAAATGCAGGCATAAATGAAAACAAATTTACCTGTTTAATGGCTGTAACAGTTATGACAAAGAAAAGTGGAAGTCCACTGGTAACTGGGCTAGTTGGGGTGTCTACTGTGACCTAGGTAAAGAAATTAAGTTGAAAGCAAAAGGAAACATAGCCATTAACTCATATGTAGCATTTACATATTACAGGAATTTCAGACAAAAATGCATGTACAACACTGCAATAGCAGAGTGAACATTAATTTTCATTAAAATAAACCTGCAGTGCAGTTGAAGAAATAGTCCTAAGTTTAAACTTAATTTTTATCCCAATTTGGATTAATTCCTTCAATGGCATATATCCATTCACTTACTATCTATTTGTTGAGTACCATTTTGTCAGCCCCTTTGCAACTTCAGCCAGTCTCTCGAGTTGCTATTTTAAATAAGATGGAGACAAGCCCCTGCCTTCTTGCAGGTAGCAGTTTATAGATAAAACCAGACACTGACATCTAAAGAGCAAACAGGAGTTAACTAAAAAGGGAGATTTACCAGGAACAATAAAGAAAACAGTGGTGAGAGACAGCGTAGTGTTAGAGAGAAGCAGAGATCAGATCCAGGAAGGGCCCTTCTGTATCCCATAAACAGTGTTTAATCCTTGAAGTTTTATGAAGGAAGAGGACACAGATTGAAGTGCAGATTGAAAGATCATTCCCACAGTTTCATGAAAGATGGATTGGAAGGGAATAGCAGGGGAGCATGGAGTGCATTTGGGAACCTGTTGCTCTAATCTTGGTGAATCATGATGGTTTGGAGGAAGGTGGTAGCAAAAGACATGGAACAAAGTCCTCAAGATATTTAAGAAGCAAATGTATAACTGGTAATTAGAACCAATTGTTGATTAAATATGTCTTCCAAGTGTCTATTTAACATCCTGAGTGGATATTTTCCAATGATAAAAAATAAATGAAAATTGATTTGAGGAAGGGAGATCATAAATTCAATCTGTCCTCATTACTTACAGAATCTCATCTGCCATGTCCAGGCAGGCCTGCCCAGCAAAATTACTGTGTTATAGAAACAGTTTACATTTCTGGGTAAATGTAAGATTTTACCTGCTCTTGTGCATTTAGGCAATCTTTTCAATACTCCTGAGATACAAGTTTAACATTCTCCAAACACTAAATGCATTTAATATTTCAAAGGTTCAGTTTAAATTATCACTCTTTAAATTTTTCTCTCTTTTGGGCAGAAAAATATCTATCTTCTACTATACGCCCACAGCACCATGAACATGCTACTAAAAGAATTTGCACTATAATAAGCAAATATAACTATCTTCTCATCCATAACATAAATTCCTTAAAAATAAAAAAGTCAACTCTTCTCATAAAATTTTAACTTATTTTACATATATAAGATGAACAAATTTTATATATTTCACAATACAGATGTAGAAGCACAGTGGTACTTTCCCCTCTACCCTCCATCCTTCCAAAATCCCACACCCACCCTCCTCCTTCCTTTCTCTTTTTTTAAATTTTCACAATGGCGCATTTTCAGTTTACTTTACAACCACAGACTTAACACTCAAGTAGCTAAAGAATTCAATGAATAGCAAGTAGAAAAAAGCCCTACTGTTCCTCAAGAGTATACACAAAGTTGTAAATAATAATACAATTTTGTCAGGTCAGTTTCACTCATATAAATTATCTTTTTTATACTCTGTATATTAGTTAGCACAGATCAGGGCAAATAAGACAACTGTCTCATTGGGACTAGCTTATTTCCCTAAGCATAATGGTTTCCAGTTGCATACCGTTTGTTGTAAGACATAATTTCATTCCTTTTATGGTTGAGCAGTATTCCACAATATTCGCGTACCTACCACCACTACTGCTACTTGATGTACTACATGGCACAAAGGTGGGTGTTGGTGCATGGATGCTAAGATGCTGAAATGTGCTGCCTTCAAAGTAAAATGACTCTTGCAAGAAAAACTCTGCAGTAAACATTTTATCTGTAAGGTATCTGACAGTGTTGTGGCGTAGTGGATAGAGCTACCACCCATTAATACTGGGATCTCATACTGGCACCAGTTCGAGTTGTGGCTGCTCTACATTTTTAACTACATTTATTTATTTTTATGACACAGATTCATAGGCTCTGGGATTCCCCCAACCCTTTCCCATGCACTCCTCCCATACTGAATTCCTCCATACTGTTGCAGTAGTACAGTTCATATCCAGTCCTGATGGATCATACAGAGAGTCCAGCATCTTACTGTCCAAATAAATGCAGCAGTTTCCTTGGGAGACCATCCTTGGTCTGAAAGTAGGTGGCTGCTCTACTTTCAATCCAGATTCTAACTAATACACCTGGGAAAGGATCAGAAGACAATCCAAATACTTGAGTCCTGTGCACCCACGTAGGAGATGTGGAAGATTTCCCTGGTTCCTGGCTTCAGATGACCTAGCTCTGGCCACTGCAGCCATCTGGAGAGTAAACCAATGAATGCAGGATCTATTTTTCTCTCTCTCTTCCATCTCTCCCTCTTTTCCACCTGTAAGTCTGATTTTCAAATAAATGAAAAAAAATCTTTAAAAAAAAGATATCTGATCATGGATACAGAGGAATTCCTTTTGAATTATTTTTTAAATTCATGATGGAAACTGGCTCTTATATCCCACCATGGTTTTAAATAGCAGGCCTAATTCAACTGTTGTACCATCCACTCAAAGACTCAAAGTGGACAAATACATAACCTCAATAAGGCATTTGAGCCATTCATTGGCACTTTTCTTTGTTTAAAAAAAAAAACTGAATGAGAAAAAAATGACCTTTAATGTAGTAACAACTTTCCTGTATAATTATAGCAAGGAAAAATTTTACATCACATAGACTTAAAAATGAAGGATGCAATTTAAAGTGTCAACAATTTACAATACAGCAGAAGAAACACATAAAGCCAGATTGATCTCCCAGGCTTTCACCCATCCACTAAGTGAATAAATGAGTAAGTCAGGAAAATAACTGACGATTTTTCAATTTCGCTGAAATGGATATTTAACAAAGAAAATCTGTTGCACCATTTTCACTTTTGATATGTACTATTTCATTTAATAGTACATGAATCATGTCTTTGCAAGATAAATAAAAATAAGAAAATCACTTTGTTTAAAAAGTTAAACAGAATCTAAACATGCTTTCTAGTTAAAGAATACTTTAGAAAACCTATAAAAATCATTTAAATTGTTAAATACTTCTACTATAAAAAATCATACTAACAAGCCTCAGAACACCAGCATCACCACCCCTCCCCAAAATACTAAGAACATCAAGGTTATAAATGGAATGAAAATTTGCTTGAGTCAACAAATTTTCTTAAAGTTGAATAGCTGTGGAAGTCAGTATGGAGAGTGCTGAGATGACTGAAAATTGATCTACCATATGAGGCAGCTATCCCACTTTTGGAAATATACCCAAAGGAAGTGAAATATGCGTATGAGAAAGTGGCCTGTAATCCTATATTTACAGCAGCATAATCTACAATAGCATATACATGCAAACAACAGAGATACCTGCCAAAAAAAGAAACGGCTAAAGAAATTTTGGTACATCTACTATATGGAATACTACTCAACCAATATTTGCAACAAAATGGTCCCAACTAGAGATCATTATGCTCTGTGAAATAAGACAATCATATTAGGACAAATATCACATGTTCTCTCTGATATAAGGCAACCTTCACGCAAAATCAAGATCAATAGATACAGAGGTAAACATGCATATACATAGATTTATATAGAGGAACAGTAAAGTGGAGGCAACTATACCACGAATTGGAGATATGTTACAGTATGCATCTCTATTTCTGAATAAAAATTGGAACCCCATTGAAACTGTTAAATATATCTTGACAGTAGAATGCTGGATTTCATACCATTATTTATACCCACAATGTCAATAGACTTAAATAGCAGAATGATGGACTGTGACTTTTTGAATCTATTGTTATGAAGCAAGGGAAGACAGCGGGAGGAGGGGGAAGAGGGAGGGTGGAAGGGAAAATGCCTGAATCAAGGAAATGTATTACGAAAAAACCTTTTTTAAAAAGTTGAATTACTATTTATTATCTTACCTGTACAAGGAAAATGATGAGAAAATAAAAATTTGCAATTCTTCTAAACTGTTCAAATAGATTCTTTGGGAGGAAATTCCAAAGTGTATACTACAAGGAGAAAGAAATAAGGAATACTATCAGAAAAATTCTAATAGTAATGGCTGATACCATTCAATATTATACTAGTTACTTTTTCTAATACTTTGAAACCCAAACCTCAGACATACACAACAGCATATATTTAGAGGTATAGTATATAAGCAGCTTTTTTTCCAGAAAGCATTATAATGGTTAGCAGCTCCTGAACCTCTGTTTTTCCTAACTAGGTTTCCTGATATGAACTCTAACATCATTCTATATACAATTGTCTTTTCCTACTTCTATTTTTTAAAATATTTATTTATTTTTATCTAAGTGCATATTTACAGAAAGAAGGAAAGGCAAAAATCCTCCATCCACTGATTCACTCCCCAAATAGCCTCATCAGCAGGAGCTGAACTGATTCAATGTCAGGAGGCAGGCGCCTCTTCCAAGTCTTCCACGCAGGTACATGATCCCACAACTTTAGGCCGTCTTCCACTGTTTTTCCAGGTCACAAGCAGCGAGCTGGATGGGAAGTGGATCACCCGGGACTCCAACTGGTGCCCATACGGGATCCCAGTGCTCTGCAAGGGGAGAATTTAGCCACAAGGCTATCACACCAGGCCTTCTCTATGTAATTCTTGCTGTTTTATCAGAATAGGTAGTTCATTCTGTCTTGTTTATTACATTCCCCTGAGTATCTACACCAATGTGTGACAGTAGAAAATAAATTATGTGCCTCAGGAAACCACTAAATGACTGAACATTCAGAGATACAAACTTCTTTCACCAGTACTTTCCATATCCATGGCAGTTGAGATTTATGCGCAACCTTAAGTCACAGAGGCCTTTTGATTTTACTCAACATCATATGACTATGGGCTATGGAAATTGGTACTAGGTAAAGATTTCAGTATGCAACTGCAGAAAGGCCTAAGGAGAGAGCTTTGGGGTCAGCTGTCATACTATATGTACTTCTCTCACTAATACTTTAAGCTCAATGTCAGCTAAAAGTAAATAGCAGTTGAACTTTCTAGATGACTTAATACAGATGACCAGAAACCAGAAACGAACAAGTATTTCTTAAGCTAGTAGGCTAAATTTATACTTCAATATTCTCTATCTCAATTATTTGCATAATAAGAACATATTCATTTATAAGGTAACTGAAAAGCCAAAGTACGAGAGTATATGGAAACTGACAAGTGATATCTGTTTTTATTGACTTATGAAGCTCGAATTTCAGGGAATTTTGAGAGAATGAAGACAAATGGAGGCAAATACATTCAGCTGTACAGCTGCATTATATGAATAGCCAATTTAGAAGTTTCTTCCCATAGGGTCCAAAGAAGTATCTCAGGATCATTCAAAAATAAGGGCAGAATTGTATATGAATGTGCACCACTTCAGAGGAAAAAAGTCCACACATTTTATGAGATTCTCAAGGTAGCTTGTAAATAAAAATAAACACTGAAAACCACCTGGAAGCTGACTCTTCATAGATCGCTACTTATTTGTGCCAATTACTTAAGATCAATTTTCTAAAACCATAAACTAAACTCTGACATTAGGCTAAGAGCTGAACTTCTGGCAGACTGACCTTCTGTTCCCAAATAAGTTTTTTTCTATTAAACAAATAAGCACAAGGACAGTTAAAGTCCTGTGGAAGGAGTAGTGTTAACACATGAAAAGGGAACATTTTGTTGTTATTGTTTTGAGCTCCAGTTGTGAGTTTTCCACTGTTCTTAGTAAATGAACTGCTTCCTTGAAGAACTCTGTGTATTCCCTTCATAGAAAACTACTGCTAATTCTCTCTTCTTCACAAGTTAAGAAACATCCTCTTTCCACATACATCAACCACAGGATTTGGCACAGGGAAGGCATATGAGAAATCCTTATTAATACTTGTGTCTTGGGGCTGAGACCAAACTGTATAATGTAAAGGCAGGATCCAGACTTTAATGTATCTCCCTTAGCCCAAGGTGCCCTTGCCTGTCATTTATCAAAAGGAATTCATTGAACTGAGAGTTGTACAGTACAAGGTTCTAGTCATTGGACTCAAAAAGTTATTTGGTTTTGCAATACAAACAAACAAAACCAAAAACAATAAAAAAAAAAAAACAAACAAAAACCTTTCAGGCCTATATTGTCCAGAGGGGACTGGATTGCTCAGGGGGTATTCCAGGACCAGGGAAGACAGTAACTACCAGCTATAGGCCAACCTGAGCATCCTAAATTCCTTAAAGGGCATAGCATCATCAATCAATCTATAGAAGGTCAAGAGCACACATTTACCAGGAACATGAACTGAACGTGCACAGCTCAGCCCCAATTTCAATCCATAAGAACCTTCACCCTTAACTCATTAAGCAGCTCAGAAATTAAGCTATAGTTGTCTGGCTCCTTATTCTGTACTTTGCAATAAAGACCTTTCTCCTCTACCCAATATCAGTGATTGGCTTTCTGTGCATCAGTTAGTGGACCCAAGCTTGGGTTCTACAGCAACACCCACAATTAGTTTGGCGAGAAGTGTTGTTCTTCAACAGGGCCAGTGTTGTGTTACAATGAGTTAAACCACTATTTACAACACCAGGATCCCATAAAGTGCAGCTTGGAGCCCCCACCAGCTTCTTGTTAATATGCCTGGCAAGGCAGTAAGCCAAAGTGGAAGCACTTGGGATCACAACTCCTATGTGGGAAACCAGGATGGAGCTCCTGGCTCCTGGCTTTGGCGTGGATCAACCTGGCTGCAACGTCTAACTGTGTAGTGAATCAGTGGAAAGAAGATCTCCTCTCACTTCCCCTGCCTTTCAAATAAATAAGCAAATCATAAAATAAGACATAAAAACTTGTATCTCGGTCATTCACTCCATTGGTTTATTGAACTAAACAATAAGCTGCTGTTACATTTTTATTATAATACAAAGATGATATTTAATGCAGAGCAAAAGAAGTATACATTTTGGAAACTGTTGCAATTAAGTAAAACTGAATTAGTCATTTATGCCAAGTTAACCAAATTAACTTATTTATCTGAAAAGTAGTCAGGCTTGCTATAAACCAAACACAATGTTAATCATAGGAAGAAAATTTGTAGAGCAGCTGTTTTTTTTTTTTTTAATTTCATTTCATTACACAGTTTCATAGGCTCTGGGATTCCCCCAACCTCTCTGCATACCCTCCCCCATTGTTGATTCCTGCACCTTGTTGCAGTATTACAGTTCAAATCCAGTCATGGTTCCTTCATTGCAAGCATGTACCATGCATAGAGACCAGCATCTTATTGTTTCTTGGGAAGACCATCTCTGGTCTGAAAGCAGAGCTGGCAGAATATCATCCCCTCCAATAAAAAGCCACAACACAACATCAACAACAATTTACAACACTATAGAGTTAATTGACATGGTACTGAGTGACCAATATGTTAGAAAATGCAAGTTCTTAACCACATCCTGTAGTTTATACACAAATGCTGCTATACACCTTAAAATAGGGTACTATTCAGCTGTCTCGTGTCTATTTTCATTTTTATATTTAGCACTTATAGTATCCAAGTGTCATTTTTACTGAACTTGGCGAATTTTAGGATAGTTCAAACTGGCTTATAACTCTAACAAGTCATGTATTAACAATTGAGGAGCAGAACAGTTTTAGGAGGGGTGTGCAGAGAAATCTTCAGTACCTTAGTGAGGAGTAGCTAATCTTTGCGTCCTACCTAGTAAGGTATATGGGAGTCCAAGCTGACTGTTTCCTGTCTGTTCTAAGCTTTCCTTATTGGTCTCTATCTAATCTAGTTTTTGCTGTGTGTGTGGGGCTCCAGAGAAATCCTGATGGTCATTGCAAGAGAGGGTGGGGAGCCAAAGTTGGAACTAAGTAAAGACCAGAGAAAGCTCCCCTCCTGAGTTCGGAAGGAAGTTTACTGTTCTGTTTCTGAGGACTGCTCAGGGCTCCTGGCTGTTGTTCCAATGACATTAGATCCTGTGAGGAAGGATCTGGGCACCTCCATCCCATGTGGGAAATCTGATAGGGAGTGGACGACCTCAGAGTTCTTGGCCTACAAGGGCAGTCCAATTCCTCCTGGTTTCCTTGGGAGCTGGGATATAGCCCGTGGTGCCTGTACTGATAATCCAGGGTTGGGCCCCTGGACTCACGTGGGAGAATCAGAAAAAAATTCCTGGCTCCTGGCTTCACTCTGGCTTCGTCCCAGCTATACTGGCCATTTGGGGGGCAAACTGGCAGATGAAGATTATCATTTTTTTCTACTCTACAGACCCCTACCCAATGTCCCCAAAATTCTAGCTATCGAGTAAATGAATATTTTAAGAGAGAAAAGGAAGATATTCAATGAGGTAACTGCTGTGTAAAGCAATAATATTAGCAGTCAACTGTGAATGAACTAAGGATGAGCACTGCCTTTTCTAACACAAGATGTATTTAGATACAATGGGACAGAATAACTGTTTCTTAAGATGACTTTTGGGATTGGCACCATAGTATAGTAGGCTAAGGTTCCACCTGCAGTGCTAGTATCCTATATGGGCTCCAATTCAAGTCTAGCTACTCCACTTCTGATCCAATGTCCTGCCTATGGCTTAAGAAAGCAGAAGAGGATGGCTCAGGTCCTTGGCCCCTACACCCATGTGCAAGTTCCAGAGGAGGCACCTAGATTCTGGCTTCATATTGGCTCTGCTCTAGCCACTGCAGCTGTTTAGAGAGTGAACCAGAGGACAGACAATCTTTCTGTGTGTGCGTGTGTGTGTGTGTGTGTGTGTGTGTGTGTGTGTGTGTCTGTCTGCCTCTCCTTCTCTCTGTAACTGTCATTCAAATAATTCTTTCAAAAAATATTAGTTTTAAAATACGCATGTAGTTGTGACTAAGCAATCACATCCCGAGAAACTGTTTCTTTGTTAAGTTACTGCTTCTGTTTCTCAACTGTCCTTGTATGTTGGAGTCAATTACTATCCAAGCAGCATAGCAATCTTATTTTCATTACTAGTCCCTCACAGAGGTTTCTTTTTTAAGCACTTTTTCTGGTTACACCATAAAATTCAGATGAAAACACTCAGAGCAATCATAATGAGACCAAAATTTAACTTTAAATGTGCTATCAGGGTCAAATATGACTAAGACAACAGAAGTCTAATAAATTATACTATTGTTTTTTTTAATGGGGAGAAATGTGAGTGTAACTTTAAACTTAAAAGGTAATACAAGATGTTTGGGGACAAAGAAACACTAACTTTAACCTTGGGCATAGCTTCAAAGAGGTAGGTGGAGCTCACTGATTGTTATCCGACCGAAGGCTCTTCAAGATTGGGATCAGGATTTTTAAACAAAAAAACTGCAGGGCAGTTACATTTGCTGGAAGCAAAAGATCCTACAAATCTAGCATGGTGCAATCAATGTTCTTTTTGGTATAAAAGAAATGTTTCCAAGTTCTGTAAAAGCTACAAAATTTTGATGATAACTGCAAGTTTCTGCAGTGTACTTACTTAAATAATAAAGCCACAAAGGACAAGTTTTCCTAAGTAAAGTATTTCTCTTGCCAGGAGAAAAAAAATTACAATTTTTATGTTAACATTTAAAGAGGATCAATGTGTTTGTCTTCAGTGTTCCCTGCATTAACATTCTCAGTGTTATAATGACATTACCAAATAGTATCTGTAAATAAAATAAGCTGTCAATTAAGATAAAAGTTGTTTCCATCACACAACGGTGGAGAAAGGAAATTGACATTTCTACAAAGCTAGAAGACAGCTAACATGTTTCATAAATTATTTATATCCAATTAAAAGTTTCTAGTACAAACACAAACAGCCAAAAAGCAATTGAGGAGGAAATTCTGGAACTGTTCATATCTCCAGAGTAGGCCTAAAGGCTTTATTTTAGGAGACAACCCCATACATTCAAAATACGTGAATCTGACAAAATCAACAGTACTGCTCAGGACCGCAGTGGTAACAGTCACAAAAAGACAAGCAGCAATAGCAACTATCATTACATAGAGTTGTTACTATATGCCAGACAGTGTTAACTACTACTTTTTTTTTAAGATTTATTTTTATTGGAAAGGCGGATATACAGAGAGGAGAGACAGAGAGGAAGATCTTCCGTCCCATGATTCACTCCCCAAGTGAGCACAACGGCCAATACTATGCCGATCCGAAGCCAGGAGCCTCTTCCGGGTCTCCCACATGGGTGCAGGCTCCCAAAGCTTTGGGACGTCCTCGACTGCTTTCCCAGGCCACAGGCAGGGAGCTGGAAGGGAAGCGGGGCTGCAGGGATAGAACCGGCGCCCATATGGGATCCCGGGCGTGCAAGGCGAGGACCTTAACCACTGCGCCGGGCCCAATGTTAACTATTTCTTGCAGATGATTTCATCTTCACCATAATCCCCCGAGCCAGATATTTTATAAAAGATAGGAAAATTGGGATTTCAGGTGTATTATGTGACTTAGTCTCCTTCCTATGGAAGACTGTCTCTAGGGATGAAGCTCTTGACCACCACACTGTAAACTATGCTCACAATTATTAACTATTATGATTATGGTACCGAGATTTCCTTCCTTCTCTGAAGTTACTATACTACCGATTCCCCACTAACTGATCTACAGCTTTTATGACAAATCAAAATTAAATGGCAGCTAACTAGAAGAAATGGTAGACACATAATACAGAGGGGAAGAAATAAAGTTTATATTGAAATGTACACTTCTGGGGCTTCTTCCCGTGACACTGGCATCCCATATAGGGGTAGTTTATCTCTCAGCTGTTCCACTTCTAATCTCCCTCCCGGCTAATGTCCTGGCAAAACAAAGGAACTCAGCTCATGTGCTTGGGCTTTTGCCACCCACGTAAGAAACCCGGATAAAACTGCTGGCTTTCAGCTTGGCCTAGTCCAATGCTGAGTGTTGCAGCCATTTGGGGAAAGAACCAATAAACAACAGATCTCTCTTTAACTTCAAAAATAAGTAAATCTTCCATAAAAGTACACTACTTTATCCTAGCTTCACATATCTACATCTGTATGCATAGTCTATATTTGTTTACAAACATAATTTCACTTGTCCGTTATGCCAACACCACCCTTACAGGTTGCTTTTAATAAACTCCCTTTCAGGGGAATAATTATAAGGATTTTTGTAGGACCTGTTGAAGTACACAAGCATATGCTACATTCCTCAAAAACATAATCAAATGCATTTATTTTACTTAGTAAATGAACTTTCACTGAGTGAAAAAAGGAAAAAAAACTTACCTTAGATGAAACTATTCTATTATCACAAAATCTTTGTGCAATGTAAGCTTCTGTCTCTGAAACTGGATGATTTCCAACAAACACTGTGCGTGTACCAACTCGTTTTTCTTCTCCAGCACACTGCCCAAGAAAAAGAGGGGGAAAAGTCAGCTTTTCATCACATTTCTACATACTTTCACAAATCTTGTCTAAGCATGTTTCGCTATAATCTCAGGAGAGCAGTACAGAAAGAAGAAAACCTTGTTGAGGATATTCAAAATCTTCCAGGCTCTTAGTTGTTGATTTGGTGAAGATTAGTAAAAGTACTGCTTGAACCAACTGTTCTAAGGGCACAGTGCATGTTTACATTTGCAGGAGCCTAGAGAAATTCACTCTAAAAATATGGCACCCTAGTTTGCTGATTATTTTAAATCAAAATCTTTCACAGAGCAGCAGATGCTAGAAGAGGTTTTACTCTGATACTCCCTTATCTGTCAAAGAAGCATAAACATGCTTGGTACCTGAGTATTTATTAACTCATTTCTGTAGAAAAAAAATGGAACCAATCAACCACATCTGGACAAGAGTTTGTCAAGAGTTATTGTCCATTTCCTCCTCCTATTTAGCCCTCGAAGACAATCTACTATCTGATCCTTGTTACTAAACTACTCTGACCATTGAGTCCATCCATTCCTCACATAAATTCATTTATTACGAGGGGCTCAAGTTACGATATAGCAGGTGGCAACCCATATGGGTGCCAGTTTGTATCTTGGCTGCTCCACTTCCAAACCAGTTCCCTGCTAATGCTTCTGGAAAAGCAGCAAAGGATGTCCCAAGTGTTTCGGCCCCTGCATGCACAGGGGAGGCCCAGATAAAGCTCCTGGCTTCAAACCAGTGCGGTTCTGGCCATTGCAGCCATTTGGGGAGTACATCAGCAGATGAAACATCTGTCCCTATCTATCTCCCCCTCTCTTTCCATATAACTATGCCTTTTTAAAATAAGTAAATAAACCTTTTTCAAAAAAAGACATTTATTACTAATCAATTGTTGCATTCTTCATCTCTACCGCCCTTGTGAAAAAGGATAAATACCTAAAGTTTCAGATATTAGGTTATTACATTGTGATTCCCCTTTGTGCATTTAAAAAAATGTACAATTTTGCCCATTAATCAGTTTAATGTCAGCTCATTCCAGCAAACATTTCGAGTGCATCCTACCAGAAACAAAATTCTGTATTTTTATGCCAGTTATTTTTTCCGTTTAAAATTTACTTATGTTTGTTTGGAAGGCAGTAAAACAGAGACAGGCTTTCCATTTGATGATTTAGTGTGCAACTGCCCACAGGATCTAAGAGGCAGTGAGGGCAAAGCCAAGACGCTGGAACAGAATCAGGGACACAAACATTTGACTTATCATTGCTACTTCCCAGAGTACCCATCAGCAGGAAGCTGAAATTGGAGATAGCGCTGGGACTTGAACTCAGGTTGTCTGATATGAGATGTAGATATATTGCTGTACTCAAAGCCCACCTCCTGACAATCATTTGTCTTTATCTTTCATCCACAGGCCAAATGAATTTCAAGTATCACCTTTATAGCAACACACAATTTATAAAAGCCCAGATTGGGAATACTTCATTTATCAAACAACCTGTGAAAATAACATCAACTACCTTATTAGACAGTAAAAAAGCAGATAAAAATTATTCTTAAACACAACAGAATTACTTCTAAGTATACAGGTCAGAAACAGATTGCCACATTTATGAAATGAATGATATTGAGATTCATTCATTTATTTGAAAGAGTTATAGAGAAAGAAGAGACAGAAACAGAAATCTATACAAGCCAGGGTTGAACCAGCAACTTTATCAGGGTCCTTCACATGGGTGCAGGCCCCCAAACACTGGGGTTATCTTTCACTACTTTTTCCCTGGCAATCAGCAGGGAGCTGAATTAGAAGTGGCCAAGCTGGCATACGAGCCAGTGCCCATATAGGATCCTGGCACGGCAGGCAGCAGTTTTACATGCTACAAAAAGCCAATCTTGTAGTGTAGTGACTATTTCTACAAAGAATTCTGCAATTGTTTGGGTTTAAAGAAAATAATTTTTTAAAATATCTTTCAGAGCCTATGAAGTCCAACTTCACATAATATATTTCTAATACACCTTTTACATTTTCTAACAGTAAATTCCTTGATCTTAAAAGGCCCATGGTTAGAACTCTATTTTACCCCAGCTGTAGGTAATTCACTAGGTTGCCTTGTACCTAGGCAAGTGTAATACTGCTAGAAGAAAGGCAGCTAGTACCTGGCTGGCATTCTGGGTCTGGTTAATGCCAACTTTGTATTAACTGTACCATTGTGCTAGCATAGTTGCCTATTCCAATCTGTAAGGGCTGGAGGGAGGCAAGCAGACTGCCATACCTGCTTGTGTTTCTGGGCTGGGTTGGGGGTCACAAAGGGTTTTTGATGTGGGTCTGACCATTGCACCCATCAGGATATCTGAGAGCTAGGGCTGCAAGTGGGCCAGGCTGGCAGTTCAGCAAGCCAGCAACACAGGTATCCCTGGGCTAGGCTGCTGCACCTGCCAGCATGCATCAGAGCCAGGGTTTGGGGCAGGTTAGGTTGGGGGCCTATAGGAACAGAGTGCTAGAGCTCCCTGGACCAGGCTGCAGCACCTGCTGTGGGGGCAAGGTCCAACAATGGTTTTTGGTGTCAGCAGGAAGTCCATCCTTTCATTTCATATTGGTCTCTGACATGTCAGGATCTCTGATCTCAGAGATCAGAGCCCGTAGGTGTGTAGTTTGGCTATGGTGCACATCTTGCGTGATCAGACCACCTATGCTGCTCATTCCTATGCAAGGAACACAACATTTTAGAAATAATGAAGATGCAATGAACAAGGCCAATGGCACCTGAATGGAAGTCCTGCAGCTTATGAGAGGATCCATTAGGTGAGACAGAGAACTCCAAACCTGGGACAAGCAAGCCACACAACCCTAAATTGATAGGAAGTAACTATAGAACGCATGATGATTGTACCCTAAAACAACCCTAATAGCACAGGTAGCTGGAAATGACACAACCCCTGATCTTCTGTAAACCCTACCCATCTATCAATCAAATGACCTCTCCCCTCACAGGGGAATCTGAGGCAGCATCACGAAGCCATTCCTTTTTCCAAGATCATATGAAGAATGATGATGCAATCCTTCTCTTCTGCAGACACAGAATGGAAAGCAGACACCTTTCTCCTCCCAACCCACTCTCCAACCAAACATGCTCCACATATATCTGTGATTTCACATTTAAATAAACTAAAAAAAATCGTACATATTTTTAAAAAGATTTATTTTTATTAGAGAGGCAGATTCACTGAGAGGAGAGACAGAGAGAAAGATCTTCCGTCCGCTGGATCACTCTCCAGAGTGGCTGCAACAGCCGGAGCTGAGCTGATCCAAAGCCAGGAGCCAGGAGTTTCTTCCGGGTCTCCTACATGAGTGCAGGGTCCCAAGGCTTTGGGCTGTCCTCTACTGCTTTCCCAGGCCACAAGCAGGGAGCTGGGTGGGAAGTGGAGTAGCCAGAACAGAAACCAGTTCCTATATAGGATCCTGGCAGGTGCAAGGCAAGAATTTAGCTACTAGGCTATTGCACCAAATCCTTATTTACTCTTCAATTTTGCCTAAGTTTTACTCTGTTTTCTGATAGAACAGGAATAGTATGTTTCGCAAAGATTTGTGATAATTTCCTTTGATATAACTATATTGTTGATATCACCACATATTTATGTAGAAGTACGACTGAAACAAGCACCTGTTAATATATTTCCAATAACTAAAAAAATACAGAATGCTTCACAAATTTGCGTGTAACCCTTGCACAGGGGATCATTCTGATTTTAGTATATGTGCTGCTAAAGCGAGTGTTCTCCATTAACTTTTTAAAGGTAAATGTGTTAATATATGTAGCCACAAAGATTTTTTTTCCCTTTTTCAATGAGCTATTTAAAGGTCAAGAACTCATCCTCCATATAACCATTTCAAGAAAAAATCTTAGAGTTTACGTTTTCCACGTATCTACTGTGCTCAGATGTATTCCAGTCTGAACCTGTCAAAAGAAGACTAACTTATGTAGATATAATAAATTATTTTAAAATTCAGAGATAATCCTCTCATCATCATTTAAATGTAAGCTTATTAAATAGCTACTTGATGGAATATTGCCTTGTAAATTTGTAGCCAATCCTTCAAAAAGTGACAAGGAAAATTCGAGTAGGAAAGAGATTCAGGTTAGGTCGATAAATCGAGCCTCAGGGAAAACTACTGTGCCACGGGTTATTGAAGTATGAAGGCTCCCTGGAGATCTGGAAAAGATCAGTAAGCTTCTGTGCTGAACAGCTAAGTTATTTATCTTGTATGTCCAAGTTATTTATCTAGTTGCCCAAGGTTCTTCATATGCTAAAAGTGGCAAGTAAATTTGCAAAAGAGTTCCTGCAAACCAGTGAAATGCCTTTACCAGAATGGTAGCTTTCATTCAATAAGAATTGACTTCTCTGTTTGCAATTTGTGTAATATATGGAGTCTGGCAAAACTCGCTGATGAAACAATCAATTTTTTCGTATCAAGTGCACAAAGCTTCAACTGCATGTACCTGCCAAAGGTGGAGTTGATAAGCTTTACCCCTACTCCTGCATTACATGCAGGTTAAGGTCTCTGTAGTCTCCACAGCAAAACTGAACTTTACAACGCACAAATTTGGATCATGGAACATGTCCAGTCCATGTGGAAACAGCAATGCACAACATGTAATTGCATATTCAGGTGGCTGCTTTGTTTTTCACATAAGCACAATAATAGAAACTACAGAAAGAAAAAGCTACCTTTCATACAGATTCTCAGTCAGTCTCTAAGTGCAAAGAGAGGAGGCAAGGAGGTAGCAGGTCACTGAGACAGGGCGAGTCGCACACTGAATTACCCGGGCCACTGATGAACAAAAACACCAGAATAAACCAGTATTTCCCCAATTCTGAATGTTCTTCAGCTTTTTGATGGCAAACAAAGGAAGAAAAAGAGGATGATGCATTTTTTTCAAGAACATGTTATTAAGTAAACTCCAAATATTTGAAAGGCATTTATA